AGAAACCTAGTATAATTTTATACCAAAATGATCAGCTCAATGAGCTCTACAACCTCTGAAAGTTTCAGGTAATTCTGAGAGGGTCGACGTAAATGTGGTAGGTTTCCCATGGATTTACTCAATCCTCACTACTATGACAAAAAATGCTAAAAATGACACTGTTTTGTGATGTAAGAATCCTTTATTAGATGAATATAAAGCTTACAAAGTCGTGTTGCACTCTAGCTTAAGATCGTTTCTAACGTTGTCACTCAAAATTCATATTGTATGTGCAGAAATTAAGGATATTCAGGGAGCCATACGTGCTTAAAAAGCTGGAAATTTTGTCGACAATATTTAGATGTTTTGACAATAGTCTTCATCAATTCTTCTTTTCATCTTACTCTCACCTTGACTATCTTCACTATGTAGCGATTAATGTAATGTCCCCTGGAAGGGGCGGTCAGTCGTCAATGACAAATATAGTTTTGTGTGTTTCTGTAAGAATTAAAAGAATATATTTCTACCATGAATAAAGAATTCATGCAGCACAAATTCGAAGAAATAACATAGTGGATTGCATTGTGATGGCTATGTAATGGAAGAGAAGAAATCAAGAATGGGTAAGCATCGTCACTCACTGCACGTTCGCAGCTGCGCATTTCTGACAACGCATCCAAAGTGTTGTGTCCCAGTTATAAGTTATAATTAGGTCAAAATGTACTCAACGATAAAAAGGACGCTTGTGAGATGCTATATTATAAACATATTTATTACAGTCTGATGATTATTTTCACATAGTATTATGGCAGCGCATTTATAATGTTACCAAAATTTTCCTTGTAAATCATTCAACGTCGGTCCAATTCACGCCCACACCCTCACCCACCCTCAATGACTTTCTCTTATCCGTTCTGCGAACTTTCTTCTTATGATTACCCATGTCCATTTAATAATGCTCTCTTCGATACCTATGGTTTAATAGTCCATGTCCATGAGATCATTGCTCTGTTAATCGTCTTCGTTTTCGGTACTTTCTGAGTGGTGCATTTGATATGGGAAAAAATATCCCGTGAGTTGCTTAATGAAGAAAATATCGAAGAATGACAATACAGCTATTAGTAGTCTCTTGTCTTTATACGCTATTTTATATCATATTGATGCTATCTAATCTATTTTACGCGTAGAGTATTGAGAGCGATAGGATGTATTTATTCCAAAACTATGCAATTTATTTGAGTTATGCTCATGTTATTGTATATTCTTTTGTTTGTGTATCATATCACTATCAGAACTGAGAACTAAAATAATGAGAACGCTTGGTCTCCAACCGTATTTTCTCTGTTAAGTATAAGTTGATTCATATTATACTCCACATAAGTGTAAAATGTTGCTGTCATATTCTTACACAATATACATAATCATTCGAGACAAACATCTATATCCTTCAAAAGTTAAATGCACATATTCATGCATCTGTAAAATAGTTACAAGCAACAAACTGAGTAAGCTTATATTTTTCGTTAGCGTCGTTGTACAGTATTGTACGATGTTCAAATTGAAAAGTAAAGATTGAAGCATAGGAACTATCTTTACCCAATTGAACACGATATGAAAATCTGATGGCTTTGTTACTGCTGTGTCTAATATTGTTTCGTCTTCACATAGACCAGCGCCGGCGAAACTGAAATGCATATGATTTTCGTCAATTTTTAACAATTTCCCTTGATTGATGAAACAATAACATTCGCTTGTATTGAAAGCGTCATCCAGAAGGTGTTTTTCAATCCAGTTTTATTTCGACAATATTTACAATCGAAATGAGAAAAGAAAGTTTCGGGAATGAGACATATTAAAATCCAAATTGTTGTTGAAATGATTGTATTGATAGGCGAGTTTCGTCAAGATTGTGGAAAGTGACAGTATTCGGCGCACCCTATTCTTCCGACGTCCCGGTAGAAAACGAACAAAAGTAAAGTAGTCTGTATTTATACTTGATTTCAAAGAAAGAAAAATAATCTTTTTAGTTATTTTGGTATTATTGAAAGGTTAAAAGCGCATTTCGTGTTTGTCCTGTGTGCTTTTAATAATAGCTTTATTTTATATACTCCAGAGTCATTGCTGATGAAAAAGTATTCTTGCAGTTTTCATGAAGCGAATAATTGAATAGATCAGTAAGAAGATCCACACACGCGGGTGTCGGATACCAGTAGATGCGTCATTTCTGTCTGCTCTTGTAGCTAAAACAAGTATAGTCTTCTCAATACTATTGGTTAACAACCGTTGTTTTACATACTTGACGATGAACCTAAATTTGCGATAGGTACGTTGAGCTTCCAACGGCAACAGTACCATGACCTTGATCCTAGCATCCATCTCATAATACGACTATTGAAAGAATCGGTAATGTAAATGTAACCATTCGAATCTACAACAACTGATGCTGGATAACACAGTTGATTGTGGCCATTGCCACAGATATTCCACTAGTTGCACTTGGAAGCCATTTTTAAATGCGATGGTTTTGTGTATCAGCGATATACAATGTAGTAGAAGCACGTACATCAACAAATACTCCGTATGGATAGAGCAATTGACTTGCACCCAATCCATATAACCTCCACAAATATCACTACCCGTTATTGCAAAATCTCATCGTACAATGCGATGAGTGCCAATATCAGCTATCCAAATACTTGATGAACTGTACGATACAGATACTGCATAAGGATAACTTAACTGATTTACGTTACTTCCAATTCCATACCCTCCGGCAATGACCGTTCCGTTAGCTGCATCAGGCGGCCATTTTGTGACACGATTATTACCATGGTCAACTATATTAATAGTACCATTAAAAGCTATGCTGAACCAGAAAGAAAACGTTGCACACGGTAGTTATTCGAATCTAATATATATATAGTGCCGTTTTTATCTATAGCAATATTCGAAGGTCGATTAAGATACAACGATGAGCTTCCGCCTCAACCTAAAGCAGAACCAGCAACGGTTGTTCCATTTAGCGACCAAGGAGCTATGGAGGAACTAATATTCGCCGGGACTGCTAAAATAAAATGAAGTATCAATAATGTCACGAGTTGTAATTTCCTTGTCCAAAAATTCAAGTGCCTACCAGGTATTGCCATCGTGTCGTTGAAATATTAATTAGTGATGCTGTAAGAAAATAAATTCAACCGTAGTTTTCTTAAAAACATAAACCATGCGGGTAGTAGAGTAGAATTGAGTGTCCTCGTGTCTAATACTACCGCAAATAACGATACTATTTATTGACGAAGCCCGTTTCATTATACGATGATTACCGGTGTCGGCAATCCAGATAGCTGATGTGATCGCATCTAAGAACATTCCTCCAGCCTAACTGAGCTGATTAACATCACTACCAACGCCGTTTCCCCCTGCGACGATCGCACCAGCTGAAGCTCCTTGTGTCCATTTTGTAGCACGACTGTTTCCACCATCGAAGTATATAGATACTGTCATTGTTGTCTATTCTCATGCCATTCACTGAGAAACAGACCATATGAAGCAACAACGAGTTATTGAACTGATCGACTGACGAACTAGAACCCGATAACTGTTTTGGCGTTTCTTTGCCATGTTGCTGTTGGACAGAGCGCTAGGCTTCTACATTGTTCAACAAAAATTCTAAATTTTAAATAGTACACCTAATAATATAATTCTTGTTCGATGTGTTTAAGCTTACATAGTTGCGAAAGATATTAACGACCATAAATCTTTGAAACAAAACGTCGTCATTGTGAGACAATCTTGCAAAAATGACCTAAACATACAAACAGAATTCTTGTTTTTTCAAATTTTTCAAAATGTCGTCTGTATACTTGCTGTTCAGATAACATTGTGTTTGAATTAGTTGATATACTATCAGCTTGGGCACGTGTCCTATTCGACGGAAGTATAGTTACTAATCGTACTTTTAAGAAAACCATCATGTTTCTCACAACAATCAGCAGCACGGTTTCGGAATTAATAATTCGCTCCGAATAAGAAAAAAAGGATGTTAGTAACAAGTCTCGATAAGAATTACTTCCTTCTTCATTTAGAAACTGATTAAAAATGTTATTCATGACAAAAGAAAGAAAAGACATCTAGTATTCTTATACGATGTAAATCATAGTATTTCTAAAAAACACGAAACTACAGTCATCACAGTTAGAGGAAAAAGCGAACTGTTATTGAGCTGATAGATACAGTTGATATTATATTTGCTGATAATTCTTCCGATAATACGACCATGAACTCTCTTCTATCTTCAAATCGATGCTTTTCACATCCCGTCAACAGTTTCCCTCGATAAAACAAAACTTTTTCTACAGTATAAAAGCGTTTTCATGTTCTTGCCGATGGCGCAACAGTTCGCTGTTGTTTTGGTTTCCAGAATAGTATCTTTGCTAACTTTGGCTTCAGCGGAGATAACGCAACCAGATTTGCGTATGGCATTACTATTGCTGGCATATGGGCAAATGCTCCGATATATACTGCAATAGTATAACTATCGAAGAGAAATGCGTCAAGCCATGATGTAACAGTGGCAATAACATAAGGAAGGCTGAAAGCGAGATAAATGATCGAAACTGAAGCTAATTGGATAATCATTTTTCTTTGTCGACGCCAATTTACTGCCTGTTGTAAACGACGTTTCTGCAGAATGACACGGATTATTAGAGTCCAACTAAATACACCAATGAATAGAATTGGTAACGCGCAATTCATAAGTGACTCGAACCAACTGAACCATTGAGGAATCACGTAGCTATAACAAACGACACCACAAAAAAGCAAAAAACCATTATAAAAGCGTTGACATGGACATAGAACGATCAAGTAAAAATAAAGAATTGGTGCATAACTGGAAACGAACCCAAGTGGAATGTAATGAAACAAAATACGTTGACGCGCTGTACGAAGAAAATTAGAATAAAATATCAGAATATGTCTTTCGATAGAGTTCCAGAACATGATATGAAGAGCTCCGTACCATATTCCATAATCAACATAACCATGTAGAAAACAAAGTGAAACATTCAATGGATGTTGATGACCAACTCGGTAGAAGTTCAGCGTCATTGATAGATCAATCATCATTTGAAGAAAATTGTAGATCAGGAGCAGAACTATAGAATGATTCTGCAGATTTTTCCACAAGAGTTTATCACGTAGAAGATGGTAGAACAAAAAGAGATAACAAGGAATTGACAATAGTTGACCAGTTAATAAAATTGCAAATAGATCGTTTTTCCATTGCGAAGAAGAGATAGAATCATCCCCGAAATCATTCATTATGAGATATGTGAACGCAGTCTTGATATCGTACTGGAACGTTTTGTAGAGAATAAAAATAATGTATCTTAAAAACACAGACAACCCATCACAAAAGAATGAAAATAACCTATGCATGATTCATAATTTATAGGCTAATGCAACCTTTGTTTCATAGAGACAGATACTCTAAAGTTCTACTGACATATTTCTTTCCATTGCGTAGTAAATTTGTCGCCCACAAGCAATTTGATTTACAAAGAAACATACCAGGATTAACTACGCCATTCGAAGAAAACAACATATTTGACGGCACGAACTAAATCAGACTCTATGCATCTCAATCATATTTTCATCATAGTAACTTTTGATGAATTAGTTGGTCTTTTCTTTCTTGACACTTCCTCTTCCGACATGCATATGTTCTGCCTATTCCCATCGCACAGAGTGGCAATATCTACCAGAGATCGAACGGAATTCACAGCTGAGTATAGTTTGCCTTTCTTTAGTAGCAATGCATTTTGATAACGATAGTACTTCCACTGATCTTTACAGGTTGTTTGATTCTAGTGAGAACTTGTTGTATAGAAGCGCAAGAGAATGAAAATTGAGTGTGGCGGACAAATTCGCATAGCTTCGAAATAAAATGTGGAGAACAAGGGAAAGAGGAATATAATATCAATACATACAAAGTCGCTGATCACATGAATAGCTACGTTTACACAAACAGATCTATAACAATAATATTATATTTAGTCTTCAATCTAGACTTTCCTTTTCATTTTTTATTGTTTTTGTTTTCGCAACTTGGAATTTATCATATCCTAATGCATTGGTGGGGAGGTATATTACAGACATGTCTTCACAAGTACAACCAACTGATATTCGTAGTTAAATTTTATTTTTTGGTAATTGAAGAAATAGAGAAAATATTTGTTACACAGAATAACGCGCACACTTGTATGAACATCAGTCATATGACATAATAGGTCAATGCTTCATTTTTATTGTTAACAGTGGAAAATGAATCGAAATGCAATTGAGAACGAAAGTTCTCAGTGAAGTATTACGAAACAACATCGTAATTATCGTGATATTCTCATCATTACTTTCATGTCGATCCTCTCCTTTATCGATGCACCCTCACTACATTGTGTCTTTATTGAGTAGTTCAGTACGTTCTTTTTCTTGATTCATAGACATCCATCTGCTTGTCCCTGACTAACCATTCTGTCGGGCCTGTCGGAGCACACGCTGTGAGTAAAATATTGTCAATTAATACTGTAATTAGCATTTTACTATCATTCCTGGAATGAATTGATCATTCGATCTTATCTCTAATCGGTGACTTATTTCTATATTGGAGAAAATCAAATAGGAGATACTGTAGCAAAACACTGCAAGTTAACATTGTAATAATACTATGTATACGTAGCATTTGACATGAACAGCGTACTGTGCTAGTAGTCGGTCAAATTGTGATGCTTTCCTCGCGATTCACAGCGTGGGAGGGGATGGAGTGAGCTCGCTTCTCCCATTTTTCCGGAATATCAGGGGAAATTTCATTACTATGCGGCTGCGAAATGTTTTCCTATTACGAAGTTTCTGAAAAGACAGGCACAAATTGCGAAAATTGCTGAACAATATCTACTCAGAGGAAACCACAGGAACGCTCTGGCCAATGACAATGTACCTGATAGTGTGGCCAATATATCTAGTACGTACTGCCTCGGAAATTGCTGCCAAGATATTCATGAGACATCAGAAATAAAAGCTTGCATAACTGCGCTTACACACAACGTGGCGTAAAGTTTACTTTTCCACAGATAGGAACTGATAAAAGAAACATCGTGCATCACGTATACTCGTTCAAAAATTTCGTGATTTCTAGAAATATACTCTTATATAATAAAATCGTAATTATACAATATCTAATAAGACAATTCGAATTCGAAAAAGTAACTGCTCAAATCTTAACAAGTAGATCGCTTTTGGTCTTTATAAATCTAACTAGATTTTGTCCATGTTGAACATGATATGACATATACCGATGAAAAATTGTACTTCTGTTAATTTTTTTCATCAAACGATGTAAAAATGTAGTGTTTGCTTGTGCACGCGAGAACTGAAGGAAACATGTGACATTTGTTATAAATATTGCATGTTACCACCTTAATCCTCTTTGGATAAATTAAGGTTTTTAATTCGGATTGAACAATGGCTTATTGACTTTTCCCCATTTTGTTAGAAACTATTGTACTTTCTCTTTCTGTTAAAATGAATTATCACCAAAAGCAAAGAATATCTAATATTTTCTTTTTTTTTCAACTAAGTAATTTCAATGAGTGCCAGCAAAACGCGCAGTACAGAAGAAACCGGAAAGTGCTTCTTTCGATTTTTTTTGTTTGTCAAGATTTAGATCATGGTGTGCGCTTTCGAGCGTAGGAAATGAGAAAAAAGCAGTCACCATAATTTCCAACTCAAACTTGCACTCACAAGTTTTTTGCTGCGTATGGATAGGAAACGAAAGACTTTTTTTCTTTATTACATCATTTGTAGTGTCTGTTACAATAAAATCCAGTGTCGAGAAAACTGTACAATCTATTTGTACGTGATCAGATATTCTGCGAATGCTTGTGCATCATGGTAAGTGACAAAAATATGACTTCCATCAGTCGTTGTATCATAACCAGGTGGCGCAGTTATCATAGATGAATCACCTACTATCGATAACCCGACAAGAACACGGGCTATAAACATACATTTCTCTCCATTCTCATTGGGGACAGCAAAACCATTGCTGTAAGACGCTTTTGACGAAAAGTAAACGCCTTTCCCATATACCAAACCTATTAATACGATTCATATGCAGATAACTGAAATACAGAAATCATCCTCACCATTCACACCACCGTAACTGCGGTTGAAACATTTGTTGATTATAGAGTCTGCTGCCGATTCAGGACATCCATGGTATAAACGCTGCTCTGTATCAGCCTTCAATCGTTTTCGAAACTCTTCTCTATGTATGATATACTGCTGGAACCAGTGCTCGTTCTGAATGCGCTCGATTTTGATTATTTTGTTGTAGTGTCCTTCCATTCCTTGGTCAAATGGAACTGCCACCGACTTGTATTCGTCTGTCGTAGAACATATTTGACAACGTTTCGTGCCTCCTTGGCTGGGTTCCCATGTTACTGGCAATAAACGATTGAGTGCTATCGACGACTCTAGAAAAAGACATTTACAGCGGTTGAAAGGCTTTTCCACGGCGTGAGGATGAGAGTGTCAAAACTATAGCGACGGCTGCTTGTGTTTCGATAATGTCGTAGTTACCTTCATATGGTGTCAGAACTTCTCTGCAAAATGCGCCATAAGTTTCTATTTGTTCAGGTGAAATGACGAACTTTATCTGTAATTGTACGTTTTGCGCGAGAAGTTGTTTTTTCGCCTCGCTTACCATGGTTCTAATAATAATTTTTGTTGAACTACTGTAAACGTCGCATCCAATAGCTGAAAACGCAATCGAAGTAAAATGATACTGAGCCACATATTTGACGACGTTTGAGATAATATCTATAATTGATTCTCGAAGCAGATGCTCGTTATTAACGCGGTTCCAGTTGAGAAAAAATATTCTTTTACATGGTAGTCGTCCTGATGGTGTTGAAATTATCAAGGATTTAACCTGGTTTTTAGATTGCATAAGGTAGTCTGTTTTAACCTCATCACCAGCTGCTTGAATGACGGCTTTCGTTAAGATCGATGACGAAGCACTAACAGCTATGACATCCATCTTCCGAAAAACGACAATAATGAGCAAATACTTTATCTCATGACACTTGTCTAATATCTTACCTTTTGTTGAGCGATCTCGCCGTTCTCGACTTCAATTGTTCCACTTCCAACTTTTGTTGACACGATTTTTATTCTGGCATTCTTTATTACACCAATCTGCTTTTGTAACTCCTCGTATATATTCTCTTCAGTTGATTCGATAACAAAGAAGATGGCGATTGGATGTGTAGCTAGCTGGTGGCAAACTTCTGTCACGAAAATCTCAGCCATAAGAGCAGGCGAACAACCAAAACCGCCACAACCGATGGCTGGAAATGAAATGCTTTGATAACCCTCATTTACTGCTTCCGCGATTGTTTCAGAGAATAATTTTCGGATAGATCGTCGAAGTACAGTACTATTAGAGCCTGGCCGCCATTCTACAAAGTAGATCTTCTTGGATGCAAGTTGTCCGTCAGCAGCAACAGAAAGAACCGATTCGGCAGATGAGCTTTCCGATTCAGTTGTATATGAATCCCTCACTGAATTCCCACCAGCTGCGAGAACACTTTCTAACATTCCACACGACAATGCGTTTACGACAATAACATCAGTCTGAAAATATCTCACAATATATTTATCTTCTCATTCGTTATTTTGTTCTTCTAACTTCAACATACCTTTTGTGTTATTAAGCTACCGACACAAACATTAATATATTTCACCACTATTTTATTGGTTGCTAAAGTCTATAATGAATATTGAAAACATTTCTATATTAGTTCCTTAAATGCTAGGATGCGGGTGTATATTGCTCTGTCTACTGTTAGCATGTACTACCTGACAGCATACAGCGGAAGTGTGAAGTGAAGCATCTTGTCTTGTATAACAGGCGCAACATTCGTCGCAAGTGATAATCATCAACGGGCATTTTTGATTGTGTTTATCTGAATTCAACTTTAGCACCTTAGCCATACAAACCGAACATGTTATTAATTCATAGGCACAATTTTCTTCATGCTTGAGTAATTGATCATATTGAATGTATCGAGCGCAACTACGACAACCGTATTGCTTATAACGACATGGAATCCTCAGCTGAGACAACTTTTCAGTGATTGTCTCCGGACAATTCTGCGCCACACATGGCAAGGAAGTATTCCCGCACGGATCTTTCTGGGAAATTCTTGTTTGTAAACATTGATCACAAAATGATCTTTTACAATTACCACATCTCACAGGCTGCCATAGTATACCCTTACACACAGCACATATCAATTCTTCATCTTGAAGTGAATTACTCACACGGCTACTCGGAAGGTGAGCCTTCGAGCGTTTACTACCGCCGCCACCCATTGTGCAGTTTCTCGCAAATCCTTTTTCTTCTTATAATAAAGCAGCTCTACTCTATTCTTACCTTTTATTGTCATCGATAAAAGACATCGAATCGTTTATGTCACATGTTACTTGAAATAGTATTACTGTTCGATACCGTAAAAAGCTAAAAGTGTGTATATTGACTTTATGTATCAACTTCGATAAGGAAAGATTTACTTAAGCTGACAGCATAATTTCACTTATGGATTTTGATCAATGCTTTTATCTGATACAAGTTATTATGCGCAATAAAAAGTTGGAAGAAAAGAAAAAGTCTTATGTGATATTCATTGTGTTCTTCCATTCGAAAATTTTCTTCGGTCGTTTATCGTGACGTATAGGGGTGGATGAATTATTTCTGAAAGTGGTCAGTTTCGACTTGAGTCAAATCGAATATTGCTATTCATTTCCTGATGTGTAATCTCTATGAATGATCTTTGGTATAATCTTCAAAGCAAATTGGATGTTTGAAGTATATTATCTTTATAACGACATTTTCTCACACTTCAATAGTCTTGATTATTTCCAGCAGTGAAGACGGATGGGATGGCTGATTTTATGCACAGAAATTGCTCAATATTTTTCGCAATTAGCTGTCGTTTTCCAGAAGTCATGTCATATAGAAAAATGAAACGTGGAAATCGTCGTATATGAGCACTCAGATGATCTTCGGCCGACCTCACCACCAATTTTCTTCATTTCTTGAAACTCTGCAACCCTATTGGTCGCTTCCATCAATTGTCTGTAGCAGACGTAGGATTGATTTTTTTTCCGAAATAGAGTGGATGACGACTTTCCTCTGGATCCATAGAAGCATCATGGAAAGCAAAAAGTCAAACTCTCTTCTCCATGAATGTAGATATATGTTGTTTTTATGGAATTTCTCTCGAACTGATGTAACCGTTGGTAGATACAAGGGAGAATGCGTGTTTTTTTCCTCCATTTCCAGTCGCATTTCTCATTGCAGAAATTATACAGATTCAACACTGTAACATATTTCTTCGCCTTCATTAGCTTGGCAATCTCATCTATTTTTATGCTTTTTGATTCTTTTCAATGCATATTAATCCGATAATGCATGCACTGTGTCGTAAGCTTTTAGATAATCATCCTTCGCTCAATAAAGATTTGTTCTTAAACTTTAGCTTTTATCGCATATTACAACAAATGCGATCAACGGATCTTCTTCGTTCTCAGTTTTCACTGCTATAGAGGTGTAACTTTAATGATGTTTACTAACTCTTTGAATTCCGAAGTTTGGTATATTCCGACTGATATCTTAAGAATAACATGTGATTCAACTACAATTGGCATTTCATTTTGCCTGTTAATTATCATTGTAACTAACAAAGCATGTCGAACGGTACCCATGATGTTAACTGCGAATACTTGCTTCACTGAATTTATCTGTGCGTGTGTCCTATTAAGTATGACAGTTTTCGTATTGCAAAATGACATCAAGCAAATTATCTACGAAGATTCTCTTTGTCGCGTTCGTGGTTATTTATTAATAAGCATTACTGTTGCACAAAATTATTCTTATGTATTACAAGCAATTTATCGTTACGTTACAATTGTGCATCCAAGTCGTCTCTTTTGGCAATCATCTCGTTTCCAAACGTGTCTTATTTGCTTAGTATGGATTTTTTCTTTCACCATAATCCTACCTGTGCTATTAACTAATCAAATTGTATACAACTCTTCCAATCAGATATGTCATCCCCCATTGGGAAGATCGTTTGGTATTATTTATATAACAGTTATACTTTATTTGATTCCGAATATATTTCTTAATATTGTTTATTCAAGATTAGTTCGATTTGTTCGCGAAATGAGCAAAAGAGTGACATCGACGAATGTCATAGCTCGTGCAGAACGGGATTTAAAAATGGTAAAAAGCATTATAACAATAACAACTATTCTTGGAATATTGGGCCTTCCGTTTGCTTTTCTCATCTTTTGGTCTCTTTTTACAACACCACCTCGCGACCATTTCCGTATTGCCTTTATCGGTGTTGATATGTCAACCACAGCTGTCATTATTGCAGTATGCAAAACGACACCCCCAATTAAAACTGCTTTGTCAGAAAAACTAGCTGCGTTACAAACAATATTTACTACCGCAAACGCATAAGAGTTTTTTGTATAAGTTAGAACCTCATATATATAAATTTATCCGTTAATGAAATGCACCACCATTCATCATTCATCGATGTGAAGCTAGTACGAACAAACGATGTATTAGATAAAAACTTTTTTACTAAATATGTCCCCGTCCATTCGATGCAGTATTAAGTTCTGAGTCGAATGGTGTAGTTTTCGGACATTATCGATCTGTATTTCATCATAACGTTCCGTGAGGTTGACAGACAGCTCTGCCGCCTACAACACTAGGTCAATCCTAGAAACTGTTCGAATGATCCAAAACCGCAACTTAGAAGCTGACTTAGGTATTCACACATTCACAATGAAAGTCAAACAATTTGCTCATCTTGTTTGTCTCTTCTATTTTCTTCTATATGAAGCCAGCTCAAGATCTTCATAGTCCATCGGGTACTAAACTTCCAGGATCTATTTGTTGAAAAGCATTTTCCTACAGATCGTAGTCAATTTTTCTCGCAGGCAAATTCATATGAATTTTCTGTTTGTCTATCTTTCCTTCTCGATTTACACATACGCACCAAGTGCAAAGACTTTATTTCGGACGAATAAATAAGACAACATTAACTCATTTTGTACAAGTGCACAATGTATGTCAGTCTATACACTGAATCATCTTCAGTTGCAACATGAAAAAGATCTATCTACATTGAATCATTTTCTTCAGTTCTGTCCGATAGATTTTTCCTGTAAAAACGTATAAGAAAAATGAAATGAAAAACCCGCCTTGTTGCCAAACAACTGTTATACTTCGGATCGTTATATAATAAGGAGTACTCATTGACGGAATCAATGTGACTATAATATAAGTTATCGCAGATGGAGTAAAAAACAGGAGATACACGCCAACTTGTATAATCATCATTCGAGCTAATTGTCCTTCGGTACGACGATGAGAACTAGCTTGAATTATCGGTGCTACACGGTGTTTCTGACTTCGAATATTATAAATTGTCCATACGCCAAATATGCTCAACATAATCGGTATCAGAATGTAATAAAGAATCACTCGACTCATCAGATAAGCCGCCACCAATGTTGTTGAATACTGTAAACATCTTCGATTTCCAGGATCGCCAGAATCATAGTAATATATGATTAGAAAAGGACACATATAGATGGTAGATATAATCCATACGATAAGAATAATTCTTCGCGCAACATACACTTGGCTCAAACGACGTAAACGAATAGATTCAGAACTGGAAAAGAATCGATCAATAGATGCACATACTAACATTAACCCGTACCATAACGGTGCTGTATAGATGAAAAACGGAATTACTCTGCACATAATCGGGCTGTCCTGAATAATGAACTGAAAACCATATTGAAGTATCAAATTAATAGGCGAAACCAACACGTATATTAAGATAGGTGGAATAGCAGCCATAAAATAATAAGCGCATGCAGATGACCGAAGAACTCGTCGATAAAGTACATTAAAATTTAATATACTTGTCGTTACTATCAGTATTGCCGCGAAAGAAAAACTATAGACAAGGGGTTGCCGAGCTGCCTCAACGAGATTATATCCATAGGACGATGGTGGTGTTCTATTATTCATTGATGACATTCGAATAGGAAAATGGATTAAAATTGTGATAGATCTTCTATATGAATCAGTGAAATAACACAAAGATTCTCATGGGATATGAACTTTATTTCCATTAGCCATATCCTGAATAAATTAACATTTAATACAAAAGAATATTTCAAGCTGATGTTAAATTAATGACAGCGTTCAATAAAGATTATATGCGCATGTAAGTATTCCATTCTTAATAATGAGAACATAGAGAGAAAGAAGGTCAATTTCTGCGCTTTTTTCATACTAATATCACGAATGTCTACGCGACCTGACGAATTGTAGGGAATGAATGTTTATTCAACACTTTTCCCTTCGATAGAAAACGAGGATCTATATAAAAATCTTGTTCTAGTGTATGAAAAATGATCATACTATATGCGTTAGGGTATGACAAAATTCCGAAGTATAAACCGGTGAAAAAAAATCACCATTTCACAACGTTTGGTTTCGATTGCACAAATTTGCCAAATGATGGTACATGCAACGCTACGACCACTAGAATTAATTGGTTGTGTACAGTTTAAGGGTGATCGTCTCGATGTTCGGATCACAATACACAATGGAAGCCCTTCATTAGAAATGTTGCCATCTGACAAACGTGTTGTCCAACTATGGAATGGTAATCGAGTTGTTGATATCAATTCATTCAACTTCTTTCGTAATAAGCTATTGAAAAATGCGTTCTATCAATTTTAAAGAGAATTTTCCAATTTCGATCTGTCAATTAGCATCGACTGACGGTCGGCTAAATCATGAACTTTTCATTCACATAGTTTATATATATTCAAGAAGGTAATTAGTAAAATAGTTATTCGTTTACAGTGCACTTGTCTTAATTTGTACTTGAATGAATTCTTCGATATTTCTGATAAAATATTACTTTTACAAAAAGTATAGGAATTATTCGACAAATAATAGGAAAACCTTCGTACAAACCAATCAATATGATTATGCCTTCAATGGTATTATATTTATCAACGTATTTTGAAATCAAGGGGGGAAAGCGAGACTTCATACTTCAAATACTATCTGAAGTAGATGAAGTTTCGCTTTTTTTTCTCCTTGGATTTTCCACTACATGGTCAATCGCCTTCAACATTTCAACAATTTGGTTGTACATCTCCATTCTCATTAAGTATTTGCTACGTTTTTTCACATTGACTGATCGTACATATTCATCAACTCTTCTGCAAAATGCTTCTTCCACGATATGGAAATAGATTTAAATGTTTTTATTTTCGTTCAGAGAGGTATTTAAACAGCCAGAACAAAGACTTGTTTACTTAAAAGTTAATCCTCCAGTTTAGTAATGCATTGGAGTTTCACTTCAAAACATTTTAATTCTTCCTAGTTCAAATCACAAAATTTTAATCTATCCTAGTTTTTATGAAAATTTTGAAACTTACCAGTTATCAGTTTTAAAGTCACCGAGTACAGATTCAAATTTGAATTATTCCTAGGTGAGATCGAAATTCTGATCTGTACTAGTTCGAGTTCAAACTGAACTGAATTTTGATGTGTACTACGGCGTATACATGTAAATTGGAAAATATAACACTATACTTTTATAATCATGAATAAAGTGAACACGACGAGATGAGAAGATTATTTGAGTCTATCGAATTACAAAATTTTGTATTCGATTATTTCCACGGTCGATAACATAAAGTTCGCCATGATGATCAAAGACTAAATCATTTAAACCATCAAAGTGACGTGATGTGAATCCACGACCATGTCCACCAACAACAACAGCACCTCGTTGTTCTCCTTGAAGCCAACGCATCACTCGATTGTTGCTATCGTCTGCCACATACAATGTACCATTAGTATCAACGAACAATCCATTGGGATTACAAAGTTGGTCAAAATCATCTCCGCAACCACCGTACCCAGCAATAATGATACCTTCTGTTGCACCTTTATTCCACTTCGAAATACGATGATTAGCATTGTCTGCTACATATACATTATGTTGTTGATCGACAAAGATGAAAGAAGGAAAGCGGAGCTGATTAAGATTAGAGCCTTCTCCATGGCCACCAGCCACACTGGTTACAATAGTGCCTTTCATTTCATACCGTCTAACTTCATGTTTGTCGAGATCAATAATGTAAAGACCGCCATCGTTATCGATGGTCATATCCGCACATCCAATATTGTTAATGTAAATTGTTCCTTCTTTGGTGCCATTACGATGATACCATTGTATGACTCGTCGATTCTTAGAATCACAAATAATGAGACTATTCGTCACACTATCAATCACTACACTAGTTGGAGAATCGAATTGATCCAATTGTTTTCCTTTACCATTACCGCCAGCCACCACTGTTCCATTCTCATCACCCAACTTCCATTGAACAATACGATGGTTTTTTTCGTCAGCAATAAACATAGTTCGATTCTCATCGATGAAAAGACCTCTAGGAGTATTGAGTTGATTGGTAGCAGTGCCTGATCCATGACCACCAGCAACAGTAATGCCTATCTCTAGAACAAGAATGTAATAATAACCGTTTAAATAATAAACAAAATCTCCGTTATACATGGTCCTATTATATTTTTACACTTTCTTTCTTTCTTCCTGTATAATCATCAAATGAATGATTGTAAGTGTTACATATAAGAGTTTTCCAACCTTTTTTCTCAGTTTTTTTCTCTCAAAAATTCGGTTTACTGTGAAGATCAGAATAAGGAAACTCGCACTATAGGTTTCTTAACAGTCCTATATAATAGTGTTATAATGATGATTTTTATCTTACTTAGATTATCTCGCAAATCTGACAATGTTTTGTTAAAATAATCAATTTTTTGCTGGTTTTTCGACTGAAGCGTATTTAAATCGTCGATTTTTTCTTCGTTCATAGTTTTTTCCTTGAGTATGTGCTGATATTTCATATTTAAGATGATAATCCATACACAACAACCAATTAACAGTATTCCGAGAATAATCGATAAGAGAATAAAAACTAACGAACATTTTCGTGTCATTGATAATATTTTTAATGATTGATTTTGTTCCTTCAATTTACATGTTCTTTTTCGACCATCGTCAATAATATTCATTTCAATATTATTGTTTTCACAAATATTTTCTTGAGGCAAAGCTAAAACATATTTTATAATCTATGAATAGAATCAAACAAATATGATTTACCAGTGTCTATAGAATATATGCCATCATTATCATCTACTAATTGTTCGATGACAGGTGGCATTATTATAGATAAACTTCGCATCGATTCATTTAATCCATTCGGTTGTAGTTCTTTCATATGTTCTAAATAAGATATTATACAATTAGTCCCATGTGAAAGTCTCTATTTGAAACAAAAGAACAGCTACCAGTTAGAAGTTTTACAGCATCATAACATTGAATCTCATAGAATGTTTTGATTAAAAACGTGAAATCATTGGAATTAATTTTATCTTGTTCGAAAAGAGATTGTATAATCGATAGAGTGCCATATAATGATAGATCATCTCCATATTTTTTTGGAACATCATTATATAAGAAAAAATGTAAACGGTGACGATCATCAACACTAAGGCGTTGTTCTACTTTTAAAATAACAGCGCGTAAATCATGATCATTCATTGGTTTTATTTCATTCTTTTTTCTTCAATGGAAGGAAATTTACTTTGCTCGGCAGCGTAATGCTAGATAGAAATGAATTGTAAATGGCGTAGAATAGATAAAGTAAAACATCTTCTTCTATGATGGCGGAGAAAGAAAGGTTATCAACGGAAGCAACAACATTAAAACGATGGGATGAGAAAAATGAAAGGGAAATAGAAACCAAATATAGTAAATAAAAGAAATACAAAAAGATTATTGTGGTGTTTATTGATGAGAGAGCAACGAGCAAGCAAAAGAGGAAGATAGAGAGAGAGAGAGAGATAGCCTCCTAAATCAAAACGGTCTCTTGTGTATATATACTATGTGAACGACTCAAGAATCTCAAGGCATATACAAATGACTCATGGCAGAATGCCATGATAACAATGTGCTGTACTCGAGTTTCTTCTAATACATTCACCAAAGCTTGCACACTTTCTGTTGGAATCGCATTATTCTGCAGATTTAATTTGTTTAGTGTCTGAATCCTGTTCACGCGTAGGTATGACTAAATAATTGAATCTCACCCTAATCTTCTCGCAAATCGTGTACTAAATTGACGGCACCTTGAGTCGTCACACGACTCCATCCGATATCTACAATTCGACTATGTCGAAGATGAATTGTTTAAAGCGTTCATAAATAAAATCCTGTTGAATGCAATATGGTGGAAGTCTTAGAATTGCACTTTGTTATGTTTCAATACTCGAGCACCCATTCGTCCGCCTCGGTTACTAATTCCACTGTTTGAAAGATTGACTTCAGTGATTCTCTTTACGAAAAAGCTCTGTTTACTGTATTATTGTAAAGAGCGTTTGTGATTAAACATAGCGATTGACAATCAATTCTTTGATTTTCAAGATTTCATGTAGTTTGTGTCTAAATGGAATAATTTCGATGTGTTTCAAACACACAGTTGATATTATTGTATCGTTTTGTAACAAGTTAATGAATTATTGTATTTGTAGATCGTCAATAGTATTTCTTTCGAAGCGCAAATCAATAAGTGTGTCCACGAGAGAATACTGCATGTAGTGCGCACCACACACATTGATGTGGTTATTTTAAAGATTGAATACGTGGTCCATATATACAGTGAATTGAATGAAAGCATATGCTGGTTAATAGAGAGATGATTTCTCAAGAAGAATATACTGCACGTCGGAAATAAAGATGAATCGATACCATTTAATCCATTACTAGCGAAGATTACGTCGTTCTTTTGTAAAAATTTATAATAAAATTTCAATCCTGGATACACGAAAACAATTGTCTTCGATATTGAACGAGTGACATGTCTAAACCGTATAAATTGCTCGCAATTTATTTTCTTCTATAATGTCATACAAAGACATCTTAGTAACGAAATGTATAAAGTAATGCGTTTGCATTTTGATGATCAGATAGAATAGAATTTATACTCATCATGTGTGTGTGTGTGTTTTGAAACAAAATGAAATGATGTTATCTTATGAAGAGAAAAGAGATGTTTGAGATCTTCATTGATCGATTTTTCAACATGAAAACAAGTTCTTTCTTTGTTTTGTCGAATGATAATAAACGCCGATACATTACATTTAATTTTCAAGGTTGTTATAACGAGTCATGAACGACAAAAGTACTTAATTTATGATAGTTTATTAACCTTCTATTTCGGCTATAGGTAAAGAAAAAAAAATAGAAGACAATGAAGAAGTTTCATAAATTTCTTGTCCGCAGTGTGAATTTGTCCTACAAGAAGTCGAATTAATATATCTTGTTTTTCTAATTATAATGTAGCTAAGATAGTATGAAAGATTTGTGATGCTTGTGTCAGTCGTGTAAAATATTTATCTGGATCTCTTGAATCTGCTTCTCGAGTAAGACAATTTAAAAAGTCGTCTCCATAATAAAAATATTGAGATAAATTAAATAAAATTGCCATTAAATAAGGAAATAACCGAAGACCAGCCTTAATAATCAATTGAGGTTTATAATGAAGTTTTTCAATCCATCGTCGAAACCAGTGTGGCTTTTCTGGCGGATTAGGAGATCTATTTTTCGTTGCAAATGTATAAAACTTTAATATACCAGTGAGAATNGTCGTCCTGATGGTGTTGAAATTATCAAGGATTTGGCCTGGTTTTTAGATTGCATAAGGTAGTCTGTTTTAACCTCATCACCAGCTGCCTGAATGATGGCTTTCGTTAAGATTGATGACGAAGCACTAACAGTTATGACATCCATCTTCCGAAAAACGATAACAATGAGCAAATACTTTATCTCACGACACTTGTCTAATATCTTACCTTTTGTTGAGCGATCTCGCCATTCTCGACTTCAATCGTTCCGCTTCCAACTTCTGTTGACACGATTTTCATTCTGGCATTCTTTATTACACCAATCTGCGTTTGTAACTCCTTGTATATATTCTCTTCAGTAGATTCGATAACAAAGAGGATGGAGATTGGATGTGCAGCTAGCTGGTGGCAAACTTCTGTCACGAAAATCTCAGCCATCAAAGCAGGCGAACAACCAAAACCGCCACAACCGATGGCTGGAAATGAAATGCTTTGATATCCCTCATTTACTGCTTCCGTGATTGTTTCAGAAAATAATTTTCGGATAGATCGTCGAAGTACAGTACTATTAGAGCCTGGCCGCCATTCTACAAAGTAGATCTTCTTGGATGCAAGTTGTCCGTCAGCAACAACAGAAAGAACCGATTCGGCAGATGAGCTTTCCGATTCAGTTGTATATGAATCCCTCACTGAATTCCCACCAGCTGCGAGAACACTTTCTAACATTCCACATGACAATGCGTTTACGACAATAACATCAGTCTGAAAATATCTCACAATATATTTATCTTCTCATTCGTTATTTTGTTCTTCTAACTTCAACATACCTTTTGTGTTATTAAACTACCGACACAAACATTAATATATTTCACCACTATTTTATTGGTTGCTAAAGTCTATAATGAATATTGAAAACATTTCTATATTAGTTCCTTAAATGCTAGGATGCTGGTGTATATATTGCTCTGTCTACTGTTAACATGTACTACCTGACAGCATACAGCGGCAGTGTGAAGTGAAGCATCTTGTCTTGTATAATAGGCACAACATTCGTCGCAAGTGATAATCGCCAACGGGCATTTTTGATTGTGTTCATCTGAATTCAACTTTAGCACCTTAGCCATACAAACGGAACATGTTATTAATTCATAGGCACAATTTTCTTCATGCTTGAGTAATTGATCATATCGACTGTATCGAGCGCAACTAGGACAACCGTATTGCTTATAACGACATGGAATCCTCAGCTGAGACAACTTTTCAGTGATTGTCTCCGGACAATTCTGCGCCACACATGGCAAGGAAGTATTTCCGCACGGTTCTTTCTTGGAAATTCTTGTTTGTAAACATTGATCACAAAATGATCTTTGACAATTACCACATCTCACAGGCTGCCATAGTATGCCCTTACACACAGCACATATCAATTCTTCATCTTGAAGTGAATGACTCACACGGCTACTCGGAAGGTGAGCCTTCGGACGTTTACTACCGCTGACACCCATTGTGCAGCTTCTCGCAAATCCTTTTTCTTCTTATAATAAAGCAGCTTTACTCTATTCTTACCTTTTATTGTCATCGATAAAAGACATCGAATCGTTTATGTCATATGTTACTTGAAATGGTATTACTGTTCGATACCATAAAAAGCTAAAAGTGTGTATATTGACTTTATGTATCAACTTCGATAAGGAAAGATTTACTTAAGCTGACAGCATAATTTCGTGCGGAAGAACACGTGAATGAAGGTGTATGTAAGAAAGCTGATAGTTTTGATCAATGCTTTTATCTGATACAAGTTATTAGGCGCAATAAAAAGTTGGAAGAAAAGAAAAACGCTTCTGTGATATTCATTGTGTTCTTCCATTCGAGAATTTTCTTCGGTCGTTTATCGTGACGTATAGGGGTGGATGAATTATTTCTGAAAGGGGACAGTTTCGACTTGAGTCAAATCGAATATTGCTATTCATTTTCTGATGTGTAATCTCTATGAATGATCTTTGGTATAATCTTCAAAGAAAATTGAATGTTTGGAGTATATTATCTTTATAGTGACATTTTCTCAAACTTCAATAGTCTTGATTATTTCCAGAAGTGAAGACGGGTGGGATGGCTGATTTTATTCACAGAAATTGCTCGATATTTTTCGCAATTAGCTATCGTTTTCCAGAATTCCATCAATTGTCTGTAGCAGACGTAGAATTGATTTTCTTATGAAATTTTTCTAGAATTGATGTAACCGTTGGTAGATACAAAAGAGAATGCGTGTTTTTTTCTCTATTTCCAGTCGCATTTCTCATTGCAGCAATGAGACAGATTCAACACTGTAACATATTTCTTCGCCTTCATTAGCTTGGCAATCTCATCTATTTTTATGCTTTCTGATTCTTTTCAACGCATATAAATCCGATAATGCATGCACTATGTCTGAAGTTTTTAGATAATCACACTTCGCTCAATAAAGATTTTTATAAAAACTTTGACTTTCATCGCATATCACAACAAATGCAATCAACGGATCTTCTTCGTTCTCAGTTTTTACTGATATAGAGGTGTTACTCTGATGATCTTTACTAATTCTTCGAATTCCGAAGTTTGGTATATTCCGACTGATATCTTAAGAATAACATGTGATTCAACTACAATTGGCATTTCATTTTGTCTGTTAGTTGTCATTGTAACTAACAAAGCATGTCGAACGGTACCCATGATGTTAACTGCGAATACTTGCTTCACTGAATTTATTTGTGCGTGTGTCTTATTAAGTATGACAGTTTTCGTATTACAAAATGACATCAAGCAAATTATCTACGAAGATTCTCTTTGTCGCGTTCGTGGTTATTTATTAATAAGCATTACTGTTGCACAAAATTATTCCTATGTATTACAAGCGATTTACCGCTACATTACAATTGTGCATCCAAGTCGTCTCTTTTGGCATTCATCTCGTTTCCAAACGTGTCTTATTTGCTTAGTATGGATTTTTTCTTTCACCATAATCCTACCTGTGCTCTTAACTAATCAAATTGTATACAACCCGTTCAATCACATATGTCATCCACCATTGGGAAGATCTTTTGGTATTATTTATATAACAATCGTGCTTTATTTGATTCCAAATATATTTATTAATATTATCTATTCACGTCTAGTTCGATTCGTTCGCGAAATAAGCAAAAGAGTGACATCGACGAATGTCATAGCTCGTGCAGAACGAGATTTAAAAATGGTAAAAAGCATTATAACAATAACAACTATTCTTGGAATATTGGGCCTTCCGTTTGCTTTTCTCATTTTTTGGTCTCTTTTTACAACACCACCTCGCGATCATTTCCGTATTGCCTTTATCGGTGTTGATATATCAACCACAGCTGTCATCATTGCAGTATTCAAAACGACACCTCCAATTAAAACTGCTTTGTCAGAAAAACTAGCTGCGTTACAAACAATATTTACTACCGCAAACGCATAAGAGTTGTTTGTATAAATTGGAATCTTAAATATATAAATTTATCCGTTAATGAAATGCGCCATCACTCCAACAACATGATAAAAAGATGTTAATATAGATTTTTCTTAAAACGATGAGTATAGTTTCCTAAGCCATTTGGTAAATATCTACACATATTTTAGCACAAATATATGTATTTGTTAGAGACAAGCAATCTGTCGTAGGCGAGCGGAATCAATTCTCCCCAAATGTCCAAAGGAGCTCCCAAATGGAAAGGATTCTATATGAGGTATGACTAGTGCTTAGTTTTTCTCTCTATCTCTAACTCTATTATGTAGTAGGAATATAATGTGAATTAATTAGCATCCTTGAATAACAAAACTTGAGAATTTTGCCATTCGGAAATATCTGGCCGTTAAGATGAAAAAAGAATTAGAAAAAGCCAGTTATTTTTCTATTGTGTATTGCTGAAGTAAAGCAGATTTAGCTCATCTGTCAACCTCATGGAGCGTTATGATGAAATACAGATCGATAATGTCCGAAAACTAATCTAAATGTCATAAATTTCACCATAAATACTCACATATCCAGTAGGATTCTAACATCATTTACGGCGCATCATAGTGTCTTTACGCGGACCCTCATAAAACATTCAAAATCGTGTGAAAAGTGAATTAATAGATAAGCATCTATAGTGAAATTTATGACATTTAGATCAGTTTTCGGACATTATCGAACTGTATATCACCACAACGCTCCATGAAGTAAATACATGAACTAAGTGCGCTTTACTTCGGCAATATACGCAGAATAGAAAAATAACTGGCTTTTTCTAATTTTTTTCATCCTTACGGCCGGATGCTGCCAAGTGGCAACATGTTGACAGACAGCTCTGCCGCGTACAACATTAGGTCAACCATAGAATTTAGAAGCTGACTTAGGTATTCACGCATTCACAATGAAAGTCAATCGATTTACTCATCTTCTTCTACATGAAGTTAGCTCAAGATCTTCATAGCCCATCGTGTACCAAACTTCCAGGATCTAATTATTGAAAAGCATTTTCCTACAAATCGTAGTCAATTGTTCTCGCATGCAAATTCGTATGAATTTTCTGTTTTTCTAGCTTTCTTTCTCGAATAACACATACAAAATTGACATTTTCATCTATCGTATACGCACCAAATGCAAAGACTTTATTTTGGACGAATACATAAGACAACATTAACTCATTTTGTACAACAAATGCACAATGTATGTCAGTCTATACTGAACCATCTTCAGTTGCGACATGAAAAAGATCTATTTACATTGAATCATTTTCTTCAGTTCTTTCCGATACATATTTCCTGTAAAAACATATAAGAAAAATGAAATGAAAAACCCGCCTTGTTGCCAAACAACTGTTATACTTCGAATCGTTATATAATAAGGAGTATTCATTGATGGAATCAATGTGACTATAATATAAGTTATCGCAGATGGAGTAAAAAACAGGAGATACACGCCGACTTGTATAATCATCATTCGAGCCAATTGTCCTTCAGTACGACGACGAGGACTAGCTTGAATTATCGGTGCTACACGGTGTTTTTGACATCGAATATTATAAATTGTCCATGCGCCAAATATGCTCAACATAATCGGTATCAGAATATAATAAAGAATCACTCGACTCATCAGATAAACCTCCACCAATATTGTCGAATACTGTAAACATCTTCGATTTCCAGCATTGCCAGAATCATAGTAATATATGATTAGAAAAGGACACATATAGACAGTAGATAAAATCCATACGATAAGAATAATTCTTCGTGCGACATACACTTGGCTCAAACGACGTAAACGAATAGATTCAGAACTGGAAAAGAATCGATCAATAGATGCACACACTAACATTAATCCGTACCATAACGGTGCTGTATAGATGAAAAACGGAATTACTCTGCACATAATCGGACTGTCCAGAATAATGAACTGAAAACCATATTGAAGTATCAAACTAATAGGCGAAACCAACACGTATATTAAGACAGGGGGAATAGCAGCCATAAAATAACAGGTGCATGCAGATGACCGAAGAACTCGCCGATAAAGTACATTAAAATTTAATATACTTGTCGTTACTATCAGTGTTGCTGCGATAGAAAAACTATAGACAAGGGGTTGTCGAGCTGCCTCAACTAGATTATATCCATATGACGATGGTGGTGTTCTGTTATTCATTGATGACATTCCAATATGAAAATGGATTAAAATTGTGATAGATCTTCTATACGAATCAGTGAAATAGCACAAAGATTCTCATGAGATGTGAACTTTATTTCCATCAGACATATCCTAAGTGAATTAACAGTCAATAGAAAAGAATATTTTAGGCTGATGTTAAATTAATGACAGCATTCAATAAAGATTATATGCGCATATGAATATTCCATTCTTAATAATGAGAACAGAGAGAGAAAGAAGGTCAATTTCCGCGCTTTTTTCATACTCATACCACGAATGTCTACGCGACCTAACGAGTTGTAGGGAAGGAACGTTTATTTAACACTTTTCCTTCGATAGAAAACGAGGATCTATATAAAAATCTTGTTCTAGTGTATAAAAAATGATCATACTATATGCGTTAGGTATGACAAAATTCAGAAGTATAAACCGGTGAGAAATCACCATTTCACCACTTTTGATTTCGATTGCACAAGCTTGCCAAATGATGGTACATGCAACGCTACGACCACTAGAATTAATTGGTTGTGCATAGTTTATTGGTGATCGCCTCGATGTTCGGATCAATACACAATGGAAGTCCTTCATTAAAAATGTTGCCATCTGACAAACGTGTTGTCCACTTATGGGACGGTAATAGAGTTGTAGATATCAATTCATTCAACTTCTTTCATAATAAGCTGTTGAAGAATGCGTTCTATCAATTTTAACGAGAATTTTCCAATTTCGATCTGTGAATTACCAACGACTGACGGTCAGATAAAATCATGAGCTTTTATTCACAAAGTTTATATATTCAAGAAGGTAATTAATAACATAGTTATTCGTTTACAGCGCACTTGTCTTAATTTGTACTTGAATGAATTCTTCGATATTTCTGATAAAATATAACTTTTACAGAAAATATAGGAATTATTCGACAAATAATAAGAAAAACCTTCGTGCAAACTAATTAATACGACTATACCTTCAATGGTATTATATTTATCAACGTATTTTGAAATCAAGGGGAAAAGCGCGACTTCATACTTCAACTACTTCACTTTACTTCAAATACTATCTAAAATAGATGAAGTCTCGCTTTTTCCCCCTTGGATTTTCCACTCCATGGTCAGTCGCCTTCAACATTTCAACAATTTGGTTATACATCTCCATTCTCATTAAGTATTTGCCACGTTTTTTCACATTGACTTATTGTACATATTCATCAACTCTTCTGCAAAATGCTTCTTCCATGATATCGAAATAGATTTAAATGTTTTTTTTCCTCGTTCAAACAGGTATTTAAACAACTAGAACAAAGACTTGTTTACTTAAAAGTTAATACTCTAGTTTAGTAATGCATTGGAGTTTCATTTCAAAACATTTTAATTCCTCCTAGTTCAGATCAAAATTTTCATCTATCCTATAGTTTTTATTAAAATTTTGAAACCTACCAGTTCAGTTTCAAAGTCAACCGAGTACAGATTAAATTTGAATTATTCCTAGACGAGATCGAAATTCTAATCTGTTACTAGTTCGATTTAAAACTGAACTGGATTTTGATCTGTACTACGACGTATACATGTATATTGGAAAATATAACACTATACTTTTACAAACATGAATAAAGTGAATACGACGAGATTAGAAGATTAATTGAGTCTATCGAATTACAAAATTTTGTATTCGATCGTTTCCACGGTCGATAACATAAAGTTGGCCATGATGATCAAAGACTAAATCATTTAGACCATTAAACTGACGTGGTGTTGATCCAGGACCAAGTCCACCGACAACAACAGCACCTTCTTGTGCTCCTGGAAACCAACGCATCACTCGATGGTTGAGATCGTCCGCTACATACAATGTGCCATTAGTATCAACGAACAATCCATTGGGATTATAAAGTTGTTCTAAATCATTTCCGCGATCATAGTACCCAGCCACAATGATACCTTCTGTTGCATCTTTATTCCACTTCAAAACACGATGATTACCATTGTCTGCTACATATACATTATGTTGTTGATCGACAAAAATGAAAGAAGGAAAGCGGAGCTGATTAAGACTAGAGCCTTCTCCATGGCCACCAGCCACACTAGTTACAATAGTACCTTTCATTTCATATCGTCTAACTTCATGTTTGTCGAGATCAATAATGTAAAGACCGCCATCATTATCGATGGTCATATCCGTACATCGAATATTGTCAATGTAAATTTTTCCTTGTTTGGTGTCATTACGATGATACCATTGTATGATTCGTCGATTCTTAGAATCGCAAATAATGAGACTATTCGTCACACTATCAATCACTACACTAGATGGAGAATCGAATTGATTCAATAGTTTTCCTTTACCATTACCGCCAGCCACCACTTTTCCATTCTCATCACCCAACTTCCATTGAACAATACGATGGTTGCTTTCGTCAGCTATAAACATAGTTCGATTCTCATCGATGAAAAGACCTCTAGGAGCATTGAGTTGATTGGTAGCATTGCCTGATCCATGACCACCAGCAACAGTGATGCCTATCCCTAGAAAAAGAACGTAATAATAACAGTTTAAATAATAATAAAAAATCTTCGTCATACATGGTCCTATTATATTCTTATACTTTCTTTCTTCCTGTATAATCATCAAATGAATGATTGTAAGTGTTATATATAAGAGCTTTCCGACCTTTTTTCCTCAGTTCTTTTCTATCAAAAATCCGGTTTACTGTGAAGATCAGAATAAGGAAATTCGCACTATAGGTTCCTCAACTACCCTACATAATAGTGTTATAATGATGACTTTTATCTTACGTAGATTATTTTGCAAATCTGTCAATGTTTTGTTAAGATAATCAATTTTTTGCTGGCTTTCCGACTGAAGTGTATTTAAATCGGCGATCATTTTTTCTTCGTTCATAGTTTTTTCCTTGAGTATATACCGATATTTCATGCTTAAGATGATAATCCATACACAACAACCAATTAATAGTATTCCGAGAATAATCGATAAGAGAATAAAAGCTAACGAACATTTTCGTGTCATTGATAATATTTTTAATGATTGATTTTGTTCCTTCAATTTACATGTTCTTTTTCGACCATCATCAATAATATTCATTTCAATATTATTGTTTTCACAAATATTTTCTTGACGCAAAGCTAAAACTTATTTTATATTTTATAATCTATGAATAGAATCAAACAAATATGATTTACGGGTGTCTATAGAACATAAATCATCATCTATCAATTGTTCGATGACAGGTGGCATTATTATAGATAAACTTCGCATCGATTCATTTANCAGTGAAAAGAAATGTAATTGCTGTACAAACAAAACTAATCCAAAAGATGGTTTTCGATAAAATTCTATGCCATGACCTTTTTCTTTGCTGTGCAGCATGAATTGCTTGTTTATTACGAGCGTAGAAAAACAATTTCGTAAGAAATGTATGAGCTAAACTTGTAAATGGAGTGAATAAATAATTGTAAATTCGATAACCAAATATATTATAACAATGCCATGTGGTCGCAAATTCACCAGACATACAGTTTCCTTGAATAATACAAAACCAAACTGTATGAGCGAATAATGGTATAGCCGAGAAAAGCAAATCATATAAATCAAATGTCATCAGTTTGGCTTTTTTGTTAACTTTAACTTTGAATTTACTATCCGATGTATTAGATTTTGTAGTTAAAAGATTTTTAAATGGTAAAAGAATATAAAAGGAAATATCGTCAGGTTCTTCGTTTACGTATGGTTCTGGATGAATTATTGGAGTAGGAGGTCTTGGCGGATTTGGTCTGATGTATTCAATTTCGACTAATTCACTTGGTAGTTGCCATGTGTCATAAACGGCTTTGTCCCAAAATCGTAATGTAAAATCAAAAACTAAGAACTGTGCGGCAATAACAAAAAACGGTTGAATTCCCGTGTTGTCATCACGAAATGTATAAAGTAATGGATTTGCATTTTGATAATCACTTGGAATTGAACTTGTTGTAGTCATGATGATGAATGTCTTCTATCACATAAGTTACAATATTTATATAATAGAGGAAGTCAGGTCAATTATCACTGATAAAACTCTATAGATCGATATGTTATTGAAGATACGAGAAAGAAAAGATTGACAAGTGTGAATGTGTGGTCACGCTGATTGTATCACGTTTGGTAGATCATTAAGATTCGTGTTTTTTTTCTCGTTCAATATATTAGTAACGTTCATGAAGACCAAAAAAAGGAAGTGGAGTAATTATTCTTTCTTTCGTACTATAAAGGAGTTACAATGAAGTCCTTAAAAAGCACCTGTTGTAGGTACACGGGTAGATTCTGCCATGCTTTTGTTAAAGTAACGAGTGAACACTTTATTTCTATCATAATCGATTCTTATGTGAAAGACATCAATTCCGAATGTATCTTTAACTAGCTAATTTGAAAACACGAGATTTGATTGTAATTAAAATTGTATGAAATATTTGTGATGTTTGTGCCAGTTGTGTATAAGAAGTGAATGTATACACCAGAAATCGGCAGGTCCGTCTGGCAAATTTTTCAGAATTTGATGAAGCTTTCACAGCTGACACAGTTCTCGTTCCTGATCATTTTCAGCAGAGACATGATTTTAAGCTGTGTTACGACCGACTGCTGTTCGTGAAATTGATCAGTAGCTACATGAATCTCATACAGCAGCGTCATGTAAGTCGATTCGGTATGGGATAGAGTTGTAATGCGGTGTCACTTTGGGGTAGAACAGAAAAAATAGTTTCTTTTACAATGCAGAAGAGTTTGCGTAAAGTTACAAATCTTGATTTTTCCAGGAAAACTTGAGCAAATACAAAAGTTTGTGTACTATGATAGATATTCTTGTCGTACAAATTGAAGTATAAGAAGAATTTAACTTCAATAGATTCTCCAGTTAATCTTTTAGAATAACATTCAATCTCTGGATCAGTTAAGTATTGAGAACATGACTGACGCAAGTAACAATGAATATAAAGGCAAAAATCGAGAAAATCGTGAAGCAGATCCCAGTGGTAAACCCTTATTGTCTTACGTAAAATATAACAGTCAACGTGAAGGCCAACGTGCACCAGTGCATCACATAGCACGTGGGAATGCTACTATGAGTATTGTTCTTCTTGTTACCGCGACATCATCATGATATTTCTTTGATTTATTCATTGAAAACAATTCGATACGTTGGACACAATGCTTCTACCAAATATATTTATTTATCTAATTTTCAAATCATCATCTATATTTACAATTATATGAATATATAGCACGCGTAGAAAAACAAAAACCAAGTCTATGTAACCGTCGGTGTTGCACAGCATTTCGCTCACTGCACCTCCGTCACTATCTTTGGTACATCTCATTTTGTGGGATACATTGTAGAATGCAGATGCTGAGTAGAGCCAAATATATTATCAGCAACTAACTTTGCCACATATAGTCACTAGAAAGGCCTCCATGTCACGCAGAACATAGACCTAAACATGTAATGAATACTGATTATTTACTTTCTAATGCAAAAACTTTATCCCTTCGTAGTTTGATAAAAGAATAAAGGCAGTAATCATATTACGTAGAACAAAACTAAATCACATGAAACGTTCCGGAATGTGTCTCCCTTTGCCAAGGAATTCTGTCTCGAACAGATTGCGTTAATTTCTAATGATTTTCATCTATCACAAGCATTACGCTTGTTTTTTTCTTCTATCTAATAAAACTAGATCTACTGAGTGCCTAAGAAATAAAAGAACATAGTCACAAGATTCACGTCGAGAAACCGTTTCAAGAACATAATTTTCTAAAAACAGCAGGTCTCTACGATTGAAAAGGCACGCACTTTATCAGTATTAAAATAGGTTTTTTCTATTTTTGTCTGTTGGGGGATGCAGCGTCGTAAAATACAAATCCTAATTTACTGATTACTCTCGTTATCATTTATGATAGTTGCATTTTGTCTTATGAACGGAAAGCAATAAATATACCATGTCAAATAATTCAACAGAATTGCCCGTACTAGGTGAAACTCAGTGGACGCGAAATATTAAATTCGGTATTTTCATCGCACTTGAACCACCTGCACTCATTTGCAACACCATTCTGGTTTATTATCTTATTTTTAATCGGACGCTGCGTTATACTCTTCATTATCATGCTGTTTTGGCATTACTCATTGTCTGTCTATTAACAAATCTTATTGAAGTGCCACGTATTATACATTATTTACACATTGATATTGTTCTTCCACCAACAAATATTAACTGTTTGATCTGGCAATTGGGCGATTACCTTCTTTTTGGTTCCTTAAATGTTTTCTTACTTTGGGCTTCGATTGAACGACATCTATTTATATTTCATAGCAATCTTTATACGACAGCTAAACGTCGTTTCTATTTTCATTACTTGCCATTAATATCAATTGCCGTTTACCTCATTCTATTCTATATAGGAGCTATCTTTATTTACCCATGTGATACAAATTTTGACTTTACTCAACCTATTTGTGGTTATCCATGTTACACAGCTTCCCCAAATATTTCACTCTATGACTATTTCGCTCACAGCTGTGTTCCTCTCATTTTGGACATTTTATTGGATATTGGTCTCGTCATACGAGCGATGCGTCATAAACGAATAGTTGTGAACCAGCAACGGGAACAAGTCGTTCAATGGCGAAAATATCGTAAAATGATGTTTCAACTTCTACTGATTTCAAGTCTTTATTCAGTACTGCAAATTCCTTTTGTTGTGGTACAACTTATACCTCTGTTTACTATTTTATCTCCACTGGGTGTTTATTTGCAGGCAGTTTACTTCTACTATTTCTTTTGGTTGCTCACACTTCTTTTGCCATTTGTTTGCATTGGATGTTTACCAGAAGTGGTGAAAAAAGTTAAAGATTTATTCACGAGATGGACCAGACGAAACACAATGATCGTACCGATCATTACTAATCGGTTGCAGAGTAGACAATAACATACAATTCTTACAAATGTGATTATATATTTGAAGGATGGACGTAGGTACGATTTATGCTGTGGAAGACACCCTTAGATCCAAGATAGTTTTGTAAAATACAGTGAAAACGAGCGTTACTCAAATTTTCTTCCAGACTTAAAAATTTGAGTGTCTAAACAATAATCAAATATCGTAAAATAAGTGACAAAATAAACGAAACTTACTCGATTTCGTCGTAGAGCTTTAGTTAGGCTTCGAGCACCTCTTACAGTAATTTCATTCCATCCAAAGTCAAGATTTACTAACGTCTTACATTCGGAATGAAAAATATCAATTGTCATTTATATGTTTATTTTACCTTATTTCGTTCTAAAACTTTTATAAAACGCTTAGCAACAATATCACTTATTCTATTGTGTTGAAGATTGATTGTCAGAAGTGTCTAGAAATTGAATACTAAATATTGATCGTATTTCATTCTTCACGATGCGTTATTCTGTAATAATATATAATCGATCATTCGTCCATGGCCCTTATCTTTAATCGTATTGTTCGACAAATCCAATGTGGTAACTATCTACATGATAGAAACAAGAGAAAACACGTATATTCCACGGAATAACCGTTTTGCTTACCGTATTGTTACATAATGGCTTTTGTTATAATACATGCAACTCGACTCGACTGTCTATTCATTTATCTCGAAGATACCATATGGTTTGTGTCTGAACGAAAGCACAACAAACTCAGTCGTTTTTCCAAAAGATAATTGATACAACGTTTTACGAATAGAGAGTATGACGGATCGTGAGATCTGCTAGTCCCAAATCACCAAAATAAACACAGATTCGCACGGCGATTCGGCGACTAAACAGAATAAACAATACTAACGCGACAAGTGTATGACTAATTTGCTTTCCTCTACTTCATACGCACTGTTGTCTTCAAAATAGAACGATCTTGAATTGATGAAGCATCCGGTACTCAAGTTTATCATCACTTCAAAGGAAATATTGATATAGGAAAACTGGAGAAAATATTTTTTGTCTTTTTGTTACTTTAACATGTAATTCTCCTATAAAACTTGAAGAATGTGTCTGCTCTTGCGAAGAAATATGGCATTCCTATACTGACTTAGCAACTATGAGCAGGAAAAAAGATGATATTGTGAACATCGATGACTTTATTGGTTTTAAAGAAGAAGTTATATTTAAGCATGTTTCTGTCTATAGTATTATGTTTGGAGGATTTATTACTAACGGAGGAATGACAGGGCATGATATGAATGCACTTTCACAAGGCTTGGATGAAAACACGGAATTCAGTTATCTCAAGATTCGTATTAAGCAAATCGAGTACCTTGGAAAACGATTAACAAAGTTTGGAATTCCTGTTCAGATGCCTTATGGCTGCCATGCTATTTTTGTTGATGCAAGGAAGTGTCTACTAGATATTCGTAAAGAACAATATTCAGCTAACGCATTGGCTCTTCTGCGCCAAGTGGATGTCATGGATAGAAAACACTCAATTCAATGTGGTTTCACGATAACCTAGGAAGCCCCGCTCCCGCGCCATTTTACAATTGAACCAAAGCGCGTAGAATTGGAAGAGAAGACACACGAATGATACCAACAATACGCAACTATATTTTTTATACGAACTCGATTAAATAAGAGTCTTTATTTAATAATCGCAATCATTTATTTATGAAATCTTTCCCTGTCTACCATTTGAGTTGTGATATATTTTTCAGTAAATTCATCATATATTGTACATATGTTTCACGTTGAATAAGCTACTGTCTTGGTTGTGCTCGAATCATTTCTTTTCCTGTTCTCTGATCAGTTTTAAGCACAAAACGTTGTTTTTCATTTGTTTCGACGCATTGACGTATGTCTTGAATCGTATACTTATTAGAGAATGTCGAATGCCTGAGTACATCCTCCACAAAGACATAACCATCATATTGATATTGTATACCTTCTTGTGTCACTGCATGCCGTAGTAACCATGATAGAGCTTTTGACAGCTGAGTCAGTTTGAGACATTGTTTAAAGGATACATCTCTCTGTCTTTGTATACTTGCATGAAAATTAACTGCTTGATTCTCTTGATTTACGTAGGGTTTCTGAACAATTCTTGCTGTCGTTTTACCTAGAACAAACGAAATTTGATAGATACGAGTATTGATGATTGTCTTCTTGCTCGATCAGTACAACTACGACGTGAAGCGATTACCGTCATTAGAATTATTCAGTGAGGATGTATCTGCAATGTGAATGTTGGTCACTAATGGTGTTGAATCGTACTGAATTGTTATATTTTGCGGTTTAATTAATTGTTCATTGAGTTCTGTAAGTTCATTTTGCCAACGACTTAAATCTGTTTCCATAATATCATTTTCCTCTCGACACTCTCGAATTTGATTTGTCAACGTATTTAATTTTCCTTCTAATTGATGTGTATGACGTGAAGTATGCTCAAATAATATCTGTTTGAGTTCTTCAGCTGTTTTATGAATTTTATCGATGGAATCATTTTTCCATTGTTCGATTTCTTCGATCAGTGGATGTGTTTGTGGATCAGTCGCTTGTTCAGTGAGTGTTTGTCGAAAGAGATCTCTTTGAACTTCAATCTCATCTAAATGAATTGCTAATTGTTGACGATGATCACCCAAATGGTTATAACAGAAATCTTTCAAACAACCAGCACATTTCGATGTGGCCTTTTCTTTATTACAGGTGAAACAACGTATTCTACCGTTTGCCGCAGCCATTTGCTTGATTGTTTCGTGTGTTGACAGGATGAGAAGAATCGGTGAAATACAACCATGTGACTAATTTTGATATAGATGTTTACCATGAAAAAGACCTTTTTATGGTAAAAACACATCTGTCTCCTCCGTCGTATTTAAGATGAAGTTGGCCAATGTTCAAAAATAGTTTCAGATGCAACTTTTGTGACAAAAACGTAATATTATTGTCGGTAATATCAACAATAACAATGATGTGTGACATAATTATAGATGGCACTGGAGTTGAAAACATTTAATGGGAGTGTGGGGTGAAACTAACTTGCTTTTAATGCGAAAGTAAAGTGAAAAAGTGTTTATTCTATTCTACAGCTAGTTTTATCTTTCTTCATTTTCATCACAAATGACAACAAGAGATAGGTGTCACGCATCGTAGTTCATTACTTTTATTGGAACTGGTGACGTGTGGAGAAAAGCAGTTATTGGACAAGTTGATAGATAGCATACAGGTACACTTGTAGAAGGCTTAGATGTGGTAATTCGAGTTCATATCGATGGTTGGCGAGCTGTATATATAGAAGACGTCGAATGTCTAAAAGAGCTCCCTCCAAACGCTCTCTGCTTATCTGTCTCAGCAACATTGTTGGATTTTTATAGTCCAATTTAGGTCGCGAAAAAGCGTACCGAAGAAATCCTTCGATCACCACACATCTGATTAAAAAAAGACACAGCTGTCTGTTGTACTTATTTCGAAACTTTGTTTATATAGTGAATGTCCTATCACTCACTGCCATTACTCCACTTTCTCTAAGGATATCGAATGAAATGTCTACACAATTATTAACCTTTACATTCTATTCGCATCGAAACTGTGTACTGTCGTATACATGCGTCATGGAATGCATGCTACGGTCATATGCATCTTCTTTATGAATGCTATGTCGTTACATAACACTATGGACTTGCGAAGCACTAGATAGTGACACCGAAATTCGGCAGCAACCATCAAACAATGTCTTCCACAGAAAGGTCAACGAAACGAGAAATCAGTGAAACATTTCGTGATCAGTCGTCATCAACGGCATCGAACGTACCATATAGTAGAAAATCAGGTAATGATTGAAAATACCGAAAGAAATTATGTCGAAGAAGAATATATCGAAAACAATATGTTGAAAAATGAATAGCGAAGAGGTTAACGTCGAAAAATCGATGTCGGAGAATAAAAGATCGAATAACATACGTCGAAAAAAAACATCGATAGAAGAAGAAATCGAAATTAAAAATGTCGAAAGAATAGAAAATGATGGAGTTGATTGGAAAAATTAGAANCAGTGAAAAGAAATGTAATTGCTGTACAAACAAAACTAATCCAAAAGATGGTTTTCGATAAAATTCTATGCCATGACCTTTTTCTTTGCTGTGCAGCATGAATTGCTTGTTTATTACGAGCATAGAAAAACAATTTCGTAAGAAATGTATGAGCTAAACTTGTAAATGGACTGAATAAATAATTGTAAATTCGATAACCAAATATGTTATAACAACGCCATGTGGTCGCAAATTCACCAGACATACAGTTTCCTTGAATAATACAAAACCAAACTGTATGAGCGAATAATGGTATAGCCGAGAAAAGCAAATCATATAAGTCAAATGTCATTAGTTTGGCTTTTTTGCCAACTTTAACTTTGAATTTACTATCCGATGTATTAGATTTTGTAGTTAAAAGATTTTTAAATGGTAAAAGAATATAAAAGGAAATATCGTCAGATTCTTCGTTTACGTATGGTTCTGGATGAGTTATTGGAGTAGGAGGTCTAGGCGGATTTGGTCTGATGTATTCAATTTCGACTAATTCACTTGGTAGTTGCCATGTGTCATAAACAGCTTTGTCCCAAAATCGTAATGAAAAATCAAAAACTAGGAACTGTGCGGCAATAACAAAAAACGGTTGAATTCCCGTGTTGTCATCACGAAATGTATAAAGTAATGGATTTGCATTTTGATAATCACTTGGAATAGAACTTGTTGTAGTCATGATGATGAATGTCTCCTATCAAATAAGAAACAGCATTTATATAATAGAGGAAACCAGGCCAATTATCACTGATAAAACTATATAGATCGATGTGTTATTGAAGATACGAGAAAGAAAAGGTTGACAAGTGTGAATGTGTGGTCACGCTGATTGTATCACGTTTGGTAGATCATTAAGATTCGTGTTTTTTTTCTCGTTCAATATATTAGTAACGTTCATGAACACAAAAAAAACGGAAGCGGAGTAATTATTCTTTCCTTCGTACTATCAAGGAGCTTCAATGAAGCCCTTAAAAAGTATCTGTTGTAGGTACACGGGCAGATCCTATCATGCTTTTGTAGAAGTAACGAGTGAACACTTTATTTCTATCATAATCGATCCTTATGTGAAAGACACCAATTTAGAATGTATCTTTGAGTTAATTTGAAAATGCGAGATTTGATTGTAGTTAAAATTGTATGAAATATTTGTGTCAGTTGTGTATAACAAGTAGATGTATACACCAAAAATCAACAGGTCTGCCCGGCCAATTGTTCAGAATTTGATGAAGCTTTCACAGCTGACACAGTTCTCGTTCATGATCATTTTCAGCAGATACATGATTTTTTAATCAAAAATGACTTTAAGCTGTGTTACAACCAGCTGCTGTTCGTGAAATTGATCAGTAGCTATGTGAATATCATACAGCAGCGTCATGTAAGTCCATTCGGTATTGGATAGAGTTTTAATGCGGTATCACTTTGAGGTAGAACAGGGAAAATAGTTTCTTTTACAATGCAGAAGAGTTTGCGTAAAGTTACAAATCTTGATTTTTCCAGGAAAACTTGAGCGAATACAAAAATTTGTGTACTGTAACAGATATTCTTGTCGTACAAGATTGAAGTGTAAGAAGAATTTAACTTCAATAGATTCTCCAGTTCATCTTCTAGAACAACATTCAATCTTTGGACCAGTTAAGTATTGAGAACATGACTGATGCAAGTAACAATGAAATATAAAGGCAAAGATCGAGAAAATCGTGGAGCAGATCCCAGTGGTAAACTCTTATTGTCTTAACTTACGTAAAATATAACAGTCGACGTGAAGGCCAACGTGCATCAGTGCATCACATGGCACATGGGAATGCTACTATGAGTATTGTTCTTCTAGTTACCGCGACATCATCAAGATAGTTCTTTGATTTATTCATTGAAAATATTTCGATACGCTGGACACAATGCTTCTACCGAATGTATTTATTTATATAACTTTCAAATTATCATCTATATTTACAATTAGCTGTCTATCTCACATGATGAAAAGACATGTGAGAGGAGAGCGAGAATGAGAACTAAAGAGATTGCAATGAATAAAAAATTATTTACAAGACGTCTACTTTTAGTTTGATAAATTAATCGAAATTCTTCTTCTAAACGTTTAAACTATAGGTTAACATCTTAATGCTCTTTATCTATACCTAGCAAAAACTAAATCAGATGAAACGTTCTGGAATGTGTCTGCCTTTGCCAAGGAATTCTGTCTCGAACAGATTGCGTTGATTTCTAATGATTTTCATCTATCACAAGCATTATGCTTGTTTTTTCTATCTAATAAAACTAGATCTACTGAGTGCCTGAGAAATAAAAGAACATAGGCACAAGATTCACGTCGAGAAACCGTTTCAAGAACATAATTTTCTAAAAACAGCAGGTCTCTACGATTGAAAAGGCACGCACTTTATCAGTATTAAAATAGGCTTTTTCTATTTTTGTCTATTGGGGGATGCAGCGTCGTAAAATACAAATCCTAATTTACTGCTTACTCTCGTTATCATTTATGATAGTTGCATTTTGTCTTGTGAACGGAAAGCAATACATATACCATGTCAAATAATTCAACAGAATTGCCCGTACTAGGTGAAACTCAGTGGACGCGAAATATTAAATTCGGTATTTTCATCGCACTTGAACCACCTGCACTCATTTGCAACACCATTCTGGTTTATTATCTTATGTTTGATCGGACACTACGTTATACTCTTCATTATCATGCTATTTTGGCATTACTCATTGTTTGCCTATTAACAAATCTTATTGAAGTACCACGTATTATACATTATTTACACATTGATATTGTTCTTCCCAAAAAAAATATTAACTGTTTGATCTGGCAATTGTGCGATTATCTTCTTTTTGGTTCCTTAAATGTTTTCTTACTTTGGGCGTCGATTGAACGACATCTACTCATATTTCATAGCAATCTTCATACGACAGCTAAACGTCGTTTCTATTTTCATTACTTGCCATTAATATCAGTCGCTGTTTACCTCATTCTATTCTATATAGGAGCTATCTTTATTTACCCATGTGATACAAATTTTGACTTTACTCAACCTATTTGTGGTTATCCATGTTACACAGCTTCCGCAAACATTTCACTCTATGACTATTTTGCTCACAGTTGTGTTCCTCTCATCTTGGACATTTTATTTGATATTGGTCTCGTCATACGAGCGATGCGTCATAAACGAATAGTTGTGAAACAGCAACGGGAACAAATCGTTCAATGGCGAAAATATCGTAAAATGATGTTTCAACTTCTACTGATTTCAACTCTTTATTCAGTACTGCAAATTCCTTTTGTTGTCGTACAACTTATACCTCTGTTTACTATTTTATCTCCACTGGGTGTTTATTTGCAGGCAGTTTACTTCTACTCTTTCTTTTGCCATTTGTTTGCATTGGATGCTTACCAGAAGTGGTGAAAAAAGTTAAAGATTTATTCACGAGATGCGCCAGACGAAAGTCAATGATTGTACCGATGATTACTAATCGGTTGCAGAGTAAACAATAACATATAATTCTTACAATGTGATTATATATTTGAAGGATGGACGTGGGTACGATTCATACTGTAGGAGACATCCTTATATTCGAGATAGTTTTGTAAAATACGGTGAAAACGAGCGTCACTCAAATTTTCTTCCAGACTTAAAAATTTGAGTGTCTAAACAACAATTAAATACCATAAAATAAGTGACAAAATAAACGAAACTTACTCGATTTCGTCGTAGAGCTTTAGCTAGACTTCGAGCACCTCTTACAGTAATTTCATTCCATCCAAAGTCAAGATTTACTAACGTCTTAGATTCGGGATGCGAAATATCAATTGTCATTTATATGTTTATTTTACCTTATTTCGTTCCAAAAACTTTTGGAAAACACTTAGCAACAATATCACTTATTCTATTGTGTTAAAGATTAATTGTCAGAAGTGTCTAGAAATTGAATACTAAATATTGATCGTATTTAATTCTTCATCATGCGTTATTCTGTGATAATATATAATCGATCATTCGTCCACCCTTTTTATCTTTAATCGTATTGTTCGACAAATCCAATATGGTAACTATCCACATGATAGAAACAAGAGAAAACACGTATATTCCACGGAATAACCGTTTTGCTTACCGTATTGTTACATAATGGTTTTTGCTATAATACATGCAACTCGACTTGACTGTCTATTCGTTTATCTCGAAGATACCATATATGGTTTGCGTCTGAACGAAAGCACAACAAACTCAGCTGTTTTTCCAAAAAATAATTGATACAACGTTTTACGAATAGAGAGTATGACGGATCGTGAGATCTGCTTGTTCCAAATCACCAAAATAAACAATACTAACGCGACAAGTGTATGACTAATTTTCTTTCCTCTACTTCATACGCACGGTTGTTTTCAAAATAGAACGATCTTGAATTGATGAAACATCCGGTACTCAAGCTTATCATCACTTCAAAGGAAATATTGATATAGGAAAGCTGGAGAGAATATTTCTTGTCTTTTTGTTACTTTAAAATGTAATTCTCCTACAAAACCTGAAGAATGTGTCTGCTCTTGCGAAAAAGTATGGCATTCCTATACTGACTTAGCAACTATGAGCAGGAAAAAAGATGATATTGCGAACATCGATGGTTTTAAAGAAGAGTTTATATTTAAGCATGTTTCTGTCTATAGTATTATGTTTGGAGGATTTATTACTAACGAATGAATGACAGGGCATGATATGAATGCAGTTTCACAAGGCTTGGATGAAAAAACACAGCATTCAGTTATCTCAAGACTCGTATTAAGCAAATTCAGTATCTTGGAAAACGATTAACAGAGTTTGGAATTCCTGTTCAGATGGCTTATGGCAGCCATGCTATTTTTGTTGATGCAAGGAAGTGTCTACTAGATATTCGTAAAGAACAATATTCAGCTAACACATTGGCTCTTCTGCGCCAAGTGGATGTCATGGATAGAAAACACTCAATTCAATGTGGTTTCACGATAACCTAGGAAGCCCCGCTCCCGCGTTGTTTTACAATTGAACCAAAGCGCATAGAATTGGAAGAGAAGACACACAAATGATACCAACAATACGCAACCATATTTTTTATACGAACTCGACTAAATAGGAGTCTTTATTTAATAATCGCAATCATTTATTTATGAAATCTTTCCCTCTCTGCCATTTGAGTTGTAATATATTTTTCAGTAAATTCATCATATATTGTACATATGTTTCAGGTTGAATAATCTACTGTCTTTGTTGTGCTCGAATCATTTCTTTTCCTGTTCTCTGATCAGTTTTAAGCACAAAACGTTGTTTTTCATTTGTTTCGACGCATTGACGGATGTCTTGAATCGTATACTTATTAGAGAATGTCGGATGCCTTAGTACATCTTCCACAAAGACATAACCATCATATTGATATTGTATACCTTCTTGTGTCACTGCATGCCGTAGTAACCATGATAAAGCTTTTGACAACTGCGTCAATTTGAGACATTGTTTAGCGGATACATCTCTCTGTCTTTGTATAGTTGCATGAAAATTAACTGCTTGATTCTCTTGATTTACGTAGGGTTTCTGAACAATTCTTGCTGTCGTTTTACCTAGAACAAACGAAATTTGATAGATACGAGTATTGATGATTGTCTTCTTGCTCGATCAGTACGACTACGACGTGAAGCGATTACCGTCATTAGAATGATTCAGTGAGGATGTATCTGCAATGTGAATGTTGGTCACTAATGGTGTTGAATCGTACTGAATTGTCATATTTTGCGGTTTAATTAATTGTTCATTGAGTTCTGTAAGTTCATTTTGCCAACGACTTAAATCTGTTTCCATAATATCATTTTCCTCTCGACACTCTCGAATATGATTTGTCAACGTATTTAATTTTCCTTCTAATTGATGTGTGTGACGCGAAGTATGCTCAAATAATATCTGTTTAAGTTCTTCAGCTGTTTTATGAATTTTATCGATTGAATCATTTTTCCATTGTTCGATTTCTTTGACCAGTGGATGTGTTTGTGGATCAGTCGCTTGTTCAGTGAGTGTTTGTCGAAATAGATCTCTTTGAACTTCAATCTCATCTAAATGAATTGCTAATTGTTGACGATGATCACCCAAATGGTTATAACAGAAATCTTTCAAACAACCAGCACATTTCGATGTGGCCTTTTCTTTATTACAGGTGAAACAACGTATTCTACCGTTTGCCGCAGCCATTTGCTTGATTGTTTCGTGTGTTGACAGGATGAGAAGAATCGGTGAAATACAACCATGTGACTAATTTTGATATAGATGTTTACCATGAAAAAGACCTTTTTATGGTAAAAACACATCTGTCTCCTCCGCCGTATTTAAGATGAAGTTGGCCAATGATCAAAATTAGTTTCAGATGCAACTTTTCTGACAAAAAAGTAATATTATTGTCAGTAATATCAACAATAACAAAAATGTGTGGAATAATTATAGATGGCACTGGTGTTGAAAACATTTAATGAGAGTGTGAGGTGAAATTAACTTCGCTCCTCGTGCGAAAGTAAAGTGAAAAAGTGTTTATTCTATTCTACAGCTAGTTTTATCTTTCTTAATTTTCATCGCAAATGGCAACAAGAGATAGGTATCACGCATCGTTGTTCATTACTTTTAATGGGACTGGTAGCGTGTGGAGAAAAGCAGTTATTGAACAAGTTAATGGATAGCATACAGGCACACTTGTAGAGGACTTAGACTTGGCCCTTTGAGTTCATATCAGTGGTTGGCGAGCCGTATATATGGAAGACGTCGAATGTCAAAACGAGCTTCCTCCAAAACTCTCTGCTTATCTGCGTCAGGAACATTGTTGGATTTCTATAGTCCAATTCAGGTCGCGAAAAAGCGTACCGGAGAAATCCTTCGATCACCACACATCTGATTCAAAAAAGACTCAGCTGTCTGTCGTAATTATTTTGAAACTTTGTGTATATAGTGATTGTTGTATCACTCACTGTGCCACTACTCCACTTTCTCTAAGTATATCGAATGAAATGTCTACACAATTATTAACCTTTACATTCTATTCGCATCGACACTGTGTACTGTTGTATACACGCGTCATGGAATGCATGCTACTATCATATGCATCTTCTTTATGAATGCTATGTCGTTACATAACACTACGGACTTGCGAAGCAATGGATAGTCGGGCCGAAATTCGGCAGCAACCATCAAACAACGTCTTCCACAGAAAGGTCAACGAGACAAGAAATCAGTGAAACATTTTGCGATCAGTCGTCATCAACGGCATCGAACGTACTATATAGTAGAAAATCACACACCCACACTCTAGTAAACAGAACTTTTACATGACCGCTTATCTGCTGATCGTTTCCTAGGCATGTTAGAGGAAATACTTCTATTTTAGTAGTATTTATGTGCTTACGATCACTCTCATGTATGTCATCATAGCATTCAATTACTTTCGAAGGTCTACATAGGGTGATTGATGCTCTTGACAATAGACTACAGCGAAACTTATCTAATGTGGGTGGCAGTCGGACCGACCGAATATGTCGGCTATTGAAAAACTTTTCATTTTTCACTTGAAATCTGTTTAGATCTGCTTTAATGTTTATGAAGACGTAATTATTAAATCGCTTTCTTTGTTGTCTCCCCAGGTCAACAAATCCGATGCCGGACCCAATCGGATCCGAGACCGTCGGAATCCAATGCGATCTAGTTTGCTGTCGTGGTGTTTCACTAGATTGTTGGCGATCAATCTTGTCTACATTTCCATCTGTTTGGCCCGTATTTGCATTGAAATGGCGGACATCTTCTTGTAAACATTCTGCCATTTGAATAATTTTCTCTGTTGCTTCGAGATCTGGGTCTTCTTCTTTCAAAAGAGCTTGCCGAGTCTTTTGACGTCTTATCCCAATCACATACATGTCACGTAAAGCTCTGTCCTGTGGTTTCTTTGCTAATTTCGATGTTGTAAACCCACAGTGTCGAACCTTTTCACGCAGTTCTGCCTTCCACTCTATGAACGATTGACCGGGCTTTTGAACACAAGAATAAAAGTCATAGGTCGATGTCATTATGTTTTTTCGAATGTCGTAATGAGAATCTAATACCTTGGTCAATGTTTCAAATGTGATGGTAGTATCGGTGAGAGCCGTTGGAGACATCAATGATTCCAACAAATTGAATGTTGAATCGCCGATTGCCCACAAAAATAATGGTTTCTTGTCGCTGTCTTCCATTATTCGGTTTGCTTTGAAATAAAATCCGATGCGATTCCGATATGATTGCCATGTCGTTGTACGTGGGTCAAAAGCATGTGATGCAGGTATAGAAGACACAATTGTTTCGGCCATTGGAAGAAAAAATCTCGCTCGTCGCCAATGTAAGTAAGTTCTGAAATAGCTTTATTAGTGATAAGAAGAGAAGAACAGAGATGGAGTCAATACACACACCGCTTGGACACTTCGAGACTTTATATATATATATATATACAAGTAACGCTCGTCTAGCAACTCGCTCAGCTCTTTCTCGTAGAAATCGTGCTTTCAGATATTACACTTTAAAGCTATTGTTGTGTATATTAATTTATTTTTAGTGTAGATTAGATATTTTCACAAAAGCAACAATAGATATTTATACCAAATGTTAAATAGAGCATTAAATATTGTGAAGAAATATCAATACAGTTGGGAAGATTATGGATGATTACATCAAAAAACGAAATTCAGAAAACACAAGAGGCAATATCTGATGCAATGAAAGAAAAGAGACAGTTACTATAATAATTAAGATAAATATAAAGAAAGAGATAAAGAAATTAAACATGCATGAATAATTATTTTAAGGTAATTTCAAAGTATAATACGTTTTATATGCTTGCAATAACACTAGACTCGTTATCTGATAGATGGCCGCCAGTTCAAAACCCGTTTGCGAAAGGTAATTACTAATTATTCCATAAAGAGACATTGAACACAATATTTTATTCATCATACTTATACACTTGACTATACCCGGTATCATACAAGTTATAAATGTTTTTCTGAAAATCGGTATCCTTGGTTTGAGAAAAGTTTTTTGAATTCTCAAAAAAATAACATCAGATTCGAAGTCTCCGCATCGAAATACATCTGGAAATGTCTTTTCGGGAAAAAAAAATCGATTTTCAATGTTTTTTTTACCCTGCGGACATACAAGCAAACAATTTATGTTTCTAAGACTCTTCTCTACGAGAAAGAGAATGTGCTGAAATCAGTGAACTTCTTAAGCAACATAGAAAATTCCTCAAACATGAAGAAATCACCTTGTTCTAGTTTAAATATTTAGAAAAATACAGATCGACTAATATCCTTTTATTGAGAATCCAAATATCACATCTGAAATACGTGCAATGTTTAAGACGCCGGACTTCGGCTACTCTCCACTGAACCGGAAAACATTGGATATAATCCGTATCCGGCACCTCGTAAAATACCAATAAATTAACCGACATGAATCGCCGAGGAAACGCCAGGATACGATCCGTACCCGGAAGGACGTAAATAAAACACGGAAACGCTATCGGGATCAGTCCGGGATACTGCGACCGGATCCGCGTTTTGAATCCTGATTCAGTAATGCTTGGGAATTAGGTCGGAAACGGAGTCGGGATACGACTTCCGAGTCCTTCTTCAGGAATTCACGGGAACTTTAACGGATTCGGCCGGTTCCCGCCGTACAGCTTTGACCTGGGGTTTTATTGAAAAATTTTTTAATGACAATATTTTCAGTTACTGTAGTAAAGTTATTTCGTTTGGGGCATTCGTTGTACTGGAGTAATTCAACTGTCAATAATAGGACACTATTGGTGACACATAAGATAATTTAAGAATTTTTTAATCAATTCTTTAAAATGTTTTCGAATTGATGAAGAAACTACTATATAGATGATGAAACTAAATGTATAACCAGCATAACCAAATATATTGATAATGGTAAGGCCAATATTTTCATATGCTAGATAAGAATCCGCTTTAGATTTTGATACAGTTAATAAAGTATAAATATTTTGACCAGTATATGCAATATTATCAATTAGAAAAAGTATATTTTGACCGATAACCATTTTTGTTAATTGTTGTTGAATTTGTGTTCGCATCTCTTGTCGATGAAGACTATTAATATTTGAATATGTTAATATAGTAAAGATAATTGTAATAATGCCAGGAATAAAACCAAGTATAAATGGTAAAACAAAATATGCAACATAATTTTGATAAATCATATTACTAGAAAGTGAACACGAAGTTATGTTAGTTAATGAAGAAATATTCAATTGATTATAAATAATTAATGGTGTACTATGTAAAATTGAAAACATAAGAGTAGACAAAATTACATAATAAGCATTTTTAGGAGTTGAAAATTGACGAAAATAAATATTTTTCGAAGTTAATAAATATTGATCAATCATTGCCCAACTAGTACAAAAAAGAGAAAAAGTTGCTGATACATGTCCGAAGTATTGACGTAATTTACACCATGTCGATGATATTAATACTGGATCTAAATTAAAATTTGTTGGTAAAATGACACGAGAAAGAAACGAAGTATTCAATATAACTAAATTAGCAATTGATACTGCAATAAGATAAATTGATGACGCATTTTTTGTTAAACGTTTTGTTGAAAGAAAGATAATAAAACATAAAATATTATTAATATTACCAAAAATATAAACGAATGTTCCAACATATATATTTATTTGTTTACTAATATAATTCAAATAATTGACAGCTGAAAAGGACATTTTTTTAATTTTGGGATGTCTAAAAAGTTTGTCTCTGCAGTAAAAATGAAAAGAAGTTAAATCTAACCTTTTTTCATATCATCAAAGGAAGAGTAATGCAATTTATAATTGGAAATTATGCTTTTATCATGTATGACGTACTTTTAGCGGCATCGTAAAAAGCTATTTAGATTGTAGATGACATTATAAAACCCATCAAACCATTCTCTATTATATTTAATACGATGCGTTTATCACAGCGTATTATTATTATATGCGGAGACACTTGCTAGGGTAGGTTATCATTTGCCCTAAATCGCTGTCCCTACAAGTGTTCCTAAAATTTGTCCCTACGTAGGGACGTTTCATTAATTACGCCATTTCTGGTAACCAAATAGGGACCCTTATTTAGGGACCTCTCAATTTAGGGACTTTTTTCAGTGAAAATCTGATATACCGCTGTCGAATGTTTCAAACTTCATAGTATCACCTATACTTTTTGCTAGTAGTAACACTAACTAAAAGTTTACTAAGTGACTACAGTGCACTATAATAATGTAACTGGTGACCAGAATCGATGTTGTAAGGGTGTTATAATGAGAGTGAAATGGTGTCGGATCTGGTGACCAGATCTATAAGGCTCTGTTACGAATGAAATTCACGTTGCTATATCATATCAATCGGCTCGATTAGAAGGATCGTAGAAATATCTCAATTGTAGCTTTTTGTCGCGCCCGGTGTCATTAATGTGCTTGAAACTTCTTTTGAAAGTGCGTCTGATACTTTCTGCTGAAGGGAAGTAGTACTGAACTGTGAATTGTAAGAAATGTAAAAACGTTTGTATGAAATTTGAAGTAAAATATCCGATGTATTTGAAAATTTGTCGTAATTTTTATTAACAAAGTTTTCTTTTTCAAATTTGTTTAGTATTATAATAATGACAACTGATCATGTCGTTACGAATGTGTAGCATAAACAGGAAACGAAAGTAATGGTAGAGAATAAAACAACATTAGTGGTGGATAAGACCATTATTCATTTTGTATCACACAAACTATCACGAGTAGAATATAAAAAAGTGAAAGCAAAAAGAAGTTACAAGGTAGCGTGTGTCTTTTAGCGGTCAAATACAAAACATTTACAAAAATAAGAGTACAAAATATAACAAAAGTAGAGTAGAATATTGATGTTTCCTACGTCGTAACTCATATCACACTTTTTTCCTACCCACTTTGATGATTCAAATAGTAATGCTTCTGAGGTGAGCGCTCCAGCTTTATAATTATCCCATAACGACTGTAATGACTCGTCAATAAGGATTGTTTTCGGTGCACGTTTTCTTCGATGTACTGGCACATTGGAAGCTAGTTTCATAACCAACTGCTGAATAAGTAATTCTTCTTTTTCAAACCATGTAATAAGGCGATACAGATGTGGATGAGCAACTAATTGAACCTTTATTTTATTGTTGTAACCTATAGTGGAGAAAAGATTACACATGAAACTGGTTATAGAAAAATCGAGACATAGGATATTTTACAAATCTGGTGACCACATACGAATTTGAGATGTAATGCTGCTTCTATTGTTATCTAACTAATACACTTTCGACTGGTACTTCTTGTTTCCAGCTTTGGCTATAACTACAATCTGGTGACCCCATTCTACTCATATAAATGTTCAAACTATTTCAATAGTCTTTTGATTAGTAACTCCTTGAAAAAAGAAAGATTATCAGGCTGATCTGCGATGTACCTTCGAGTCCGTTGTTTGTCCTTACTGGTTGATCGAACACGCAGAATTTATATATCTTTGTTAACCAGTATGAGTCGTAATACTTTAAAAAATGACGTAGATTTTGATGAAGAGATACTGCACTCTTGGGAATATTCGTTAGTTGTGGTTTAATGAAATCTCTGTACAGTGTTTTGATCTGATCACTTGGCACAAAAGCTAAAGCCATCATTTGTCCTAGCATCTGACGCGCTACTTCGACATCTTGATAAGCTTCTTGTAGACCTTTCAATTGAATATTGCGATAGATTGCTTGGTTGTAATGAAAAGTACAACCAAGCAAATGTGTATTGGGTACCTGAAAAAAAAATAGGCACTAAGTTAACGATTCAACATTCGATTTTAGAAATGTGGCCATCAGAATTGTACTAAACGGTTAAACTATCTATGTATTATTTTTATGCCATTACTTTCGACTCTGGATTTGGCTGACAAACCTTTTGGTAATCAGAAAAGTGATGCAAAAGGTCCACACATTTTACACTCATTGTAAAATAGGCTTTACAAAAGAATGTATAATGCGGAAAAAGAAAAAAAGTTACCTGTTTCTTAATAGCTTTTGTCAAGGCAGGTTCAAAATCACTCATCCAATATGTTGGTTGAAAGTCTAGGTTTAAATTTCTAATAGCTGTTTTCAATACTTTGATGATTAATTCATATGTTTCATAATTACGACGTTCACATAGACAGAAGCACAAGGGTACTGAAGAGAAAAGAAGAAATAAGGGAGATAAGTGAAAAATCTCTTTTACTGGTGACCAGTTTCTAATTTATGCTTACTAGGATGTTTTTCTTTGTATTCTCCCATTATTATATAGTTTTGATGAGTAATTTTGGGGGCACTTTCGAATGTACCATCACTGCTGATGCGCTTCGACGCCGACAGAATTTCCAGCTGTAAATCACTAGCATACATAATAAGTCGTCCGACTTTGCACGGTGCGGGCGTGTATGGTGTCTGAACATTATTTGAGTCATATAATAAGAATCTCATCCCTTGGTCTGTAGTGGTAAATGCTGTATGTAAGACGAAATTAGGATCGGTTGGCGATTCTGGTAAATGCTCTTGGCGAATACGATATAACTGTGCTTCTAAATACATCAAGAAAAAAGTCGATTTTGTAATCAGATGGACAAAAACTAAGATTTTTTTCAATCAAAATAAAATATCCTTTGTTTGTTTCTGTTGCTACATGCAATATGAACCTTCCTGGTCACCAGATAAACAACTTGGCCGCACTGTACTGATTTTGAGTCTACCTACGTATGCCTACATTTGCATATTATCTTTTCTTGCCTTTCTCTACATTTTTATATACTTAAACAAACACTTAGAACTAGTAGAATAGAAACCGAAGTTAATTCTATTCTCACCTTGCTACTATCAGCTTAATAATCTTGTATCCTTCTGTTGGACTACCCATGACACATGTATCATGATAAAAAGAAGGTCTAAAAAAGATTATTTACTTACCCATATTATAGTATGTTGGTAAAACTGCTAACATTTCCGATGGATATTTGCCCCTTTTCAGTTCATCTTCGTATATTGATCGTGGACTAGACAGTTCTTGTTTACAACGTTCTTTTATACGCTGCTTGAATTTTCGTATTTCAATATTATTTGGTGCTGGTTCATGGATGTGTGTTCCCTGAATAGAATAGATTCGAAAGTAATTCTTTACAGTCGGATCTGAGGATCGAATAAGTATCGATGAACAACGACGTTTGCGACGATTTTCACATTCCCACGTTGTAAAATTTTTTCCATAATTTTTCACGAAATAGGAATAACCAGCCATATTGAGCATGTGGCCACCGGATGGTGTCTCACTGATAGTCATGTCATCCTCACACCGGTATTTCATTGATAACTCATCTGAATGTAAGATACGTCCGCCAACTCGGATACTATCATCAAGTTGGTATTTTTTTGTTTGATCAACTAGTTCAACAGTTGGTCCTGTTATTGTCGAGCAGTAGTGAAAAACTGGAGACACTTTTGGATAAATTGATGGATGCTGTTGAGTTTGTTGTGCCGGCGAAAGAAGAAGCGGTAGTGATGAATCAGAAGTAGAAGGCGAATGTTTTTGGAGTACAGGCGAGTAATTCTGGTCACCGGACTGTCTTGGTGGCGGTGAAGTAGGTGGCGACCTTAAATATTGTTGTGGTATGTGTGAATAGTTCTGGTGACCGGATTGCTTTGATGGCGAAGTAAGTGAAGAATGAGGTTGTTGCTGCAGCGTGGATTGATATTTTTGGTGATCAGATTGTATTAATACAGATGAAGATGAGGATAATTTTGGGGTTCTGTTTCTGATGAAACCGTTGTTGGTTGAAGACCAGCCGTTGTTCATGATGACTGTATTTGTATAGTGGAACATTGGACATGTCGATCGTATGATAACTGTTGTGTACTTGTTCGTAGTATCGATGCTGTATTTGTTGCATATGAAGGTAGCTGAATCTTATGACCAGTTTGGTCAAAACAAGATTGGTTAGTTGCTAAGTGATTTGTTTGCTGATGTGCTACAGTAGACGATGGCATTTGGAATGATGGTAATATGCATAAATTGTTCATCATTCTTAAAGAAGATATCAAAGTCCACTCCTCTTTTGATAATGTTTGTGAAGAAGACTGAGATGGACACGAATGATGATGCTGTTGCTGAGGCAATAATGGGCCATTACTTATCGATGAAGCATATAATGGTATCTCAAAGTTTGATGCTTGATTTTGGCGAATAGGATATGGATAATTTGATTGTATCGACGGTGATGTATGTGACTGTAGTGTAGGAATGGAGTCGGTACCCTGCATAATGTTACCGATATGATGCATTATAAAAAGAAATGATAATGAGTGTAATCTATAAAAAAAAAAGAAAAATGGCGATGTCGAGAGTGATGAGCAAAATAGATTCATCACTATATCGACACTATTTCAATAAACATGCTTTAAAAAAACTGCATTGTTTATTCAACACCCCAGGTCATTATGACACGGTCGGTTCCGGCCGGTTATGTTCGTTTTCCGACAATTTCCTTGCCGCCGGATTCCGGCCGGAGGTTTAAACGTAGGTTCCAGTCATTTCCTAACCGTTTCCTGCAAACTTCTAGCCGGAAATGGTCAGGAACTGATCGGATAGTTCCATCTCAATTCCGGCCGGAATCCGGCGGCAAGGAATCTGCCGGAACCTACTGGAATCGGCGAAAACTGTGCCGGAATCGACAAAAGCTGTACCGGAACCGACCCAGATTTTAACGGATCCAGTCGTCGGAATTATCGACCTGGGATACTCTACATATCCTAATTGCTTTGACTACATTCTATAAAACTCATCATCTGGTGACCAAAAAATTATTTATCATTACTATTGTAAACATAGTTGAGCTGTATGATACATTTTATTTTCACATAATGATATACCAAAAATAAGTCTACGACAAATGAGTACTTTGAATATGAGAATACACACAACACACATATAGGTTTAGTCAGAATACATGAAGAAAAAGAAAAACAAAAAGACTAAAAGCAATTCACCACTAAAATATTCTAACCTGTGTTTTTTTCAATTCTATTCATCAGTTTATCTTTTTCAAAAAGTTATATGTCTCAATTATCTTTTGAGATAGCGGTTTCTGATGATGAATGTGCTTTCTTTGGTATTTTACCTAACTTATCGGTTAATACTTTGTAATTTTCTGAAGCTCCTTTATCACTCTTTGTTTTTGCTTTCTTTGCTAAAAGAGCAGATGGTGCTGTATCTGGACACTCAGATAATGGTTGTTGAGATTTCTTTCTTTTTGTCTTCGACCGTAAAGCGTATGATCTTCGTTTAGAACTACGAGAAAAAAAGAAGAAAGCGAATTACTTTAATTACGAAAGAAAGTAAACTAACTTTTTTTATGTTTGAGCAGTGTCAGATTTTTCAACAGGAACACTTGTTTGTTTTGATGACATAGGTGCACTTTGTTGTACAGGTGATGACGTTGTTCTGGTGGCACTATCGCATTCATTTGTGTGTTGAAATGGAATAGAATGTGAAAGATTAGCGGATGAAGCTTGATCATTTGAAGAAATTGATGAGAGTAGAGATGGCAGTGATTAGGAATCGATGTAACATTATCAAATAACAGTTACAGCTTGTCTAATTTGTCTCTTGCTGATAAATTATAATGAAACAGTCTGTTGAATATTAAAAACAGAGTTTCAGAACTTGAAGGTCAACATAGTTCGCATTGATAACGTAAAACACATCCACATTTTGCGAATATGTCATGCCTTCTAAAGGTTCCTTACGGGTTCCTCATGGTTCTTCACGGCTCCTCATGGTTCCTAGGAACCATCAGGAACCGCTTTTTCCCCCTTGAAAGCCCTAGTTCACACGCAATGTTATCGGTGAGAAGTACAGGCATGTTGGGTACGAAGGGTAAGAGATCGGGTAGAAGCTCGGTCTTGTTATCTGATAGATGGCCGCTAGTTCAAAACCCGTTTGCGAAAGGTAATTACTAATTATTCCATAAAGAGACATTGAACACAATATTTTATTCATCATACTTATACACTTGACTATACCCGGTATCATACAAGTTATAAATGTTTTTCTGAAAATCGGTATCCTTGGTTTGAGAAAAGTTTTTTGAATTCTCAAAAAAGTAACATCAGATTTGTCTTCGATCACAAAATCTCTTCGGTAACTTTTTATAAAAAAAATTGTTTTTTACAAAAAAGTCGCCCTTTGTATAAAAAAGCTAATCTATGTAAACATTTAAAAAAAATAGCGCCAGATTCGAGTTGATCGACCCAAAAAACTCCTTAGCCAAATTTTATAAAAAAAGCTTTTTTTTGTAAAAGAATGGTATTTTGTCTCAAAAAAATTTCTGTAAAAAAGTCGTTCTTTGTCTCAAAAAAATTTCTGTAAAAAAGTCGTTCTTTGTCTCAAAAAAATTTCTGTAAAAAAGTCGTTCTTTGTCTCAAAAAAATTTCTGTAAAAAAGTCGTTCTTTGTCTCAAAAAAATTTCTGTAAAAAAGTCGTTCTTTGTCTCAAAAAAATTTCTGTAAAAAAGTCGTTCTTTGTCTAAACAAATTTTTTTTATGAAAAATTTCAAAAAAATAACATCAGATTCGAAGTCTCCACATCGAAGTACATCTGGAGATGTCTTTCCGGAAAAATTGATTTTCAATGTTTTTTGACCCTGTGGACACACAAGCAAGCAAGCAAACAAACAATTCATGTTTCTAAGACTCTTCTCTACGAGAAAGAGAATATCATTAGTTTTTTTCAAGATCCCAAAAAAATCGTAGGGTGGGCTCAAACAATTGTAGGGCGGGCTGGCGTGAGCCCACCCTGGGCGCCGCCAATAGTCAGATACAAAGTCAAAACTACCTGATGATGAATGGAATAAGCCCCATTCAAAACGCGTCGTAGACAGCTTGACTCACACCCTCAAGATGCTATTATGACTAGTTTTGCTTTATAACAGTGTATTTAGCTTAAATTTGATTATTTGATATTATTTTGTCACCGAAATAATGCCTTTTAATCTTTTTTAAGTTTGAAACCATTTTAAAACGACTTAGACAGGTTCGAAATCGATCGTGGTAGTTATATCTCACCACCATCAACCTTCTAAAGTGAAACAGCATAAAAAAGATGAGCTCAATACTTGTCCCACTTCAGACTCTTCGCAGTAATTTTTATTGACATCAGAAAAACAAATGTCTGTGCATTTACGAAAAAGCGACGATAGTCTTGTCGAATCAAATTCATACATTCGATTATTTTAGGTATTAGATAAAATTGCTACGGTCTCGTTATAATACTGTAGCATGTACGGATCATCACCCATATATTTGCTGATATCTTTAAATGAATTGAGTAGATCATGATTCTTTTCAAGAATATTATATTTTTTGTTGATTGAGCGCAACTCGGCAACCTGTTTTTGCAAGTGATCTAGCTGTGACCTTAATGAGCCTTTCAGCGACTCCTTCTCATCATGTAAGTACTGTGCTCTCCGCTTCAACGAACTCTCTTGTCGTTCGGCATATGTATGCTGTGCTCGGGCTTCATTATCCGGTAATGTAACTTGAATCTTAGTTTGTTGCTGTTGATACACGGGTGTACGTGAAGAACTTGAACGATTGTCTTCAGAATTACTAAAACCATAATGATTTCCAGATGATGGCGTTCTCGAGTGTGCATCGCCCCATCTATTTTCATTCTTATTTCGAGTATCAACATAAGCATCATTAGATATTCTACCATCGTTTTGTGCGTAATATGAACCACCGGTGCCTCTTCGATGCTGCGGTATACTGCCTTTCGGTCCACAGTTTGATCCACGAAAGCCCATTTCTGTATGTGACTCATTCGCTCTCATTCCATGCTGTGATCCACCGATTTCCTCTGCAAGTTTTGATCTAACCAAGTCCTCTTCGTCTTGTAGTGCTCCGCTAGCTTTCTCCTGCTGTGATCCTTCGGCTTTTGGATGCTGATTTGTGGCTGGAGCAGTATATAGTGTTGTTTTATTATCACGACTTTCACCCACCACAGTTCCCATCCCAGGATCTGAACTCAGGCGAGTAGGTCTATTATTTGCAGTCTGAGGTCTTGGTCTATTTGACTGATGATCATGCGGATCGATTGTATACTGTCCATTGTAAAAATGCGTATGTGGTTGTTGATGTTGCGAATGTTTCGACGAAGACGATCGGCCGACTGGATTCTCAACCCAACGAATAGCATGGATCTCATGTTGTTTTTCCCATTGCCTATTATTTTCCATCGTGTTTTGTGCACCTTCGATACCAGCCTCAGCTAGTTTCTGTTGTTTATATTTTTCAAGCAATTCTATCATATTCGATATAGATTGCTGGATGCAATTTTCAATTAGTGCGATTTTAATCGCGCCGACTGAAAACGATTTTGTTGACACATCTTCAAACTCTTCGAGTTTATCCAATAATGATTCGATTGTTACTAAATTGTCTTCGAAATCTTGACGGAAGCGAGCAACTTTTTTCATTGGTTCTAGTTTTCGATCCCATCGAAATAAACTATTTTGTAAATGAAATGTTTTGCTCCCATTAACATTGAGATCGCGCTCGAGCACTGCTGGATCTAAATTGACACTTAATTGGTCACAATTCGTCAAGACAGCAACACAGTTATTCATCAAGTCGTTAGGCCATATTTGATGCAACATATGTAGAAAGTTCTTGAATGATAAACCAAGACGCGGAGAAGAACCATTGACGACCATAATTATTCCGTTTAGAAATGGTATTTTTTTCAGCTCCTTTTCAATCATGTTTAAATTCTTCGTATCGATGTCATCACCATGTGTATCATTAAATCCTGGTGTATCGATTACTTCCAACAGCTTGTTAGGTCCTCGAAAAATCGTATAAGTAGTACAGTATTGAGTTTGACTTTGCGTTTGGTCATTAATGTTAGATTCACTCATATTATTCGTGTACTTTTCATCAAGACAGTCCAGCCAGTTAGCACATGGTATGACAGTTTTTATTTTCGAACGTGCAATGAAGACTTGATCTGCATTTGTTGTGCCGTTTAAATAGTTGAATAGAAAATTAATGAGCGACGATTTACCAGCACCAGCATCACCCAGTACAATGAATCGCTTTATGGTCATCTTTGATGTCATTTACAATCTATTGTCGTCGTAGAACACTTGAAAAAATACATTGTATTGGTATGATATAATCACAGCTTATATATGCGTGCTATGATATTAGTAAGCTATATTCTTTCGTTTTTTCTGTTCTTATCAAGCCTATTGCTTTTTGGAGAAATCTTTCTGTAGATTCCGTTATCTACTTGGTATATTCCAACATTCTTTGTTTCCGGTCGTAAAGTAGAAGATAAAGCGAAATAACAATAAAAAAAATCGGTTTTGCGTCACATACTACGTCTGGAAAGATAATAAAGTGAGATGTTTATTCCAATTTTCCCCGAAATAGTATATGTCAAGAGCTTGTAAAAGTAAAATAGTGACGTTATCAAAGTTGGTAAAAATTTGTTCCTCGTTTATCTTGAGTCATGAAAAGTGCATATATATCTGCCCGTGTTAGTTGCCTATGTTCACCAGTAATCACTCGCTTCGGAAGAACAACTATGTCCTCTTCTTATAGCTTCAGAACAACAGAAGTTACCATTGGTAAACGATCGGAACCAGATATTGTCATTGCATTCATTGGTGAATCTGGTTCTGGCAAGTCTACCTGTATCAATTATTTTGCTAATTATTTTACTGGGTCATCATTCGATCGTCGAAATCACTATTCCGACATGAAAATTGTCATACCAAACCGTTTGTTTCCTAAACCGAATTTCACGGCTAATAGCGAACAACATACTGAACGTAATGTGCACGACAATACGATGAGCCAGACTCAAGAGTGCAGTGTGTACGATTTTCAATACAAAGGGCAATGCATCAGAGTTATTGATACGCCAGGATTCAATGATACCGATTCAACTAAAGATGATAAAAATGTTCAAAAAATTTTAAGACAGATCGCTCAATTATCTTTTATCACTGCCATTATTATTACCATCAATGGTACGAATATTCGATTATCCACCTCAATCAAAGCAACTTTGAGCCAACTGCGAGGTTCATTGCCAGACAGTGTCTTTAATAATTTATTTTTCATATTCACAAACTGCACTGAAGAAACACGAAACTTTGATGTTAGATTGCTAGTTGAATTTCATCCATCACCAGACCGACTATTCCACATGCAAAATTCGTTGTTCTCTATTAAAGATAAGTCCATTCTGGAAAATGACCGATTGGTAGGAAAAATGGAACAGACATGGGAAGATTCAGTGGAGACCATGGGTGAAATCATGGATAAAATACGAAGCACATCAGCTGCATCAGTGCAGGAGTTTGAAGAAATGCGCATTCAACGCGAACGACTCCTTGCACACAAAGAGAACTTAATTCTGAAACAGAAGTCACTGTTGGAGACTATGAAACAACTGGACATCGAAAAATCTCGTTTGCAGAACGCTTCTAACGATCGAAAAGAAAACCAAAACTTTTCGGAAAAAAAGGTAATCAATGTTATCGAAATCGAGAAAAAAACATATTATAGTACGCTTTGCACACAACATGGTAAAGTACAAGTGTGCCATGAACGATGTGGTCTGACATACGAGCCAACATTGAACTTAGCTCATTTCGAAAAATGTGCTGCTGCAAATGGAAAAAACTGTCGACACTGTCGATGTGGGATGAATGAACATTTGCATTCGTTTGAGATTCCGGTTACAAAACCAAAAACCATTAATGAAATCATCCAAAGTAAAAAGGCAGCGTTTGACAAAGCAAACAGAGATGTACGAGCTATCAACGATCACTTGATGCTGTTAGACTTTACTCGAGATGCGCTTCAAAATGAAGTCGATGCGATCAAACGAGACTTAGCAGCAACAATTCGTGAATTGAAACAGATATGTTCAAATTTCAATTTTCTTGAAGAAATGAAGGGTACGATAGACAAATTACGAAAGGAAGCAAAAGTGGCAACAGACATGCGTGCCAAAGACGAGTTTAACAACACAGCCGACGCGATCGAAAAGCTTTCAGCGGATTTCACAAGCAAACGTCATGTCGGAAACAAATATGCGTTTCAACACGATTCAGTTTTTTACAAAAATGCTTGAAGAAATTCATTTTCTTAGATAGTTAACTTCTAATAAATGAATTTAATGACGTTTTCGTCGTCTTCTACAGAATATTCATCGTTCCCTTTTTTGTATCACCACTTAATGGAGTATTTTTCGCTATTGACTGGAATATTTACTTCATCAGTGTGAAGCTAGCACGAACAAACGATGTGTTAGCTAAAAACGTTTTTCCTAAGCATGCCCCGTCCATGAAAACTACACCATTAGACTCAGAATTTAATTCTGCATCGAATGGCGCCACTTTTATTCACCGGACAAACTTTGGAAATTTTTCTATTTATATCTTTGTTCGTTTCCTTTATGTCTATTTATAATCCAGATATCATTTTTCCAAAGTTTCTCCGGTAAATAAAAGTATCACCATTCGATGCAGAATGAAATTCTGAGTCTGATGGCGTAGATTTCATGGACGGGACATGCTTAGTAAAAAAGTTTTTAGCTAACACATCGTTTGTTTGTGCTAACTCCTTCGTGCTAGCTTCACACTGATATGAAAAATGTATTTTTAATTGAATTTCTATTATAATACGTAGCTCTCGATCAGGCACTGAACAATGGACCAAACCTGGCAGTGGCATTGCTTTATCCAGATTTTGTCGCAAAAATTAACTCGAACGGTAATTATGTATACATTAAATAAATCTAAGTAAACAATGTGCTAGCATTCTTTTATCGTGCACATTTCGTGTTTCGTTCGAAACGTACGTGTACACACCGTTTTATGCAAAATATTTCCTCTCACTAATCAACAACGTCAAAAAGACGAAGTATAATCTGCATCATTTCATTCTTTACCATCAAGTCCTTCGCTATAAAGTACAATCTCATCCTTTTTCTGATTTTCTTTATGACAATCAACAAAGCATAGTGTAAGCATTGGAAAACTCTATTACGATAAACCGAGGAGAGGAATGTAGTTCTTTCGTGTAATCAACCAAAGGTTCGTTCACCGTCATCATGGAAAGAAGATAGCATCATGTTCGCTAATCAGACAATAGTTGGTACTGATCCACGTGCTAGTTTTATCGCTATAAATGATATAGATTGTATCATGAGCATAAGCAACATCGTACTTATAAACATGATGCAACTACAGTGAAAGGACTGAGAAGACAGTTTTGCTCGAAGAAGCTACTTACACTCTTAAACTATATGATCTAAACCTCGTGTTGATTATGAGAAAAAAAGGAAGAGAAATCAACAGTTTCGCCAGCTTTTAAATGGTTCTTACAAAGATAACTCAAGTTATAATTTTAGATGGAAAGAAAAAGATGAACTTTCAACATGGTACGGCGCAGCTCAATACGGTAAAACGACACAAGGTAAGTATAAAACTCATTGATTAACGTAGACTGGGTAAACTCTTTTCATTATAAAGTCAATAAGATTCAATTAGGAGAGTGTGGAATCGTTATTATATGAAGGTGAAGGATAAATATCGTAGAATTAAAATTAATCAATACAGTTCGGTACTATTCCAAGCAATAGTACCATTATATCCACCAGTAACTAGTACTTTTCCATCGAGCAATGTAGATGCTGTATGTAGTTCTCGTGCAAAACTCATATTTCCTGTTTGCGTCCAAACACCTGTCGATGGATCATACAGTTCAGCACTATTCAGATAACCACTACTGCCAAATCCACCAGTAACTAATACTTTTCCATCGAGCAATGTAGATGCTGCATGTAGATCTCGTGCAAAGCTCATATTTCCTGTTTGTGTCCAGACACCTGTCGATGGATCATACAGTTCGGCACTATTCAGATAACCACTACTGCCAGCTCCACCAGTAACTAATACTTTTCCATTGAGCAATGTAGATGCTGTATGCACATCTCGTGCAACATTCATATTTCCTGTTTGTGTCCAGACACCTGTCGACGGATCATGCAGTTCGGCACTATTCAGATAACCACTACTGCCAAATCCACCAGTAACTAATACTTTTCCATCGAGCAATGTTGATGCTGCATGTAGATCTCGTGCAAAGCTCATATTTCCTGTTTGTGTCCAGACACCTGTCGATGGATCATACAGTTCAGCACTATTCAGATAACCACTACTGCCAGCTCCACCAGTAACTAATACTTTTCCATTGAGCAGTGTAGATGCTGTATGGCGGTATCGTGCAACATTCATATTTCCTGTTTGTGTCCAAACATCTGTCGATGGATCATACAGTTCGGCACTATTCAGATTACCACTACTGCCATATCCACCAGTAACTAATACTTTTCCATCGAGCAATGTAGATGCTGTATGACCATATCGTCCAACAATCATAGATGCAGTCATTGACCATCCTAGTAGAAGAAATCGAATGAATAAAACTAAATGATCTTTCGTTAAGATCTCTGAAAACAAAGTTATCTTAATCATTTACTCATCTTTCAAAAAAGCATATTTTGTCTAATTTTTCCACTCGAATCTACAGTTTTCAAATGTCCTGCATGAGTACAAGAATAGAAATTGAAGTTTTCTTTTGTCAATTACTGAGATGACGATTGAAAGAAAATGCCAATAAAAATTATACTGCATGAGATTTGTTTTTTTGACTAGCTTACACATAAATGGTTCAGGATGCGATTTAAGTGTTTTTAAAAAGAGTATCATTGGCTTTTCTTCATATCTCAAACTGCATAAACAACGAAATAATATCTCAGAAAACAAAATACTCTAAGTTTGAATCTAGTACACGCTTACTAAAAGCGTCTGACGAATATGTTTTTATTAGTAGTTGTTTCTTTGGAAGCATCTCGTGTCATTCCCTGTCAGCAATGGTTTTATTTCGAATTCCGAATGTGAAATATCTCTTCTACTACCGTATTACATTAATAAGAAAATGACTACTGATGAGAAACAGGGAAGGCTATGCTTCTTGTAAAACGAAGACGTGTCTAGGAAAGAGTTCTTATCGTATGACACTACTTGCGTGACTAGTGACAGCGCTTTAGTAGAGCTATTTTCGCAGTGAAACACTTTGGAGGAAAAGAATATTTACCAATAGGATTGCAAAAGCATCTCATGAGACAAAAGAAAAACAGCGTGCACGACATTCTATGCAGAAGAGTTTTTCATATACGAATTAATTCATAAGTTAGTATAAACTAACTTTAGTTTCCGGTCATAATAACTAATAAAGCAATAAAACTCGAACAGATTTCCCTAAGCTCAAGATGGTCGTCTAACGATATCCTCAAATGTGTGTTAAAAGTAGTATCCATGAACATAATTAGCGGACTAGCAATAGAATTCGAGGAGTAAAGTATACGTTGCTATGCGAAGGTGTTTAGGAAAAGTGAAAACCCTCTTATCTCATTTCTCTCTCTCAAAGGTTTGACAACTCATCTTATATTTTTCTCACTGACAAAATCTTTTCATAGATCGAACTATCGCATTAGCCAGTTCTTCGTGTGTCTCCCAGAGCAATAATGTGGAATTTNTAAAGAACAACTTGATGTTGGATTGGATGCAGAATGAGATGCTGTCGACAGTGTAAATTCCACATTATTGCTCTGGGAGACACACGAAGAACTGGCTAATGCGATAGTTCGATCTATGAAAGGTTTTTGTCAGTGAGAAAAATATAAGATGAGTTGTCAAACCTTTGAGAGAGAGAAATGAGATGATAAGAAAAAGGAATGCGACAGACGCCATGAATGAGATTATGAAGCAGACCAAGAATAAAAGTTTATTGACAGAAATCGACGATTTTTTTATGAATGTGAAGAGAATAGAGTTGTTTTTCTTTTGAATGGCTTTTTATTCTAGAAGAAAAACAAATCATCTGTGGAAGTGCGTTGTTTACTGTGCTGTTGCCATTTACCAATCTTAGTCAAAATCACACCATTTTAGACAAAGTCATGAATATGAGAACCAATATTTTTCACAAAAGAAAAGACATTAAAATTCTTCTATAATAGTTTATTTTATCGTGACATATTCCTCAGATCATTATACAGTCCAATTTATGATATGAAAAATAGTTTTTCATCTATAGTAAATTCTCCTTTTTTCAATTTCAACACCTGTGCAACTAGCTGCACTGAATTAAAGTCTGCCGATCGAAAGTCTACGAGTCTCGAAAACGGAATGATGTTGATCCATTGTTCTTGTGTGTGGACTGATCTCCTGATAAGATAACATGGACAAGTATGATGCTCTTATACCCTGATTTCCTCTGATCATCGTCCATTTGCAACTCATGTTCGATATGCCGCACGAGTGTTTAGAAAGATTCGATCAGATGATTGATGAATTTTGTAGAGAGTGAGGGCGATAGATTTGGTTATAAACATGATTGGAGCAATGAGACGCATTTGAATCCCGGCAAAGATGATATTTAACACAATGATAGCGAGATAGTCTCCGAATATGATATAATCATAAGGTGCACGCAATGCAAAAATGCAGTGAAATTTATTTTTGTTTTTTCTTGCACATGGCTCGATAGAGCGTGAGCTCCTGATCACGATGAGCTACTTTTTATTCTATTTTGAAGCTGTTTTATAGTCAAAAATCGCAAAATCACTCAGAAACCTGAGTTTTCTCGAAAACCAGGTTTTTGAGGGTAACATGCAAAAATCACGATGTTCCTCTTCTTGAAACTTTTTGAAAATTTTTTTCTAGATTCAGCATCAAAAACTGATCCTAGAAAACGTCTGAAATTGGTATTAACCCAAAACTTTTTATAATAGTGGTATTTCTCATAGCTTCCACTACAGTACTAATAGGTGGATCTTGTAAACCTATCTAGTTTTTGCAGAGAGGTGGAGGGGGGCCAATTTTTTCAAAATTGTAATCCTCATACCATCCTCCAAAAGACTACGCATCGGTTTTGATTTGATCTTTTTTGTTTGTGGAGAAAAGCTCACTTTAACTGGTGGTATAGGAAATCGGTTTTCTAAAGTTTGCTCGTTGTATCTTAGACATTATGTGAGAAGATTTTAAACATAAATTTAGATGTTTTAAAAATTTTATTTCAAGTATTAATAGAAACACATAGAGTACAAATAGAAAAAAAACTGTTAGTCATCGTTTATAATATCGTTTGATATTCGTCGATGTGATTGAACAGATGCACTACACAATTGACTAAAGAATAGTTTAAACACCTCACCATATGTTTGTCCTTGAGAATGTGCTTCAACTGCATGCCAACAGCGACGAAATAGTTTTAGTGCAATACTCCTTTCGACAAAATATGCACGAGATTCAGATATTAATTTTATCATTTTTTCGAAGGCTTGGTCGGTACGTGAACGAACAAATGCTTTCTGACTATACCAAAAGCCTTCAATTGCATTGAGTTCACAATGATATTTTGGACAAAATATAACATTAACTTTATATTTGAGTGCAAATGTTTCGAGTTTTGTGGCCTAGATAAAGAGAAGTAAAAGAATATAGTGCGTGATGTGTTTTTAATGAAATAGAGCTGCTTTACTTACGTTCTGAAATGCTGGATGCCCTGGCAATAGCTCTCGAATTTCTTCTAATTTAATTTTAGGTGGTAATTGTATACCTAAATCTTTGCATATTTCAACTAAACCCTTTGATTTACCTTTGTTTGCTCCATCCTTGAAATAACAATCAATAATGTGTGGATTACCATCTTCATCAAGATACTCGATACAGTCAACAGTACAATGACCTCCCACCGATTTTCTAAAGTCTTGCAATGAATAAGCCTTGGCCGTATGAGTTCTTGCATTATCCACAATAATATCAATTTGATGCTTTTTATAATGCTGTTTGAATTCAAGCATTTGAAACAATCTTTCAAATTGATTCAAGATTGTTTCGTTGTTGAAATATGCATCCGATCCAATGTTGATACTCGCGGTTGCAGTTCGTTCAACATAATCTACATCACCACTTCGGAAGGTTGATTCATCATCAAAATTGAAGAATAAAAGTAGAAAACAAGCTATTACAAATTTACCTACATATTATTATCCTTTGACGACTTTTAACTGGAAGACTCCATGCAGGTGCTTCGCCATCAGTAATGGTACGATAAAAATCCTTGTGTTCCAAAAAATAATTTATAAAATCATTACGATGTTTTACAACATCGTCCTTTTCATGTCCCTCAAAGTACGGGCGTTGTGCATTTGCTTCGAACTTCGCTCCCCATCTACGAAAATCTAATTGGCAACTTCTTTCGGATCTTATACAACCACCATTAACTTGTTCGTCAATACCATTTAATTTACAATATTTTTCGTTAATAAATCGGACCAGATCCATCGGTTTAACCCTTAAAAGCCGAAACGTCCCTTCCAAGGGACATTGCATTAATGGCTATGGAACGAAGGAATTAAGTCGTATCCACAAGAGCTACTATTTTGTCGAATGAGAACAGTCAGAGTGATAGTATCATAAGAAAAAAATCGTGTAAAAATAGTGGTCAGACACCAAAGTGTCGCTTTTAGAGTGTGTGACTTTTCAACCATAATTGGTTACTTGGATGCTNTTAACCCTTAAAAGCCGAAACGTCCCTTCCAAGGGACATTGCATTAATGGCTATGGAACGAAGGAATTAAGTCGTATCCACAAGAGCTACTATTTTGTCGAATGAGAACAGTCAGAGTGATAGTATCATAAGAAAAAAATCGTGTAAAAATAGTGGTCAGACACCAAAGTGTCGCTTTTAGAGTGTGTGACTTTTCAACCATAATTGGTTACTTGGATGCTTCTGTCTGATGATATATGCAACGTGGATTTCGAGTGATATCATTAGAAATAATTCTAAACTATAATATAAAACAACTTTGTGCGTTTTAAACTCTTCTACTAAGATGTTTTGAAGGTATAAAAAAGTGCCATTTTATGGGAACTTTTGGGCATAATCCTCAGGGTTTTTCGCAAATTCTCGCTCTATAGATAGTTAGAGATATCTTAAAATTTCATCAGCGTGAACTTACAGTGATTCTGAACCATATAACAGGATCGCCCAAACAAAAATTTATAACGATCATACTTCACCCAGGTCATCTGGGTGGAAAATTTTTTAGTCCCACCCAGCAGTTCCAGCCACGGTTTGTGCATATTGGGGATCTAAACTCTCTATTTATGTGATTAATTCTTTCTCCATTTCACAAAACCCTCTTCGGCTTTTAAGGGTTAAATTCACCTGATTTTGTGAACATTGTTCTGCAACAAATGCTTTGCCAACTACCTCGATTTCTGGATATACAGTGGTGGCAAAAAGTTTCGTGACACTTGTAAATCACCTCCTAAAATTGTATATTCAATTGAATTGGAACTCTATTCATATATCTAGTATAATCACTAATAGACCTTTCATAATTTATTCAGAAATCAAGAACAGATCATTTCATCATTAAAAACAAATCGATAGAAAATACCTTCAACGGCAAAAAGTTCCGTGACACTATCATTATTTAATCAAACTGAAGTGCGACATCTACCAATCGATAGAAAAAGACTATGCACCAATAAAAAAAAGACTGCGCCAATAATTAATTGGGAATTTTTCTTTGACAAAATAATATGACAGAGAAACATATCCGTCAATATCAACGGGCTCAATGCATTGCATTGAGAAGAGCTGGTATGTCATGTCGTGCTATTGCTGAAGATGTTGGTGTTTCGCGGGCTTCAGTACAACGTTCTTTGGAACGATATGATGAAACAGGCGGTTTTCAAGATCGTTCTCGGTCCGGCAGACCGAAAAAATTCAATGATCGTAATATTCGTATGCTAAAACATTTGGTTCAAGATGATGCTAATCGAAGTTCATCAAGGAAATAATGCTTAAATTGAACGAATCGTTAGGAAAACCAATCTGCAGAAGAACGGTTATAAATTATTTACAAAAATTCGGATATGAATATAAAGTTAAAATTGAAAAACCGTATCTCAGTAAACAACATCGAAATGGTCGATTACAATGGTGTTTAGAACATTCGAATTGGACTGTTGATGATTGGAAGAAGGTTTTATTCAGTGACGAGTCGACTTTTTACGTTGTTAAACGTAAAAGTGAAACAAAAATATGGCGTACAAAAGATGAAAAATGGCGAGAAGGTTGTATGGCTGTTGCTGCGACTGGTGGTGGAGGTCGTGCTGGGTTTTGGGGTGTTATCACATGGAAAGGAGCGGGCTGTTTCAGGATTTATACTGAAAATACGAATAGTGAAGTCTATTGCAACATCTTAGACAATTATTTAGTTCCAACTGTCCAAATGTACGGTTTCGAAAATNGTGAAACAAAAATATGGCGTACAAAAGATGAAAAATGGCGAGAAGGTTGTATGGCTGTTGCTGCGACTGGTGGTGGAGGTCGTGCTGGGTTTTGGGGTGTTATCACATGGAAAGGAGCGGGCTGTTTCAGGATTTATACTGAAAATACGAATAGTGAAGTCTATTGCAACATCTTAGACAATTATTTAGTTCCAACTGTCCAAATGTACGGTTTCGAAAATGATTTTTTGCTTCAACATGATAATGGGGTTATCACACTTCCAATAAAACTCAAGAAAAGTTACAAGAATTAAATGTTAAAGTACTCCAATGGCCAGCGAAATCGCCGGATCTCAACCCCGTGGAACAATTGTAGTCGATTATCCATAATAAATTGAAATCGAGACGAATGTCTTCGATTAAAGAATTAATCGATGGTCTTTCTGCCGAATGGTTGGATATAACACCAGAGTTGTGTGAAAAAATTGTATTTTCAATGCCACAACGGATACGGAATTGTATTAAAGCACGTGGCAAATGCATAGATTATTGAATTATATGACTTCGAAGATCATTTTGTTTTGTTTTTATACATGAATAGTTTTTGTCACGGAACTTTTTGCCGCTGAAGGTATTTTCTATCGATTTGTTTTTAATGATGAAATGATCTGTTCTTGGTTTCTGAATAAATTATGAAAGGTCTACTAGTAATTATACTAGATATATGAATAGAGTTCCAATTCAATTGAATATACAATTTTAGGAGGTGATTTACAAGTGTCACGAAACTTTTCCCCACCACTGTACTAGTTCATGTAAAAAGTTTCGAAAAAGAAATATTCGGCCATAGCAAAGTTTCAATATTATAATAGGTTAAAATTCGTACCATTCTTCACTTTTGAGACTCGTACTGTTTGCATGATTGACTTTCACGCAAAAATATACAGTCACAAAAATAAAAAACGGACTTCTAGTTATTTCGACATTGCTTTACACGATGGTAATGTTAGTTTCACTTAATGACGTTGGTCTAATTCGCCCACTGAAGTACGCAGTTACGTGGACAGACCGATTATTAATTTTCTCTTCCTTTCGACACCATTTCTGCACAATACGTATTTGACCGCAGGCAAAAGCATCAATCAATTTCAGTAGCCTACATTAATATGACAAATAGTTTTGCAGCTATCTACGCATTTATTTAAAGGTAGATCTACACTGATAAATATTGATTCATCGCTTATTTTCCAAGCGAAATAGTTGTGCATAAAGAAAAAGGAAGTAATTACATGGAAAATACCAGTGTGATCAGTGGGAAGGTATGATGTATATAAACATGAACAAAATTTTTTTTCAGACCAATACAAGCCCCTTCATGGACGCAACCAGTCGACTATACAGACTTGACTACAACAAACATTTCTGGAAAAAATTTCGTTACACAATATCAAGTAATAATGATGTTGCTCTACCTATGTACCATGCTCGTAGAACTGGCTTTTATCGGTATCGGCGATTTGAAGATGCTAGAAATAACATCTTCTTTAAGATTGACAGGAGAGCAATTCGATTAACAGAGGATAATCGTATACTTGCCGCTTTGACTACAGACGGAACGATGATAAACACATATATCGGCGATTTTACTCTCAGCGACTTGAATATACGTCGACATTCGTACACACTACTGGGAAATAATGGCGATGCTCTTTTGCGTGTTCGACGTAAATGGAATATTCAACATGACAGGCACATCATTGAAATGAATGTGACCGTGAACGAGTACGAGCCATTTCTATTTGCCCTAACGATTTTTATTGATTCGATTCTTCGCTCGATTGCTGGTCGCTGAAACTATCGAAGCTAGAACTGAAGATGTCCATATGATCCTGTCACTCAGTGAAGGTCTTATTTCATCAACCAAAAACAATATTAACCTATTGCTAATCATGAAGGATACTGTAGAACACCTGTTACAGATGTCATTGTTATATTTTATTTTATTTCTTTTTTCGAAAATAAAAATTAAAAAGATCGAACACTCAATATGAAATTAATTAATCTGCTATTTTCCACTTTTGCTTTTCGGCAGTCGATCTTTAACACATTCACGACGATTGATTTTTTTCTGAAAAATCCTTCGAAATATCTATTCCTGCTAATAGTTAACTTCTATCAGATGTACTTATTGACCCTTTTATTATCTTTTACTGTTTATCCATTATTCTCTTCTTTGTATCATTACGTAATAAGTCGTTTTTTTGCACGAACTCAAAAAAAAAGAGGGATTTTTACCGAACCTAAAAGGTTTCCTATACTTCGACTGAACGATTTTAAGTTCAGAAAAACGAAAAATGTTCCGTGCTTGAACTACCGAACTATTTTAAGTTCCGTAGCGTCGAGAAGGCTCGGCAATTGGTAGCAAAAACCATCCGCAGGCTTTTAATGCGGTATGCGAAACCATTCGTAGTTCTGTAACACGTCTACAGAACCATCAGCGGTTTAGGAGTGTGATGAGACGTTTCGTCAATTTTCTACGAAACTATTCCTAGTTTCGCAGGCATGTTGATGGATCAGACGATTTCACGCCGACGCATCGATGGTTCGTCAGTTTTCAAAAAGTTTAGAACATTTTAAACTCAACTAGACTTGGTTTTGTGTGCAATGGTCGAAACCAATAACGAGTTCGTAAATTCTTAAAAGCTCAGTATATTCAGTACTGATCGGCTCTGAGTTTTGCATAGCATGTACGAATCTTTATAGATTTCGAAAATTAATCAGAAGTTCTGCATGTCTCGTACTCAACCAATGGCATATCATTTATGTTTCAGAAGGTTCAGTATAGTACATGCGAAACTTTTCATCATCCAATTGTGTCTTTGAAGACTCGATTTCGTGTACAAAGAACTATTCATAGCTTCGTATAAGTTCATAAAGCTAACCCACGACTTATACTGAACGATCAGGACCTCAGTAAGAAAAAGGAAGGTTTCGCACGCATAATACCGAACGTTTTTGCCTTAGTCAAGTTGGTATTGGTTTTGTGCGTTTTATACGAAACGAACCAAAATACTGCCAGCTTCGAAATGGTTCCGTACCTTTAGCATAAAACTATCTAGAATTCAGCAGCTCGTATAAAGGTTTCGTTTTCATTACACAGAACAGTACATAGTTTCATGTACTACAAAGACGTTGTGCATAACTTCTGCAAGACCATCATTAATGTCGTACTTTGGCTTAGGGTTGTCCGGATTTCTAGCAAAATCGCCCAAGGTTTTCGTGAGCTCACTCATGATTTGTTAATAGCTTTGCAAAACTATCAATAGCTTCGTACAGTAATCGCAAGTTCGGTACGATATATTCAAAATTATCAAGGAACTCGTAGAACGAGTAACTGTTCGACAGAATTCATGCCAAACTATTGCTGGATTTGTATATTAGTCAGAGGTTTGACAAATATACACTAAACTATGACGAGTTCTGTATGCCTCTGATTAGTTAAGTATAACCTCTGGGAAATCATTATCTACTCCGTCGAAGGGTGAGGGTGTGGGGGTGTATATGTATAAGTGAAACTAAATCTATTTCTATTCCTATCTACTCATTTGTTATAAGTGTGACATAGGTATCTATTTATATTCGAATTGATACTAGCCTGTCGGAGGTCGACTTATAATATAAGTCGAATTAGGCATCTCATGCTCTCTAAAAAAAAAACCGGGCGATACTGAACCATAAAAGGTTTTAGCTAGCGTCTAAAACCTTTTATGGTTCTAGATTTGGGTACCATCTTCAGAACTTTTTGGGTTCTAGCAAAGAAATCTGAAACCTTTTCTAGTTCGGCACATTTGGCTAAAACCATTTTAGGTTCTAGATTTTTTTGCTAAAACCAAAAAAGGTTCAGTATGACCCGATTTTTTTTTACAGAGTGGGGAAAACCCTATATATAAGTAAACAAATGTACTTTCTATATGAATTTCTTATGACTTTATAATCGATGAGTAGGAAGAATTTCAAATTGAAATACAAGTGAAAAATCCCATGACGAAAGAAAATTTCCAAGCATTTCTCTCACCGTTCAATAACGTATGAACGGCGCATTAATTTATGTATGGGAAAAACACAGTAAAATTGGAAAAAAACAAGGGAGAAAACCCATTTTAGCGCATTTAAAATGCCACGGAATGGATGCGAATGCATCAAAACATCGAGAAGTGAGTATAAACAAATTATTACCAAGAGTGAACAATAGAAATTAACTCTTGACATTTAATAACAATATTTTTTTGGAATAGTTCCTACTAAATTACATTTTATTTTTACTTTTTTTAAAACTTCAGATTACAATATGTTTGAAGATACTGATGATAACGATAGTTCAAAACAATCGATTCAAGCATTCTACTCGCATCTGGATTCAACCACCTGTGAACAGATTGTGGGAAAACTTCGAGCAAAAAATTTTACTATTTCGACACATGAACTCCATAAAGAGAACGAAGATCGAGAAATAATTTTTGACAACATATATGAAAATTCGCGCAAGGTATCCGTTGTTCTCGTCTTTCTTTCTACAAGCTTTTCGCAATCAAAATCTTCTAATACAATATTTTACTTATCGTCCTCGAGCGGAATACCGTTACTTTCTTTGATTATCGAAAAAGATTTTGAACCCGTAGAAGAACTTGGTGTACTAGTTGCAAGGTACGGATACGTGCGATGGTCTGATGATCCGGAAGTCGCTTCTTCTATTGACGATGTTGAGAAACAAATTCGTGAATTGATTCCACCACATATTCCAACAAAGTCAGATTGTGATGTTCTGGCAACGCTCGATTCCATTCTTGATATCCTCAACGAAGAAGATAATTCAAAAGTAGATATTGATGAAATCTGTCAGTCGCTTTGTGTAACTCTTAAGTCAACGAAAGAGAATATTGAAGATCCAAAACAATTATTGCCTATTGCTGTCGAAGTGTTTCTTCGATACAACCTGATTATCGGTAAAAATGATGATCATTTTATCAAGCTTAGCAAAGATATAGGCTCAGAAATAGATTCCTTTCTCCAGAAGTCTTTACTTGATGCCGAAAAACATGATCCATTTGGTGAGGATCACAAACGAGCTCAAATGACATTTTCACGAGTGTTTAATTCGTTAGCGACGTTTCCAACAACGATTTACTTTCTGGATAAAGGCTTTATGTTGAAAAATAGCAACCATGCACGCATTCTTTTTTGGGCTGCACGAATTCTCTTAATCGCCTCTTGTAGACGACTGTTCAATACTGAACAAGATGCCGTTAAATTTCCTCAACAGCAGATCGTTCTTCAGATGTGGTTGAAATATGTCGATGAGAATACACAAAGTTTTAACTATACTAATCTTATACCTATGCTATTGGCAATTTTTCAGAACTTATCGGCTAATGTTGGTCTGGTGCCGCTCTTTGTAGATGCATGCTTTCCATCGACAGTTGTGAGTTGGTTATCATCGATAACTTGGATGTTAAATGATAAACTGCAACTTATTCCGTTGACTATCATTTATAATTTTGCTCGACATAAAAGCGGAGTTGATGCTCTAAACCAGTTGGGAACTATCGAAATACTGCAGATACGTCAACCCTTTTTCAAGAGTAACACAGCTCGTCCAGATGCCAATACCTTATATCATATTACTCTAGCTTTGCTCTATAAGCCAGAAAACATTAATCATGAATCAGTGGAAATTGAAGCAATCCTTAAAGAGCTTCTGTCAAAAACATTATTCACTTTTCAAGATCCAAAGCTAACGTACGGTATACTTCCTTTGAGAGAATTTTTTCTAGCATTCAATATATTATTTATTAATGAAGAACTCATTACAAAGACTTTAGAACAAACAGTCGACGGTAAATCTATTGATGCGAATTTTTTTATGGATATGTTCACAAATACTCTCAAAGAAGATATTCTCGCCCAAACACTTTTATTAAATATTATGTATCGGATTACATCAACAAAGAGCTTCAGGCATCAAGTCAAGGAAAATCATGTATTCGTGAATACTCTCAAAAAGTTGAAGAGTAAAAGTATGAAAAACATTTACTTACCGAGATACACAGTAGATTTATTAACTGCTGTAAATGGCATTTTGCGAAATCTTAATATGAAAGAACAAAGTTCAACAGACAAGTCGGTAAAGATGAAAGTATTTTCTAACCAATCAAATTCTATTAAAAAGAAAGTAATGATCAGCTATAGTCACCAAAACAAAGGATTTTGCAAGGCTTTGTCGAGCAAATTAGAAGAGGATTCACAGCTGAGCATTTGGGCAGATTGGAAAAGATCGGGTCACAATTATGCATGGAAGGATATTGGCACAAATATGGACAAAGCCGACGTGATCATTTGCATCGTAACACAGGACTATGTAGGCAGTCAGAACTGTATGTGCGAGTTTCGATATGCGATTGAAGATTTAGATATGAAAAGTAAGAATGGATTGATCCCGATTCTAATCGGTAGAGATTATAAACTGCCAGGTCACGTGGCTATTCCAATGAAAGGACCTGATTATATTCGATTCAATGCTTACAAAGGTTTTGATATGGAAGTAGCTCCATCTACTCAAGATGAGTCCTTTACGAGCAAGTGTCAAGCAGTCCGTGATAGAATTTTATATGGTAGTAATGAACAAGACATAGAAAAAGACAAGACAGTAGTTTCCAAGACTGATGACAATAAAACAAATACCATCGAACCAAAGATTGTCACTGCGCCAACAAAACCAGTTCATGAATGGACAGAACAAGACATTGCTCAGTGGCTTGCAAGTATTCCAGTGCCGCACGAACTTACTGCATTGTGTAAATTTCAATCTGTCGAAGAACTTCTGGATTATGCACACGATTTCAAAGTCAATGAAACTATTATTTATGTTGCTCTCAAAGATGAATTTAAAGATAAATATGGATCCACTTTACAAAGAAAGCACTATTTATCTCTGAAAAATGCATTTGAACAGTTATTGGTCGATAACCAATCTAAAGATGAACTTAACGTCCAAAAATCTTCTCAAACACAAACTAATACAATAACATCACGTTCTTGTATGCTAATGTAGTGCTTGACGACGAATGTGACGCATACATAATCGAAGAAAAAACTTTAAAAAACACTCTTTCATGAATACTCACTTATGTAATCGCACAAAAAGACTCATTTATAAAGACATTTTTGACATATTATTACATGCACCTTATTATATTCCAATTATTCGACGAATGCAGTTGGATTTTACAGAAACCTGTAATTTTTATGAAGGATATTTCGCAGCGTTGCGCTGTGACATAAAATATATCCTAAATCTGCATTCCCTATCATTCCTTTCTAGGGTGAGGATGGGTGTGGGTGAGGGTGTGATGGAAACTTGTTTTTATATGGGAATAATATTATTGATATGCTATATTATTAAATCATAAATAAGCTTGAGTTGACTTCGATTTACTTCACAGAAGAGATAATATGAAGAGACAGCACATCTTTCTTGTTTAGTTAAATCGATGTAGTTGTTTTGAACTCGGTACCAAATCAACTTATGATTTAGAATAAGTAAAAAGTTGAGTGTTAAGATTATGAGTAGGAGAAATTGAGTTAAAAACTATACTGTATATAAATTGTATTTGTATCGCAAAATAGTCATTTACACGTTTCTCATATTGATTGAGAAAAAATGTGAAAATAAGAGACATCACGGGATAACGACAAAAGGACCCTCGAAATGAGGAGCGGCCTGTTTTTAATTCTTATGTTTTTGCGAATATATAGTTCAGAGCTAAAACAGTCAAAATAGTGTAATGTAATGCCACTTTCAATTTTTTAAGAGAGTTTGTCCATGTCTATTCTCCTAATTAACATGTGATTCTACCAAGAAGGAGGAAAACTTTCTCGATATTTATAACAAATTCAACAAAAATATTTATTTGAATTCCTACTTAGCTATATCCATACGCTCAGAGATATCGACATTTACGTTCATCTTGTTACTTTAACCTAAAGAATGGATTTTCATTTATCATGACACCAATTTTTGTTTTTTTGCATTAAGTTTTGCTTTGTCTTATTTACCCTTAAAATAGGATTTGATTCATCTACTCTACCTTGTCTTTCCGAATCGTCTTCATCTAATAGTAATTGTGCAGTAGCCAACTCGAAAGTTCACGATGGTGGTATTCTGAATATTCAAGATAATATTTGGTATTTTTACATCGTCAAACAGGCTTCGTAGTGTACGTATTAAACACTAAATACACCCGCGAACATAAGAATTACCGAACTGTTGATGATATCGTGAAAAGACTTGTTACCGCCTACCAGACGACCGCTAGATCTACTCTTCTTCAGATACAGAGCGAAATTGATGAAAGCGAGCCATTATTTGAAAAATTCTTGGAAGGGTTCGCTAGCCCAACACTATCATTTATTACTTCAATATTAACGACTGTTGTATTAGTTATTTTAAGGAAGTATCGTAGAAATAATAATCAGGATGTTCAAGAATCGCTTACCGTTCTTCGCCAGTTGGCGACGTTTGTACTTGACCAAAGATTTTGGGCGAAACCATGCAGACTAAAAGAACACAAATCATAACACTACAACAAAACTACCTTGCCCAAGCATCCGCAGGTAATCCACAATAATGGTTCACGCTCGGTTAATGCTGGTCAATTATTAACACATGTGAAAAAATCAATATTTATTATAACTTCGTTTATTCTTCATCAATTATTTGGAATTATCAAGATCCTTAGCAATCAATTGAAAAGTAAGGTTTTAGTTTTATTATAATCTACAAGAAATGTATCTTTTTCTTAAGGTTCTACTTTAGATTATGTGCGTGGCGAATATTTAATAAAATCTATCATTCAACAAATCAAAGATCTTCGTACTGAACAATCATTTCAACAAGTTTATGATAAAGCAAAAGACTTTTGTAACAAAAACGAAATTGAATTCGTTCATCAATATCGATCACATCGAACAACAAAAGTTCCAGCGAGATTTGAAGAATTTATTATAGATTCAACTGTTTGTCAAGGTGAAGTTTTATCAACACCAACAGATTTTATGAAATGCATTTTTTTCCTTTGATCATTTGTATGCTAGTCGAACTGAATGATAGATTTTCATCAAAAACTTTATCAATGTTAAAAAGCATATTCACGGTTTATCCAGAAAGTGAAAACTTTTTAGATATTAATTATATAGATGAGTTTCGTGCTCATACTGGTGCAGATTCGCCCAGGTCGATCATTCTGGCGACTGGATCCGTTGAAATCTGAGTCGGATCCGGCGGCAAGGAAATGGTCGGAAAANCGGAGAGAGGCCGACAAGCGACTAGACGTTATAGTTTCAGAAGATTTCAGGAAGCGAAATTGGTCTAGGTAAAACATTCTGAGAAATTATCAAATGATCAGATCGTTCAACTGAAATAACTTTTTTCTCTCTTTGGACTAATAGTAGCGCTCTAATACTATCCTTTCAGTAGAGAGTTTAGCGGCTACTAGGCCGCGTTACTTGTTTTCTATCTGTATATCGTTTAGAAGCTCAGTTAAGTGGACAAAAAGTAGGTTTAGATAGCTTACTCGACATGCTCTATCATCTGGGCGAAGAAAAAAAATGAATTTTTTCATAGCAATCTGGTTTTGCAAAATCCGGGTCTCCGGAGGCCTATAGGCAAAGGCCCTGGTGATATTTGGAATCAGCATATTGACTTACCCTTGGCCCAGTATGTTTAATTAAAAAATCGATTAACCAATTGGAAAAGTTCCCTCGTCAGAGAAATCGCTCAACACATTTTCGACTCAATTACAACAACAAACAAATACAACCAATCATCGAAATCATTCTCAATGTCAATCGCTAACAAGACAAGCTGAAAGATACGACCAATAAGCAGACCAAACCATCTAAACCATATGTACGGTCAATACTAAGGCAAATAAAAATAATATAGAACAATAGCGGCATCATTAAGACATTCTCGGTTGCTCCGAAATTTAGAAAGTTTACGATTGATTTTGGAGGATCTTTTTGATCTTTTCAAATTAATCTTGAATTTTACTAGATATCGTCATGCAGATCTTCTTCTACCGCCTGATGATTCATCATTTAATTATGATGAAAATTGATTTGTGGTAGTTAATTGTTAAAACTCACCCTCAAGAATTTGATCACTAGAAATTGTTTTTTATGAATAGATGCTATTTGATAAGTCTCTGACAAAGACGAAACTAGTCATGGCAGCTTGCACTTACACTCACCCTCAAGATAGTTGATGGAAGATACAACTATGAGATAGAGTCAAATTCGACGCATATTGGCAAATGAACCTACATAAATCTTCAAGATAAAAATTTATTTCTTCTGAATAGTAAATAGTTTCTGTTTAAGCAGCATTTTAAATCGTTTCTACGTGTTACATCAATCGCTCATATTCAACAAATAAACTTTTTTCTTTGTATATATAAGTAAACAAATGTACTTTCTTAATAAAACAATGCCATAGAGACATAAGTGGGCAATCAATACATGAATTGCTTATGACTTTATGATCGATAAGTAGGAAGAATTTTAAATTGAAATACAAGTGAAAAATCCCATGACAAAAGAAAATTTCCAAGCATTTCTCTCGCCGTTCAATAACATATGAACGGTGCAACACTTTATGTATGGGAAAAACACAGTAAAATTGGAAAAAAAACAAGGGAGAAAACCCATTTTAGCGCATTTAAAATGCTGCGGAATGAACGGGAATGCATCAAAACATCGAGAAGTGAGTATAAACAAATTATTACCAAGAGAGAAGAATAGAAATTAACTCTTGACATTTAATAACAATATTTTTTTGAAATAGTTCCTACTAAATTACATTTTATTTTTACTTTTTTTAAAACTTCAGATTACAATATGTTTGAAGATACTGATGATAACGATAGTTCAAAACAATCGATTCAAGCATTCTACTCGCATCTGGATTCAACCACCTGTGAACGGATTGTGGAAGAACTTCGAGCAAAAAATTTTACTATTTCGACACATGAACTCCATAAAGAGAACGAAGTTCGAGAAACAATTTTTGAAATCATATTTAAAAATTTGCGCGATACATCCGTTGTTCTCGTCTTTCTTTCCACAAACTTTTCCCTATTAGAATCTTCTAATCTAATATTCTACTTATCGTCCTCGGACGGAACACCGTTACTTTCTTTGATTATTGAAAAAGATTTTGAACCCGTGGACGAACTTGGTGTACTAGTTGCAAGGTACGCATACGTGCGATGGTCTGGTGATCTGGAAGTCGCTTCTTTTATTGACGATGTTGAGAAACAAATTCGTGAATTGATTTCACCACATATTCCAACAAAGCCAGATTGTGATGTTCTGGCAAAGCTCGATTCCATTCTTGATATCCTCGACGAAGAAGATAATTCAAAAGTAAATATTGATGAAATCTGTCAGTCGCTTTGTGTAACTCTTAAGTCAACGAAAGAGAATATTGAAGATCCAAAACAATTATTGCCTATCGCTGTTGAAGTGTTCCTTCGATACAACCTGATTATCGGTAAAAATGATGATCCTTTTATCAAGCTTAGCGAAGATATAGACTCAGAAATAGATTCCTTTCTCCAGAAGTCTTTACTCGATGCCGAAAAACATGATCCATTTGGTGACGATCACAAACGAGCTCAAATGACATTTTCACGAGTGTTTAACTCGTTAGCAACGTTTCCAACAACAATTTACTTTCTGGATAAAGGCTTTATGTTAAAAAATAGCAAGCATGCACGCATTCTATTTTGGGCTGCAAAAATTCTCTTAATCGCTTCTACTAGACGACTGTTCAATACTGAACAAGATGCCGTTAAATTTCCTCAACAGCAGATTGTTCTTCAGATGTGGTTGAAATATGTCGATGAGAATACACAGAGTTTTTACTATACTAATCTTATACCTATGCTATTAACAATTTTTCAGAACTTATCGGCTAACGTTGGTCTGGTGCCGCCCTTTGTAGATGCATGCTTTCCACCGACAGTTGTGAGTTGGTTATCGTCGATAAACTGGATGTTGAATAATGAATTGCAACTCTTTCCGTTGTCTATCATTTATAATTTAGCTCGACATAATAGGGGAGTTAATGCTCTAAACCAGTTGGGAGCTATATAAGTACTGCAAAGACAACAACGCTTTTTTGCAAAGAACAAAAATCGTGCAGATGCTGACACCTTATATTATAATACTCTAGCTTTGCTCTATAAGCCAGAAAACGTTCATGATGAAGCAGTGGAAATTGAACCAATCCTTAAGCAGCTTCTTTCGAAAACACTCTCCGCTTTTCGAGATCCAAAGTTAACTTACGGTACACTTCATCTGAGAGAATTTTTTCTAGCATTCAATATATTATTTATTAATGAAGAACTCATTACAAAGACTTTAAAACAAACAGTCGATGGTAAATCGATTGATGCGAATTTCTTTATGGATATGTTCACAAGTACTCTCAAAGAAGATATTCTCGCCCAAACACTTTTATTAAATATTATGTATCGAATTACATCAACAAAGAGCTTCAAGCACCAAATCAAGGAAAATCATGTATCCATGAATACTCTCAAAAAGTTGAAGAGTAAAAGTATGAAAAACATTTACTTACCGAGATACACAGTAGATTTATTGACTGCTGTAAATGGCATTTTGCGAAATCTTAATATGAAAGAACAAAGTTCAACAAACAAGCCGGAAAAGAAGGAAGCATTTTCTAATCAGTCGAATTTGATTAAAAAGAAAGTAATGATCAGCTATAGTCACCAAAATAGCGGATTTTGCAAGACTTTATCGAGCAAATTAGAAGAAGATTCACAGCTGAGTATTTGGACAGATTCGAAAAGATCAGGTCACAACTACGTATGGAAGGATATTGCCACAGCTATGGATAATGCTGACGTAATCATTTGCATCGTAACACAGGACTATGTAGGCAGTGAGAGTTGTATGGGTGAATTTCGATATGCGATTGAAGATTTAGATATGAAAAGTAAGAATGGATTGATCCCGATTCTAATCGGTAGAAATTATAAACTGCCAGGTCACGTGGCTATTCCAATGAAAGGACCTGATTATATTCGATTCAATGCTTACAAAGGTTTTGATATGGAAGTAGCTCCATCTACTCAAGATGACTCCTTTACGAGCAAGTGTCAATCAGTCCGTGATTGAATTTTATATGGTAGTATTGAACAAGACATAGAAAAAGCCAACACAGTAGTTTCCAAGACTGATGACAAGAAAACAAATACCATCGAATCAAAGATTGTCACTGCGCCAACAAAACCAGTTCATGAATGGACAGAACAAGACATTGCTCAGTGGCTTGCAAGTATTCCAGTGCCGCACGAACTCACTGCATTGTATAAATTTCAATCTGTCGAAGAACTTCTGGATTATGCACACGATTTCAAAGTCAATGAAACCATTATTTATGTTGATCTCAAAGATGAACTTAAAAATAAATATGGATTTACTTTACAAAAGAAGCACTATTTATCTCTGAAAAATGCATTTGAACAGTTATTAATCGATAATCAATCTAAAAATGAACTTAACGTCCAAAAACCTTCTCAAACACAAACTAATACAATAACATCACGTTCTTGTATACTAATGTAGTGCTTGACGATGAATGCACTCTAAAAAANTTTCATTCTATTAATAAAAGGATTTACTAACTAGTTTGTATATGCATCATCTTTTACCTACGTCAAATATTCAGTAGCAATTCAGTACAAATAGAATATTCCGAAAAAACTTCGGAGTTGGGAGGCGATCATATAAAATGCCAGGGTCTGAGCCTCCTCAAATAAAAATCTCTGGTGCCGCCTCTACGCGATGGATAGGTATAGTCACAAAAGTCTTAGTTGAGCGTCTACTTTAGTTTTCCATTAGAAACCCAAACTTTATACCGAGGTCATTCATTTCAGCAGATGAATTCGGCCAATTGAAGCAAAGTGCAGGTGGTCTCCTTTCAACAACTATCGGTCCACGACATCCTTTATTTGAGTATCTGATTGAACCATCTTTGTTACGAACCGATGCAGCGCCGTTTGCTGACATCAGTAGCCATAGTAGCATGGAAAGTGAAAACGAAATCCTGCTTTCAATTGGCACTGTTGCGGAAATTATATCTGTACCGCCTGCAACTGATGACAGAAATTTCCGTCATATACGTTTACGTCTATGTTATTTTGATAACTTTCCATTCGGACAATTTCAAAGCCTATTCACCCAAAGTATGAAAACGAGAAATAGACCTGAAGCAGATTATACCATTTGAGTAATCTACTTTTTATCATGGGAGAGTTCACCAAAATGCAACAGCTATTGAAACTTTTTCCAGTGACGAATGATGATGCTGATCTTCAAGCTTTGCGATCACTATTAATGTCTTTTAGACGATTCAGTCAACACGTCCTGGAATCTGATGATATGGGTCCTGCTGTATCGTCTAAAATGAAAAGTGTCATAGATGCTTTGGAAACGCTTGTCAATAACAACCAAGTCTCGTCAGTTCAACGAGCATTATTTAATGTGATGTATAAGTTTGTGACGAATATCAAATCTCTTTGGGAAGAAGGGAACACCGAAAATTACAGCGTGTCGATACGAGATAATCCAAACGAGATGATGGGTCAAATGAAATTTCTAAATAATATGTTATTATCATTCGTACCCTCTCACCCACACCTTCAAGATTGGCCATTGACGATTACCTGTTATCAAGATATCATATCTTTAAAATATCTACCACCNGAAATCTCGTACTGTACGTTTCGGACAAGTGTATACCCGTCAATGCCATCTGGTCCACGGGTTCATTCAGCAATGGTCCCCATCGTTTTCAAATACAGACTAATGGTAACCTAGTGGCCTACAACGGTAAAAACCAAGCTATGTGGAATTCAAACTCATCTCGACAGGTAAAAATAAGTAAAAGTTTTTTGTCTACCATCCTGATGTTTCCTTCTTTCATTAAGAATGTTGAACGTGGCCATTTAGTAATGCAGAATGACGGCAACCTAGTTCTCCATGATAATAATCATCGAGCCGTTTGGGCTTCGAATACTTGTTGTTTCATTGCTCCCCGCGCATAAGTCTTCATTTATTATCATCTACCATGAAATAAATCGGTTAGGGATGCGAATACTGTCGTTTTAAGGAGTATATGTTAGAATGGTGATAGATATGTGCACAAAACCAAAATCATGCATCTCGATGGTGCTCTTGTTATATATTGCTTCAAGCAATCTTTGTGAAAACAGTTTCTATGTGTTGACAAAAGCAGCAAAAAGGCTACTTACTTTGTGAGGAATAAAAAATATGGAAAGAGAGTGACAGAACGCACAAAAGTGTGTCATCATTCAATAGAAGTTTCTTTTCTGATTCCACACTGGGTGAAAGCAGCCGATATAATAGGGTTTTTTCCCACTGTGAATGCCAGCTGTTTGTATATATAATTGCTAAAACATTAGAGACTAGCTTTCATCGAGCACATTTTGCTTATGAATCAATCAAGTTTAATTTCATCATCAACGATAGAATCAACCAATTCCAGTAGTGGAACGTTGAAGGATACAGTTGATTCGATTCGTCTTAAAAAGAATGCATCGCGCAATTCCTTAGCAAGTATTGACTGGAATGTCGAAACATCAGATTCTGCTATTGATTTCGATATCGAAAGCCTTGACAAACAATTTCAACAACTATCGTTGGACTTTAAACACAGCATGCAAGACCTACGCAATGATCCACATAATGAAACGATACGCAAGAAAGTTAAAGCAACTATGGAAGATCTATCGCGTATTAAAACATGGTCGTCTTTACTAAAGACAGAGGAGGGATTTGCTATTGTTAAAGAAGCGATGTTACAACGGCGTAGAAACGAAGTTAATCAACGGAAATATGAAATTGATGAAGTTCTTAAGTTAACCAAAGCTCAATCGACTGTTGATGTTTGTTTCCTAATGGATTGTACCGGTAGCATGGGATGCTATATTGATGCAACCAAAACACAAATTGGTCAACTTACCGATACAATCAGTAAATTATATGATACAACACCTCGTCTGGCCTTTATTGGATATCGTGATATCGATGAAAGCATTGAACAACTCGATTTTACTGATGATGTCGATGCGTTTAAAATGTTTTTGAATCAAGTAAAAGCAACAGGTGGTCATGATACGTGTGAAGACGTGTTTAGTAAGAATACACATTTTCTGTCAATATTTTTCATGTCATTGTGAATTCTATCTTATTTAGGCGGATTAGAAATCATTCCAACACTTACATGGTCCAATTCCAATCGTCTATTGATTCATATATGCGATGCCCCTTGTCATGGACGTGATTATTATAAATCACAAGATTCAATAAGTGATACATATCCCAAGGGTGATCCGAAGAATCGAGAACTTTCAAAACTGTTATTGGACATTAAACGGTTAAAAGTTACATATTGTACTATTCAACTAAATGATTTCACCAAGCAAATGTTCGATGAATTTAGTTTCATATATGGAACAATATCCGAAATTCATGTGGAAAATCCAGCAGCTATGATAAAACGAGTTTGTCAAGAGACAAGTGACATCATCATGAGTTCTATCAAGTCAACGATGTCGTCTTTCCGTTCGGCAAATAAGCAGACAAAGCCTTACACACTCTTGGGTAAAGAGCCGGACTGGAGTACGGTAGACATATTTGAAGTACACACCATCGAAGTCATTCCACCATTGAAAATGGAGGACCTATTTCGTTCTTTGTTTATTGGAAGAGGTAGCGGTAAGATAAAAATTGCACCTCATCCTTTCGCACAAGGCTCACTGCGTTTTGCGTTTTATGGTCAACTTGCAAGCGATGGGTATGAGATGATGGACGTTGTTTTTAAAGAATTTAGTAGTTCTTCATCATATGATAATCAACTAGAAGTTTATCAAGAGCATCTCGAGATACAAGCGATTGCAAAGTTTTTAGCTGAACAATTCAATGATGAATTAAAACGTATCATTAAAAAACCAATCACAGTTGTTTACGCTGATGCTGACCTTGTTCAAGTGAAAAGTGATGAATCGAAAGTTTATCAAGTAGAAGCGCGTATGCATCAGGATTGGCATAAATGGAATAATAACAGTGGTGGAGTCTCCGTTACAGAATATTCAACAGTTTTACAAGCATTTTCACATTGGACTCATCATATTACAGCAGCTCGTCTAATGGTCGTAGATCTACAAGGTGTGAAAGTTGACAATGCTTACTTACTAACTGATCCAGCTATTCACTGTGATGATTTATTACGATTTAAACACACACGTACAAATTTTGGAGTCAAAGGCATGCGTGAATTTTTCCGTACGCATATATGCAGTGAAGTATGTTCGTTGCTTCAACTGCCGTTGCACGAAACGGAGCTATCTTCGTCTTTAAACAATAGTAACAATGGATTGGAAAGTTTTATAGTGTTAAATTCTATTGATGAATTAGACGAAAAGACTGCTATTGTTGAAACCTATCCTGCGACTACCAAAGACTACTTTGTAACAAAGACATTTGAATACGTAGAATGAGAATCATTTATAGAAAAGACACATCATACGATCGGATATTTATTCAATTGTTGTAAATAAACGAGAAAGGAATTTGATGGCAGACATTTGAATGATTTCAAATACAAATTGAGAAGAGAACAACAAAGTACTATGATTGAAAGTGTGGAATGTGCACAGTTCAGGATGACTAACTAATACAGAAATTCTTGTTTAAAAATATAACTAATGCAATATTTATTTAAGATTCGTCCATTACCAGATTGGCTCTTCGATTAGCTCGATACACTTTTTTTACAATAATAATAGCAATTATTCGACAAATAATCTCACCAAACTGCCATACCAACCGATCAATTTTGTTACTCCTTCGATAACATTAGCCTCATCAATGTAGGAATAGATACACAACGATGGTGAACATCCATCAAAATAATTTCGATAATCTATATCATATTTCACTTCTTCTGTCATCAGTTCATTGACAAGTGATTCAATTGTTTGATTTATTGTGAAGCGACTTCGGCTCAAGAATGACATTTTTATTGACTTAAATGCGTTTGTTGAATCAGTACATTGTTGATTGTAGAAACATTGTAATGTTGTGTGAAATATTGATTCAAGTGAATAACAACCACAACTATTGTAACTCAATGGAGACATATGTATAATCGTGTCGTTGGTTGAAAGCACACGACGAAACGCCCAATTGGTTAAGTACATAGTCATCAACATATTCTTAGTAATCACTTCTTGAACTAATGAGATGCTGTTGTTGAAACTTATTAACAATCATTTGTATTTGATTGTGCAAGAAATGTGATGATAGAAGTTTGCTATTAATGAAATCCGTTGATTCTAATTGAAAAACGGACTCGGCTACTGTCTCATTCGACAAAGCACAAAATGATGACAGTAAATTGAACTGTCCATGGGCTGAATGGTAATAACCATGTGGTGAATGTTGTCTACCATTATCCCTTTTGTCATACAGATATGCAATTCATTGTTGACTGATGAAAACGATAGGTTAAGTTGAGAAATGTTTTATACTTGATTGGTGACTTTGAACAAAAACACTCTAATGTTGTTATTGAGTTGTTTGTATGAATTCTCGTACGTTTCTAAAGAAGGTTGACTATGTGAAACAGTGACAAGGCGAGGAGTAAAGGCTGAGAACAATGTAAAATAAAGTGAGACTTGAAATGACTAAAATAATATGTAGTCGACGAATAACATCGTTTGCAGTTGGAAAAATAAATATTGATTTGATTAAATTGAATGAAATGAGTTGAAGCAAACTATTCGCAAGAATCTTATCAAGACACTTCAGAGTAATTTTGAAGTAGAAGTTTCAATGCAAGTGAGAGACCGCTAGAAAGACTCAAAATAATTGTAAGATTGTTAAAGAGAAGATTTCGACCATCATATTGATACGTGCATGATAATGGAGAGTATTTGTTGTAATAAGAAGAGAAGGACATAGTTGACAACCATTGATCGACCATTAATCGACTGATATCGGAATTGAGAGCAGAAAAATTGACAGGCACTGGAGATTTCATGTGCACATTAAGTGTCAACATACATGAGATATTGTAGAAGCACTTCAATGTCGATATGAACAATGATCGAGTTGGATAACAACCATAGAAAATATTTGCAACTGGATATGGATCATATGCGCATACCTCGTAATGAAGGGTTCGATAAAGCGCAACAGAAGAATAACATAATGACGATAACATACAATTACAACCTTTGTGTAATTCTGAATTGATGTACACTTCGGAAGACTGATCCACTGAAAAAAAACACTCGTATGTACACTGCTAATCAATCGATGAATTGATTTGGATGTAAAATACTTATTGAGAAATGACACGTGAACTGACGAATTCTGTTCTGAGAAAAATCTCCAATGCATCGATAACTGCCCGTTCAGTTAGTTCACAAAACAGTGATAACAATTGGAAATAGCTCACGGCTATCTTTCGATAATCATAATGAATAATATTTCCACCGTTGAGATTTTCTCTGAGATAATGTTTCCATCTATCAGAAATCAAATCGCTTTGACATAACTGATGATATCGTGGCTGAATCTTTGTGAAAGTTGAATAAGGTGTTAATATTGAGCCGCATGGAGATGAGAGTAATCGATATATTTGATAAAGTTCAATAAATTAAGATTCCGTTGGATGTAGAATAGTTGTTGATTGAGTAAATACTTGTAAAAATACATAAACAGTGAAAATGATTATTGAACCGAGAATAAAACACAAATACAGCCGCGTTGTATAACGCTGAAACCGTATTTATCGATACGTGTCAAAAGATTTTTTAAAGATGTTCAGTTCCATAATTTTCACTTGAATAGTTCTTTTGAATTGATGAAAACGATGTTTGACTAAATATTTTCGGAGAAAAAACATCGTATTTTTTCAATAGTACTTTGAGTTTGTTGTACTTACAAGTACTTCTTTGTTCTGATGTTCGATTCTGTTTTTGCATGATAAATAGCGAAAACTATATAATCAGTTTCTATACTCGATTACATATGTTACATTAAAATTATACTCTCTCAGCCAATTCTATTACTACATCTCTAATAGAAGATTTGTTTTATATTACAAAACATTCATTCTCTTGGTTTTCGAAAACGTCTCACTCTTACCCTCACTAAACTTGACTGGTTGATCAACGAGAGTGTTCTTTAGACTAGTACTTTTGCCTTCGTAATATTTGTCAAGGAAAGAGATCTGGTTGTCTGCACCATGAGAAAAAGTGATATTAACCTAACTTTCACCCGAAAATAATCGAATGAGATCCCTTCATAGACGGACAATATTAGAAAGTTTTGATAAGGTATTCGTCATTTTGTCAACAACTTTTCAAAATTTATCTTTAACTAAAGAATCTTCGTCACATGAGTGGCAGGGTTTGTTGGAAATTCTCTTCTCTTTTTAGAATAAAATCCATTTTGAGGCATGGCGTATGCACGACATCGAAGTAGTTCTCGTCGTAAATTGGCTTTGGTCATTGGAAATGGTGATTATGTGATGGGAAGGCCTTTGTTTAATACGAGAAATGATGCAAAGCAAATGGCAAATGTTCTAATAGATCTCGGCTTTCTCATCTATGAGAATGAACCAAAACTCGATTTAACTTACGAGCAATTTTCAATAACAATAGCGAATTTTCTCTGTTCAGTTAAGCGGAATGATTTGGTCTTATTTTATTTTGCTGGACATGGCATTCAGTGTGAGGTAAATAAATGTAAGAGCAATTTCTCTATCTATTGTTTTTTGCTGCAGGATCATAATTATTTGATTCCAATTGATAACTTCAAAGAAGAAAATCACGATTTAATCGAATTGAGTGGAACAGATTTGAAAAGACGCGCAATTAATGCACAACGCTTCCTTAACGATCTCGATGACCGTGATCCGTTTACAGTTTTATTTTTCTTAGATTGTTGTCGAACATATCATTTAAGACAGGAAGAATCAGAAAGAAATTCATCCCGAAATGCGTTCTCGACTCAAATTCATGGTCTAAAACCAATGTCTGTCAAAGCTGGATCATTAATTGCATTTGCTTGTGCACCGGGAACAACTGCGGATGATGGAAATCAAAGAGAAAAGAATGGATTATTTACAAAACATCTTTTAAAACATCTTCCAACATCAAATGAAAGTATTTTTGGAGTACTGACAAATGTCTCGAAAGGAGTTGTTGAAGAATCAAATAAACAACAAATTCCACATCTCACTGTTGCAATGACAGAAAATATTTTCTTATTCGATCAGCGTCAAGGTAAACATCATTTGGTTCGAAGAACACAGCAATCTGCATAAAGGGACGTACATTAGAGGAGTAGAACTCAACAGGCGGAATCAGTTGGATTGAAATTTCTTCAATTGTAACTGATTCTACTAGCTGTATCACTGAGAAATCTCTATTCTGAGAGGATTTTTTTTCAAATTTCAATGAAAACTTTCTTCTTTTCGTTTTTAGGAAATCTTTCAACATCAATAAATCATTTGTCAATATCAGTGGAAAAGAAATCTTCTTTAAACAACAAGACTTCGACAACATCTCGTGAGTTGATCTTATTCTAGAATTGAAATTCATTTGTTCCGGTCAAGGAATAGATCTTAACATATTGATCAAAAGACGATCGAATATGAGATCACCAAATCTGAGATTTGACTTTGGAGAATTTTTTGTTGGCAATAGAACTAAGAAAACTTTCAACTTTTGTTTTAACTTTCAAATGATCTTTTACTTTTTTTCTCTTTTGTAGAAATCAAATGTAACCAATGGAGACGACAAGGAATCACTATCGCTGGAGGAAATGGTTCCGGAGACTGGTTAAATCAACTATCAATTCCTTTTGGAATTTTTTTCAACAAATATTCACAAATTTTTGTTGCGGATCGGGGGAATCATCGAATTATGAAATGGGAACTAAATCATAATCAAGGAAAAGTTGTCGCTGGCGAAAACGGAAAAGGGAGATGGATTAATCAATTGAATTATCCGACGGATATGATTGTTGACGAAGAGTATAACTCACTTATCATTTCTGATCATAGAAATAGAAGAGTGATACGATGGTGGAATGAAGATCAGCAAGAGATTCTTATTGACAATATTTCATGTTCTCGGATAGTGATGGACAAATTCGGATTTCTTTACGTTTCTGATGATGAGAAACATGAAGTGAGAAGGTGGGAAATAAAAGCTAAAAGAAGAGAAGGAAAACTAGTTGCTGGTGGAAATGGACAAGGATATCGGCTTAATCAGCTCAATAATCCTAACTATGTCTTCGTTGATGATGAACAGTCTGTTTATGTTTCAGATTGTGGAAATGATCGTGTGATGAAATGGAGAAAAGATGCTGCGCAAGGAACTGTCGTTGCTGGTGGAAATGGTTGCGGAAGGAAGTTGAATCAACTGAATGGGTCTCAAGGGATCATAGTTGGTGAATTTGGGCAAGTTTTTGTTGCAGATAGTAATAATCATCGAGTCACGTGTTGGAGTGAAGGAGCTGAAGAAGGGGAAATCATCATTGGTGGAAATGGGCGAGGAGACGAACCCAATCAATTGTGGAGTCCCAATGGTTTATCACTTGATAGTGAAGGCAACCTTTATGTTGTTGATAGTGGAAATCATCGAGTGCAGAGATTTGATGCAATTTGTGAATAAAAAAAGTTTATAAAACAGGTCTAGACCAGTTGCTCGCAGAGCAAACTATTAGCATCATTATGAAGGAAATAATGAAATCAAGATTAGTTAAGTAAATCAAGACGATTTTAACCGATTTCTTAGGAAAACTTTTTAACTAAATTTTAATACTGGTTATGCGTAGCGTGGGTAGAAGACGAAGCTGATATGGTCCCACTAAACCTGCGATACCAGTGACTCTAATAATAATGAGCTCACTGAAGCTATACTGATCGACTGAATTATACTCAGTTCACAGGCATATGTATATTGGTCATAGCCCCTATTTTAGCGTGCTCAGTCGCGTATCGAACTGTAGAAGAACATGTCTATCAACGGATCACTCACACTTTACAGTCGTACTCGAGTAGTGCAACTTTCAAATCATTATGGTCGAAATATGAAACTTTTAAAAATTCTTTTTTCACTGAATCTAGTCGAAATCTTCCTGATTTACTTAACTAATCTTGATTCCAATTATTTCCTTCATAATTTTGCTAATACTTTACTCTACGCGTAAATGTCCATACGAGCAACTGTCCGTTTCCCAAAACCGCGCTTCTAATAAATTATAGTTTTATATTTAATTACGAAAATATCTATAGATTCATTGTAAAACATCGAGAAATTGCTATGAATTTCGATTAAGGACTAAACTAACAACGATAACTCTGTTGAACTAGATACGAAATTCATTAAGCAAGAAAAACATTTTACGGCAAATAAATTCGAAAAAGCAAAAATATCAAGCGAAGCATCAAGATTTTCTCTAAACTGTCTGTTGATTTCGAAATAAAATTGAAATTGAATTTGACTGCCAATGTTTAGAACAGAAAGTTTGGAAATGATCTTTTTACGTTCAAAACACTTTTTAAAACTAGCTTCTCATTGGCAGCAGTTTTTACCGAGAAAACATTGTGTACCCTATTGATGCACCTCATTCTATACCTGAACAGAACTAACTTTAAAGAGTATCGAATAGGAAACAATCTAAAATTACAATCGTGCGTAATGTATTAACACCCCGCATCGTCACCCTCAACGGCAGTTGATAAGTCGTAGCAAAGATTCAATAGATTTTTTGAATTGTTTTCTATAGAATTGTGATGGGACAACATACACGATAAATATCGTTACCGATGGGATAAATGAAATGAAATAGCCTGTCACCTATAAACTCGAATTATGAGATGTTTTCACACATTCGGACATGAATGAAATAATCAAGCGAGGTATGGACAAAATAACCAGAGTTATTGAACTAATGATAAGATGTTTATGTTCTTCGAGTTGTTGCCATAAATGCCGTTGATATGTTAATTGTCTTTGAGATGTTGCTCATTGACGAGCATTACGAAAGATAATAAATACAGCAGAGAACAGGTTCGCACAGAATGGACCAAGAAAATGAAAGAGCGAAATAAATACATTATATCTGTGAAGTGCAGGAGGATAATGAAGTATACACCATACGCGTTTGTTCATGTTTATCATCGTATAATATGCGATACAATGGTTCGTGAATCATAGATATCGTAATAATCAATGGCAAAAAGATTATCAGGATTCGTGCAGTACGTTTGCTCGATTGCTTTTTGAAATAAACGCCTTTATATACAGTAACCCATCTTTCAAGCGCTACACAGGCATTAAACCAATTATCCGTATATAAGAACACTTTCAAAATGAATTCCAATAATCGACAACCGCCATGAAGAACAGATCGACTAACTGTTGGATTTATTTGAGTTAGAATAAGAAACCAGAACTTGGCTGTAAACATGGCTATTGTCAGAAGAGATGTAATAGATAATGCCAGGAGATACATTCCACATCCAGCTTCTCTTGATTCACGAACACGGAATGTCAAAATACTATTCACCACACCGGTAACAAACATGATTAATGTAAATGCTGAACACCATTTGATTACATTAGTTTGACCGTTCATCGTTGCATTTGTAAAATATCATCACGTGTCAGTCCAATACCTTTTGCATAAAACTGACAACGATCACCAAAGAAACAATCCGTACAATTGCAAAACGTTGCCAATGGACACATCGAACCATCACTTAAACATTGTGCTCCATTCAAACAATACGTCGTATGTTGACACACTGAAAGAATGTGCTGAAATTTGAAACAATTAGCATGTCGCTCAAGAGTGCATAGACACATGTACGAATCATCAACGAAACACATTAAATGAAGATGAACTTGACATCGTTGAATTGGAGGTAAATGCCTCAATCGAGGATTCAGAACTTCGTTCACTTGTGCACATCGTTGAGCACGACCAATTGAACTACTAGTAGAAACATTAACAGCATGGGACGTATGAAGAGAAGCAAAGTAATAATTATCATCAATTCTCACGAAAACCGATTGAAAAGTATTTGGAGTATATATATGGTTGCAGTATGTTGAAATATCTTAAGCTTTTGTGAGATCATATAGAGTTTGGTTTGATCAAAACTGTTTGGAGAATGTAAAGCTTGAATACAACTTTCCTCATTCTCAGTCTCACCCTAACTCGAAAAAAATATGCAAGTAACATAATGAACACTTTATTTTACTAAGGGTGAAGTATAATATCAACATAAAACTTATCACAAATATACTTTTATTCAATTTAGATTTCTCACATCTCCGGTGGAAGAACAAGAAAAGTTTATTTGTCTCAGAAATAATAACCCAGATGGTATTCTTCGGTAAAACTGACGTTTAAACGATAAAATCTTATCGTGAGAGTGAGTGCGTGAATGAATATTCGTATTTATACGAATCACATCTATGTACCCTTATAGATATGTATTGAGAATTCAGAGAAGAAAAGTAAAGAATCTTCTCATTTTAACATATGCACAGCAAAACTGATTTTGAAATCATTATACAATGGAACTTAGCTTTGATTCTTCGCATTTTTTATGATCGTGATATTTGTTTGAATTTTACGCCTAATTCATTGATCAATACTTATTTGAGGAGTAAAAAGTAGCAGCATAGAGATTCTTTCACATTCTCCGTATGAATCATTGTAATTGTGTAAGAACGACAGCAAATTATGCATTTTCTTCTATTTGCTCTATATAAAAGATGTTATTGCACAAGTGTAAGTCAGTCATATTGTGCGAAGAATATGGATTGGCTGGCTCATTACGAGGCAAATACAGAATTATATGTCGATGCACAGCGTCGATGGCCAAGTCGACGAAGTCGACCGGGCGGAAAATGGATCTTAGCATCTTTTGATGACGAATCAGTTATAGTTTACCAAGCTTATAATGATGATATTGCAAAATATGCATGTGAAAATGGTCGCTTCGCTGGATGCCTAACTTATAACGAAAAACGAATGACTTGTGAGATTGAAGTACCTTTTTACTATGATTTCAATGATGTCAAGATCTGTTTTAGGGATTAAAACAAGTTTTCTATGGATGATGTATCGATCAAATTGGGCATCACGTCCAAATCAACAACATATTTTAGCTATTTGGCTGCGTCGTTCAGCATTTGATAGTTATCTTGCTCGATCTAATAATTCAGATACTGATGAGTTACCTTCGGATTCAGCTGTACGTCTAAAAGGCCGGGTTCGTTTACAATGGGATCCTGATCATGATCCACAAGGTGAACCAACCATTGGTCGTCGAGCAATTCAATTAGGTTTAAGACAAGTGGAGAGCTTTCTCGATGGTCGTGATATTATTCGTATTGTTGATATTAGTTCATTCGTTCGAAATCAATATACGAACGCTGTTTTACCAAAACGACGCCGCGGTCATGATCAGATTGATCAACTTCGTATTCCTGTTGTCAATATCTATGAACCTGAAGACGAACGAATTCGGCGACATATTCAATTAGATTTGGTGGAAATGACAAACAACGTTAACATTTTTGAATAAAAATATGACGTGATACTTGACTTCGTTTATCAGTAGATTTATACATTTGATAAACAATTCCAGAATATCAATTGCCTTGATTCGAAGACGATAGTTCTTGTGACGCTCACAGCTACACTCCTGTTCCAAAGAATCGAAATACCATGTATCAGAATTCGTACCATGAGTACAAACGTGTTTTAATATCAACTAGTTCTATTTTAAACTGAACTGGATTCATATAAAGTGTTGATAGTAGTCTATAAAAGTTCATTATTGGTTGTGATATAATCATTTTTCTACGCTTTACATTTTGATTGTTCATCACTTATTTAGTTGTGTTAACAAACGGACTATGCTACAAGAAATCAAATGTGAGAACTTTTAGAATGGCCATAAAGAGTGCTGTGCGAATAATTTCCTTTGATACTAATGAGAGATTTGTTTCACTTGTGAATCCTAGAGAAATGACAAGTTGGCAAGGCTTCACGAAGATAAGGTATCCCTCACATTGTTTTTGAATTATTATCAAATAGTATGACGGATTAAATCTAAAACATGTTCAAGTACGTGTGTTTTGAAATGGCAAAAGATGCTTTCCTCCAAATTACTTCGTGTAACACTGATCAATCTGTGAATTTTCAGTTTTGTTCTCGCCAACCGATATTTGCCAGATACAGATGTCGTGCATCATCAATATAACCGGCTATTTAATCATTCTATCAGTTTTTTTATCCAATATAGGATTGATTACTTTCTTTACCGGCATACGAACATATATAAGTATTGACTCATTTCCTACGATGTGTGTCAACGCAATCGGACAAAAAAGCATGACTTTTCTATTCACTCTTCATTTGTATTTTCGATCGAATCTCAGTAAGATATGACGTTAACAGCTGGTAAAGCATACTGCGTTATATGTGACAAAGAATTCTAAAAACAGCACAAGAAGCCAGACGTATGTTGTTTAAACATTCTACCCAATATATTATCGAACTTATAGAAACCGAACTGGTCAAGTTAATAGCACAACATACATGTAAAAGTCGAAGAGATTAGTCGAGTATTAAAATTTCAATTCGAGTTCTAAATTTTTAAACTGTTAACTAATTGGCTATCAAATATTGACTAACAAAATGTTATTTATTAACCAATTGATTATTCAGTATGAAGGGTGAGCAAAGTCACCCTCAACCTCTAGATGATACATAATAATCAACTAGTTAATAATTCATAATCACGCAGCTATTAAATGATTAAGTAGTACTTAATAATTAATTATCGATTACCTTGTAGTCAGTTGGATGATAGTTAATAATCAATGAGTTACGAGGTTAAAAGTTGAAAACTCCGAAGATGTTTAATACTCGAATCGAGTTAATGATTTGTACACTACTCATACCATTATTGTAATAGAGCAAATCGAAACGCTTTTATACAGTTTTTCTTTATGAATGAATGTTCGTTAAGAATAGAAAACGAAACGATCCTCTTGCATAATTTTATCGAAAAACAGCACATATGAATTACTACTAGAATAATCGATGAATCAGTGTGCTTATCAAAATAATAGAAAAAGAATTACAATCACGTTGAGTCATATACAAGTATTTGTAGAGATGGTCAATGCCGTGTTGAAAGGCTTTTGGAAGGTAATTGTATTAGATTTTACCGAGAAACCGGCGTATTCACTGCTGCCATTATGTTCCGATTGTACTGGGGCTGATCGTCTCGATACAAAGCAGCGGTCTCTGACATACAAAAGAACGATAGATAAAGAGATGAAAACATAATCAAACTAACCAGTATCAATCGAAGAGTCAGTGTCAGGCTCGTCCATAAGTTTAACTACTGCTTCCACAACCTTAACTAATGACAGGTATTCAGATTCTGTTTCTGGATTTAGTAGTTCGATACATATTCTACCTGAAAAAGGAGCAAAAAATATAACAATACATTTAAATCTTTTACGATACCATTCTTTTCAATATTCGGATGGCGAAGTTGAATTCCCATGTATACTGCAGGTGGCAAAAAAGGGTATGCTTTCGCCAGTCGTATTTGTATCGGAAGTTTTTTTCCATTGAAAGGCTCGCTAGATGGATATATCCAACCATATATAACAACGAAAGCAGCTGGGTCACTGGATGCGTTATTGTTCTCACGTTCGTCCGTTGGAATGTTGTCACGTGCATCTTCTAAAGAACAACTTTGATGTTCATATACTCTCCTGGACGTTTCATCAGATAACCCAGACCAATTTTTGAGTTCTTTGTAATCTTTGTAGATTTGATCAAAAACACAATCTGCCATTGACACGCAAAACTAAACGTGGTCAAATATCTGAAAACAAATAATCAAAGACAAACATATTCGAAATTATTGATATAGGTAAGAATAAATCAGTTTAAGAGTTTTGAACTGGAAGTCCTCGAGCACGTATAGCGTTTTCTGCTTGTGCAATCAATCCATGTTCGCCTTCGAGCTGTTTGAGATACGTGAGAAAAGCAGTTGGATGAAGGCGTGTTGCTGTTCCTGGTAAATTCCAATCCGTTTCCCCGCGTTTATTTGCTGCTGTTTCCAGCTTATGAGCCTGTTGGAAATATTTTAACGCAGAAATCGAATCATTGAGTTGTAAATACGATTTCCCTTGTTCAATGTGCCATTTAGAAATGTCATGTGTGAGTCGAATTAACAGACTGGTATGAAAATCAAACATCTTGATCATTTGTACATACATCATCGCCCAATCTGCGTGCAATGCAAAGTCATGTGTATAAATGTAAATGTCATGCACAGTAAGATGTTTTTGAGCAATAATTGGTACGAGAGCACGACCGATTGTACCTGAGCAAATAATAAAGACTTTGTCATTGATATGCTCGTTAATTTTCTTTGTAGCATCGTCAATCGTTCGAACAAACACAAGTGGAACATTGTTTGAATGGAACTCTCTCATCTCTTCGTTCAAAATAGACACGTCCATAGCGTCTGGGTCTTGCTTGGGTGTACCAGTAGTTATTTCATTGAATTCATCTTTCATTGATTGATAACTACCGTCAGTTTCGAAACTGACATCACACCAAATAATCACCGGTGAAGGAACACTCATTGTAAAAAATAAATAACTGGTTGTCGTCTGTTGTGATGATAACTTATATATTTATACAAAAAGACGGTCGTCGTTGCTGGAAAAAAACATGCGAACACAGAACGCAAGTAAAAGGACAGGAAAAAACCAAAAATATTCAACTGGCACTTCGCTCCATCCAATCTGCATTGTATTCATGTTCGAAAGCCGAAAATGATCCGTACGTGACTCCTGAAAAAAGTTAATTTCTACTCAACATGTCGGAAGGTTACTGACGGCTATGGGATTATTCACATATACCTGCACTATACATAGCATGTTCTTTCGTTTTGTCTCTTCAAGCAATACGATTACATTTCGTGTCGCAACATAATTCTTGATATTTTCCAACATACACTCTGGACTTATTCATACGACGATATTAGTAATCACTTTCCATGCCTGTCTTTTCACACCAACATGTCTCAAATTAACAATTCGGTACATATTTGACTTGCATCAAGGTGAAATCCAACCGAGTCACTGTTCTTCTTTTACGAACGATATACGATATAATTCAGATGTTGATTCAGGTATTCACTATTGACGTCACTAAACAAATGAAAACTGATGACGAGCAAGTTATAACGAATCTTTGTTTTCTAGCATTTTAATGTCCCACAGACGAATGCTAAACCACTAACTATTCCCGAGCTTTTTCCTACAGTAATTCAATAATAACAGAGAAGAATTTGGTATGAGATCATGATTCATGACAGTTAATATTATTTATTCAATTTTGAAAAACTACACAGAGGGCCTGTAGGAGGATGAAAGATAAGTACATCCGACTGTGAACTATTTTTAGTTTAAAGTCAGAAAATACACATATAGAAGAACGAAAAGATTTATTAGCGTGTTTTGAGCTTTATTACTCGTAATCTCTTATGAAAAAAAAAGAATCATTAATATACATATTTTCAAGACGAGTTGTTTATATCAGCAACAAAAAATTGAATAGCTATCTGATTGCACATACATGGTTTGTATTCTGCTGTACCTACACCATTCGAATACTACGAACTGACACGCAAATAAAAAAGACTTCGTTACTATTCATAGAAACTCTCAACTAATTCCTGTGGTTATTATATAACCTAGTAGATTTTTCCCGATTTCATTGCATGTCAATTGTGCAAATTTAACCAAACTATGTGCCATAATGAGAGTGTTGCCATCTCAGACCGTTTACCGCTCGTAGACGTCAGTACAGACAGTAAAGTCAACTTTATTATTTGCTCGACTTTTACATTGAATACTTATCTCACATATTCGATCAGTTCGGTACTCCAGGTCCGTCGAACTTTTATCAGTTTTTCTTTTACGATCTTCGAAGTACGAAAATCATTTCAGACATTCAACGCTGTCGAAATCTCGCACCATATTGTAAAAAAATATTTCTTTCACAATCATTCGAACAAGTCGTCAAGTTCTCCGAATAGACAGTACGAAGCACAGTTTGTTCGAGAAAGTCAACTACTAGTTATTTAGCTTCGTCTTTCAGCATTCAATAGGTGTTTCATGCGATGATACGAACACTTCTATAGCAGTTCAATTCACCGTATGTGTGACGATTTATGAAACAGCGCGAAATTATGTAGAACAGCAGATGGATTCGTAGATTCATCCGGGATGCTGTAGTCACTATTCGATAAACTTTGAGAAATTAGCAATACTGAAGAAGGTAGAATTGAGTTCCTAGAAACTGTTCTCTGTGGCATACAAGTCAAACTGGAAGAAAATGAAGGTAGTGGAGCAGAAGGTCGATCAGACGCAACAATTTATTTTCTTGATGATAAAAACAATAGAAGGGTTGCTGTTTGTAAGACATTTTCCACAGGTGAAGACTCTATTCGAGAGCTTTCTTCTTTATCTCGACTTCGTACGTCCAACTCCATTGGATGTAGCCAAAATTACGATTCAGTCAAGTTACACCGTTGTTTTAATCGCAGAAGTAGGTTTGCTTAAAATAACTGCGCAATCGGATGAATTAATACAGTTTAAGAACTTATTTTATCAAGAAATGCAGAGCTGTATGTGCTTTTGAAGAGCAGCTTTTCCAAAGCATTACACCACATATTTTTGTCATCATTATTAATTTTTTGCGACATAAATTCATTGATCATGCACCATACAAAGAATTCGTTGAAATCAAGCAAACAGTTGCTGACGGGATCATAGGATAGAATAAAGTGTTTCATGCGTACTTTCTGTCGATTTAATTCTACATAATTCGGAAGTGTGCTCATTTTTATTTTCTAAATTATATGTGAGATAAAGACTGAAACGACAATTGAATGGTTCGTCATCAGACCATAAACATGAGGTTAATTGAGAACAACGTAAGGGAGGATGAAAGAGTCAAGCTTCATTGTTATCGAATGAGATAAGTAGATTTGCGAAGTCTAATACGGTACAATGGTACTGTGTCCAATCCGTACGCGATCGAAATACTTCCATATCCACTTCCTAAATTCTGGCAACAGACTCACACACGCCCACGGTACGAGAAGACAAGCCAAGTAGATCAACTCCATCACATAGTTCAGTTGAATATCCACAAACAAACTTGTAGAAGTTGCTTGCTGAAGTAGTCCAACAACAATACTCGGAGACCATGCGATTACAAACAGACTTGAGATGTTGAACAACTGAATGGTCATGTATCTTTGCTTTCGCCAAGAGACAACTTGATTTCGACGACGTTTTCCAACAACAACTCTCACGATAAGTGTAACATTGGCAATGATAATGAATACAATCGGTACAATATTATTCATCACCCAATCAAATAGACCAAGTATTTTGTTGTCATAATAACAGTTCATATAACCGCAAACAGTCGATGTATAGTCCCATTGACTGTGACAGGGGTACAGAATGATAGCATAGAGGTAGAATGCAGCCGGATATGCTATACTAAACACCAGAGGAACATAGAAGAAGAGAAAGGATTTGAGAGATGTTCGAAATAGGTTTGGATGAAAGATAAATGCATGTCTTTGGATAGAAATACTAGCCATGAGATATTCGCCTATTACAGCTAGCGAATATTCACCGAATGTCCACAGTGTACAGTAAATAGATGTTGATGGAGAAACATATCCACGACGGTAAAAGTCAATAGGCATCGACATTGTGGTTAACAGTCTGATGAAATTTGCAAGAAGTAAAATTAGAGTAGATTGATTTTGAAGTTTCTCTAATGTAGTACGACGTATAATAAAGAATATGAAGATAACTACAGTGATTAGAATAGCTGGTATTTGCAGGAAAATCAGAATAATGAATTTAGCCCGGAACAGACTAAATTTTCGCTCTTCACTTGTTGATGACGACGTGTCACTTTCATTCATTGCAAACAACAATATTATGTTATATTCAATTTCAAAATAAAAAAGAAATGAGTACTCACGTTTCAAGCCATCGCAGGGTATATAATTAGTTATTCTAGCAGTCTAAGCGGATTAGAGACCACATCTCTCACTACCTATCCCCATGAGAAAAACTATATTCTCTCCTGCTTCATCTTTTTTATATACGCATATAGGGTACAGATTAGGCTGCTATTTTGTAACCATTATTTGTCAGAAACAGATGTATTGGCAAAATTTAATGCGCATTATGCTTCTTTCGACTATAATCGCAAACATCACTTTTCAAGTAATTTGTCAAAGTAAATGTTCGAAAACGAGATAAGTACAGCATGGTACGTAAATAAATAGCACGAAAAAATGAATTGCATTACAGAGATTACAAAAAAAATCTTAATTGGATCCACAAAGACATTATGACAATGATTGAGTATATAAATAGATTTATTTTTATAAACGCTCTAGATAGATATGTAAAAATGAGTAGAAAATGTCAAACATCATAAGAGACAATATCTTGATTATTGAATTAATCGCGACTACATATGAAAACGAACGAAATGAGTATTAACAATACATCACGTTGAAGGGTCACCGTCAAAAGTAACAGAATCATCATCGAGACTTCTAAAACGTTGATATACCACTGATTGTTCTTTTGAGCGGAATAAACTCAGACGCTGGCATAATAAAATTATCTCATGCGCTCGGAGTTTGCAAAGAAAAAACCAAGTAAATCCAATTGAAATGAAAGCAATAACAACCGTCATAGTTAAAACTAATGCCATATTCTTGAAAGAGTCATACTTTTTCTGCTTAGTCTTTGAATAATCGTCATCTAATGTTCCATTATTGAGATAAGTTGAATTTAGTTGTATAAATTGATATAACATAGCTTGCGATCGTCGTGCTTGATTCGAGGGAACCATATGACCAGCATTATAAAACAGAATATATGTTAAATTCCGTGCGTATCGAATTCGACCTGCTAATTCATTTTCGACCATCCATGGGTTGCTGGGAGCAATTAAGCCGCTTCCTAAATCAAAGCCAATTCTCTCATTCCATTGCATTCTATTCAGCATATTTTCTGTTCCAAAATAATTACAAATGAAATCGTATTCACTGGCATAAATCAGAATCGGAATTTGTCGAAGTAGATCAGGTAAGATTTCAATCGATGGTCTCGAATTAACCGCTTGAAATGCGAAATAAACTGGATCGGTCACGTCTTTCCAATAATGTATCTTCTTATTCACATGTAAAGAAGACATGACGTCCATTCGACTTAAATAAGCAGAAACATATTCGATTTCTGATGGTCCTTTCATTCCACATTCAGGTTTCGATGCATTCTGTCGTATATGATAAACATTAATACATGAACTATATTCGTTCGTTACACCATTGTTCATTATCTGATCGAGAATAGAGTTACATTCATTCGTAAAAACATGCACACCATTCGCTACTGCTTGTTCGCATTTTTTGACTATCTGAGTAACATTTGTGTAAAGCGCTGAATCGTTCTTTAGTAGATTATTGGCAATGGCATATGGAAGATATGAATCATAAAGTGAAACAGGATCAATCCATCCACTTCCGATTATGAGACCACGTAGTTTCAACACCGATCGTTTTTCGAGAATAGCTTTGGCAATATATGGAATATATTGACCTGCAAACGATTCACCAGCTAAGTAGATATCATCTTCAAGTAGTTTCGGAAAAACTTCGATATATCGGTCGAGAAAACCGACAAAATGTTCTGCNTTTCATTCTATTAATAAAAGGATTTACTAACTAGTTTGTATATGCATCATCTTTTACCTACGTCAAATATTCAGTAGCAATTCAGTACAAATAGAATATTCCGAAAAAACTTCGGAGTTGGAAGGCGATCATATAGAATGCCAGGGTCTGAGTCTCCTCAGATAAAAATCTCTGGCGCCGCCTCTACGCGATGTATAGGTATAGTCACAAAAGTCTTAGTTAAGCTTCTACTTTAGTTTTCCATTACAAACCCAAACTTCATACCGAGGTCATTCATTTCACCAGATGAATTCGGCCAATTGAAGCAAAGCGCAGGTGGTCTCCTTTCAACAACTATCGGTTCACGACATCCTTTATTCGAGTATCTGATTGAACTATCTTTGTTACGAACCGACGCAGCGTCGTTTGCTGACATCAGTAGCCATAGTAGCATGGAAAGCGAAAACGAAATCCTGCTTTCAATTGGCACTATTGTGGAAATTATATCTGTATCGCCTAAAATGAAAAGTATCGTGGATGTTTTGGAAACTCTTGTCAATAACGACCAAGTCTCGCCAAGTCAACGAGCATTATTTAATATGACATATAAATTTGTGACGAATATCAAATCTCTTTGGGAAGAAGGGAACACCGAAAATTACAGCGTGTCGATACGAGATAATCCAAACGAGATGATGGGTCAAATGAAATTTCTAAATAATATGTTATTATCATTCGTACCCTCTCACCCACACCTTCAAGATTGGCCATTGACGATTACCTGTTATCAAGATATCATATCTTTAAAATATCTACCACCGAATTCTCTAGAATTGTTACAAGCTTATATGAGCATTGGCTTGACATTTAACCGTTTGAATGATATCTTTCAAGCCATAATCTCAACTTCCAACATGTCCTTGATTTACTTCAACAATAGCATCGTTCAGAGAATTCATTGCCAGCCAATCTTCATACGAGACTTGTTGAGCTATCAAAAGATTAAATGACAAACCATCTGTTTGAGTGTTAATAACTAAAAGTGGTGCTTTATCTTCGTATAGTACACTTCTGAATAACTTAGGATAAATTCTGATGAGACTTTTCCTGTCTGTCTGTTCGATAGCAGTCGCATGATTCAGAATATCAGGTTTGATTTTTAATCTGTTAACAATAAAAAATTGAAAAGATAAGAACCGACCTATATTGTCAGTCTTTATTTTATAAAATAGGTCTTTCTATATTACGAACGCATTTATTCGTTATCTCCAAGCATCATCATTCTTACGACATGACAAAGGAATATTCGAGTATAAAAATATAGTTTATCTATGTGAAATATAGCCAAAATAAAACCAAAACCAATATGAAGAACATACTTTTTCTATTCATCATTTTCATTGTTTTGTGTCTCACATTTTCTTCCACCCTTTCAACCTCAACGTTAGACCAGTCGTGGAAATTATTCAAAAATCGACACAATAGGCAATACAATTCACTCGATGAAGAACAACGTCGGTAAGAATATAAGACGTGCCAATGTATTCCACCATCTACCTTCTCTCTCTCTTCAGACGAAATATCTGGGAAGAAAACGTTCAAATGATCCAAAAACACAACTTAGAAGCTGATCTAGGTGTTCACACATTCACGATGAAAGTCAATCAATTTGCTGATCTAGTTCGTCTTTGGCATTTTTCTTCTCCGATATGTGATTAATTTCATTCTAGACACATGAAGAGTTTATCAAGCAAATGACAGGATTGCGAATCAATTCGGAAACGAAACCAAGTCAAAAAGTTCACATTTCATCAAATAGAAAACTCCCAACAACTGTTGGTAAGAGAATGAGCGTCTTGATTTCGAAACAACTCTTCTATATTATGGTGAATAGATTGGCGTAAAAACGGATATGTGACACCTGTCAAAGATCAAAAACAATGTGGATCATGTTGGGCATTTTCAACTACCGGTACTCTCGAAGGTCAAGTAGCTAAGAAGACTCAAAAACTCATTGCATTGTCTGAACAGCAACTTGTCGATTGTACAACAGATTACGGAAATATGGGTTGCAATGGCGGTTTGATGGATAATTCATATAAATACTTGTTAGATCATCATGGTATTGAGTCAAATGCAAGTTATCCATATACAGGCGTATTTGGAGAATGTCGATACAATCCTAAAGATGTTGTAGCTAATGTGACTGTAAGTTATATTTTCCATGAATTCTAATGAACAATCGCTCTACTTCTGTTGCAGAGTTACGTTGATATCAAGGCTGGATCAGAAGCTGATCTTGAAGATGCTCTTGCTACCGTTGGGCCAATAGCAGTTGCAATGGATGCAAGTCATTCGTCATTTCAGTTTTATACATCAGGTGTTTATTCTGATCCAGAATGTTCGCCAACACTCATAGATTTTTCACTTTTGGCTGTTGGTTATGGAGTGACATCCGACAATCACGAATATTATATTTTGAAAAACCAATGGACTACGGAATGGGGTATGGAAGGTTATGTTTTAATGGCGCGAAACAAAAACAACCAATGTGGCATAGCATCGTTGGCTAGTTATGCATTGATTTAAGAAGAATTTTTCTTTTTATCTGTTGAAAATAATATTAAAAAAAAGAAATGTAGCTTAAAGTGTTGTGACCGTGAATTGCTTTCAGAGCGTAGATGATTATATTCTGTTTGCTTGATTGTGCATAGAAACAACATATTACTGCGAGAAAAACATACTTTTGAAGCACAAAAAAGTCATCTTTCTGTTTGTTGTAAAAGTATTTGAAGAGAAAAAGTTCCAACTTGCTGTTTTCAATAATTGCGTTAGAAATTTGCATGAATTATACCTACATGAAATGCTATAAAAATACGTCGGAAAAAACCAATTGACCATTGATGTATATAATCAGCTCTTTTTCTGTGAGTGTCAACAAATCCAAACATGTTTATCCTCATTTTCGCATTGTACAGTTTGTCGTTTACTCATGTCATCGGAAGCAGTCATAATTGTACAGGTACAAGCACTCTGATTACCTTTGACGACTTACCAACGATAACTGTCTCGACCTTGATATCGAATGGCTATTTTGGATTGAGTTGGTCGAACGCATATTACGATGCTGCTTCCAGAAATGTACCAGGAAGCGGATATTATACGGCACTCTCAAGTGGTTCATATATAACCCTCAATGGTTTTGGAAATCCTATGGCTATTGCATCGACAACACCCAACACTTTTAATATTAGTTCATTTATAGCAGCTGCTGCATGGAACGATAATTTGAATTTGGCAATAAGCGGAAAACGAAATGGAACAACGGTTTATCAACAAACTGTCACTTTACAAGTAACGAACTCGACATGGGTGTCTCTGAATTGGACTTATATCGACACAGTTACGTTTACAACATCAGGAGGAACCGTGAACTCTTTGTTCGCAGGCACTTACAGTGGATCGCAGTTTGCAATGGATGACTTATGTGTAGATATGTATGTAGCAATTCAATCTTTCTAGTCGCTAAACTCATTCCCTGATCACATCACAGCTATAACATTAAGTCACCAATAATTTTTGCTTTCGGTTTTTTTAGAAATTCATTTTACACGAGTACAACATCGGTGTATGGAACTTCCACAACACGCTCTGGATCCGGAGGCGGTGGCAATGGCGACGGAGATGGGGGAGATGGTGGTGGTAAGAATCGATATGATTTATACAAATTTCAATTAAGTAGCTTGCGAAACGAATTTTAACTTTAGACGGCCTCGATCTCGAGCTTGAACTTGAGCTTGGTAAGAAACCCAAAGCGACCATCACCATAGGGGGTCTGCCTGTTGCAGTATTCGCAGGAACAATGGCTGCAGTCGTTGTTGCACTTATCATCTTTGCATTTCTTCTCTGGTGTTTCATCAGTTCAAAATGTTGCACGCAAAAGCCGCATTGTCGCGGATGTGGAGGAGGCGGGTGTTAAAGTAGTGAATACCAAGCCACCTTGTTGACGAACTCTGTTTTTTGTCTATTTCAAATTTATTATTTTGCAAGAAATCCTGGCACTGATGATCGTGAATAATTTTAAGAAAATAATTCAATAAAAATTTGTTCTTTCTTTTTCTAACATAAAATCAGGAAAGTTTACGAATAAATGAAAGATATGAGAGAAAATCTGTTCCCAATGGAGAATCCGGTGTTGCTTCATAAATTGTATCTTCGATCGATTCAATTTTCCAGCCATTCTCGGGCGAGAACAAGTCTTCTAAATCAGCCTTCTTAATTCGACGTGGTCGAGTTTCTCTCGTTTCCTTTTCACAGCAACAGATTTGAATGTAGAGTCCATTTGGTTTTATTAGTTTTTTCAAATTCTTTATATACGTCAGACGGTCTTCATTGTTAAAAGCATGAAATATAGCTGCATCAAGTATAAGATCATATCCATTTGGTTTCAAGTTCGTTTTTGAAACATCTTCGAGCATATTGACAACTTCAAATTGAATCTTCACCTGATTCTCTTCCGCCTTCTGACGAGCAACTTCAATTGCTTTTTCCACCATATCAATCGCTGTTATATGAACATCATTGGTATGTTGGGCGATATAAATTGCGTTGTCAGCAATTCCACAGCCAATATCCAGTAATTCACCATGAAAAACATTTCGTTGGACAAGATCAAGAACGACTTTTTGCGGTCGCTTTATTTCCCATATGGCAGTACCAGTTCCCGACATACGGAAAAAAACTTCTTGAGGTGGTGCCTCATCATTATTTGTCATTTCGAATAGTATTTTAGAACGAAACACAAGCAGAAAGAATTTACTTATACACTTCACAAACATAGAAGGTAAACTGCTGACACATCTGAACGAAAAACATTCGTATACATAGATGGCGTAAGATTCTATTAGGGATTCGTCGAAGTTTTTCCTCAATAATTTCTTTCGAAAATAACTTGAGCGACTGATAGAAAATTCCTTATAATTAAAAGATTTTCATTTTTTATTGTATGAGAAAAGGACAACAATGGAGATCCATCTTCGGAAACTTACATTTCCTAGGTAAATTATTACAATGTAACAGAAGCAATTATCCAAAGACCACTGTTAATATTTATATCATATATTCTCTTTCGAACTGACAAGTTCTTATATGCTCAATGGTTGACCGCATCGTGAACAGAATTTTGCTATTTGATTCTGTCGTGGTGCTCCACATTGTGAGCAAAACTGTGCAGTAGAAGGAAATACCTGATTTCTCTGTGCAAAAGTTGGCGCTGGCTGAAGTGACATTTGATTTGAAGGTTGTGCAGTTTCTGAAGGACCAGTAGCTCCAATCATAATCACTAACTAAACAGTAACACCAACAAATTCTATAAATAGATTCGAGAACGAAGGCATCGCGCTCACTGTATGAATTCGTCTACTCGATCGTTTGCCTTTATAGCCTGCCACTACCACTGTTGTTGTGTCTAGTCGCCATGCACACGGTACTGGCAATCGGTTACAATATTTTTCCGATTCTTTTGCAACTGCTTTTCGCATTCGACTAGTTTGTATTGCTTGCATGACGCACACTCCACCGATTATAGCAACCAAGCCAAAACCTAATATTCCTCCACCGATAGCAAGAAATAATACAGATAGATTTGCAGCCGAGTCACTCGACATTGTAGCACCGACAATCAGTAATGCACCTCCGCCTAACACACATAGGAATGGCAATAACACACAGATGATCAGCAAAGGGATCGAGATGACCGATTTATTAACATTATCAAGTGATTCTTGAAATTCATCTGGATTGATGATTCCATTGAGTTGATTTGGATAAGATGTGTCAAATCTTGTATCGCAGCATCCATCTAGGATCGTAAAATCAAATTAGAAACCAAAGTCAAGCGTAACTGAACATACTTGATACCATGGAAATATAAATCGAACGTGAGTTTCTAGCGTTGCCAATCATCTTTGCGACAGAGAATATAAGTTTTTACTTTTTGCCTGTTTGCCTTATATATCCAACAAAAAAAATGTACTCTCAGTTTCATTCTATCAAACTCACGTCATCACAACAACGAAGACAAACAGAACGAGAAGAAACACTGACGTCCGCTTATGAGAAAACGATGGCGTTTATATGAATTCTACCGCTGCATAACATACCTCAATCTATCGCAGATTGTCAAACCTTCACATGACTTGTGCGAAGAGATTTTCTTTTATATATATCAATCGATAGAGGCCTCAAAAGCTAGTTATATTCATATTCATTCTGTTTAGTTTTTACTCCCGTTTGTTCTCTTGACATAAACTCAGAGAAAAACACCGTCTGACGTAATGTCGATTGTTTATATTGTTCTATAAGTAGGTTTTTTTGAACGGAGAAAAACTTTATTCTTTGATAAACAAAAAAAATTTTTACTTGACTATTTTTTCAAAAACTCGCCATGTTATTTTGTATGTTCATTCGAATGTAAGAGTTAATTATTTGATCACTTTATTCCCAAATTAATGCCTTGTTTAATAACCCAAGATACGCGTTTGAGAAATTCTTTACAATTCTTCGACCGGGGTAGATGTACGTCAGTTACTAAATGGGTAATCGAGGGATTAGTTTGCAAACGAGAGACGGAATAAAAATGAATATGAGATAGAAACTGTAGAATGTAATTGGATTGTCTTCATTATTTTTTCCAATATGAAATTGTTGCGTACATATTATTCGGCTAGACATATAAAGTAATCCACTGGAGATCATCGATATTATTAACAGTGTTCCAATAATGAATTTAGTTAGAGTCATGTCTTTAATCGAAGCAGACCGCTGACAAAGCAACAAATTATTTATATATGTGCGCATAGAAGATAAAACGACCCGTTCTCGAGTCAAGAACACCGTTCGACGAGTATGCTGATAACAATCGAAACTTCAGTCCATACGCAAAAGAAGCTTGATTCGTTTTAGCATATCTAACCTTGTATTAGTCAGTCTGGACGATTATAATTCGAACTTTGGAGAAATATTCATTTGTACAACTATATTTCACAGGCAGCTGTCGGAGCTTTTATTGTTGTTAAGCAAGTAAAACTAAAATGTTTTCATATGTTATCTTTTCTATCGACACAACGACACGTAACAATGATTGACTACTCTTAAAAGTACATATCTTCAAAACAGTAAATGACACGCAATGTATTCCATCTCACGCGCGCTCATTACAATTTCAAGACACAGATAGATAGATTCTCAATGTTTCATATCAGCAACACCAACACTTTCATCGTACACCGGTTTTTCTCATTTGCCACACTAGAATTATTAATATCGAGCAAATCTGCTTCATGACGTCAAGTAATCTAAATTTCAGCATAGGGTTCACACCACTGTCGTCACTATGTAGATCCAGCGGTTCCTTTCTTCGGTGCACGTTCGTTAAAGTGTCTGTCTGTCAGATGTCGACGTGATACTTCACTCTTCGATCATCAGATTATTCAGCATGCTGTGATGTTGAATCAAGATAGAATTGCAATCCATTGTTCGCTGAAAATAATTTCATTTATACTCGTATTGAGATGTATTTCGTAGTTATTTAATGGACCGGAGAGTATGGCATTACACTGAGTTGTGCTACGAATCAGAGTGAGAGACAAAAGAAAACTGTTGATGGTTGATGACTGAAACTGATCAATCAGTGCTCAAAAGAGACCTTCAGATGTAATTGATGTAGTGACACACTGATAAGAATAGAACTGTTGTAAACCGCCAGTGATTGTTGCATCTGCGGCCTTACATAAGGTCTGTAAAACCTGTAACGATAAAGCTATACTATATACTTGACGAACAGTGTACTGGATGTCGATGAACTTCACATAGCGGATTGATATCTGAACGCATGAACATGTGAGAACTTGTGCATATTGGGCAAGTGTTGGCGTTTGGATAGTGCACGTTTTTGTGATGTGCATGAGACGAAGGATTGTAACTTTGATTATTGAATCTGGATAAATGACCAACGAAAGATACAACAATAAGTTGTGAAGAACGTCTTTGTATGTAACATGAAAAGAAGGTTTTTTGACAAACTTTACAACTTAAATGCCTATTCGACAGAACTCTGCAGCAGTATCCACCTCCAATTCTAAAAGAGAAGACGATATGAGGATGAATACGCTATACCAGTAGGTGTCAATCTTTATATGCAGTCCGCCAGGGATTTCTGATGTCGAAAGAAAGATTATTAAACTGCCATTGTCTTATTTTTATTTATTGAAAACAATCGATTGAATATGACGCCTATGCAAATGTTTCTTTTGTGGATAGAGATCCTCTTGAAACTTAACATTGAATATTCGGTTGGATACGCCTAGCTCGACCAGTGTTCGATTCCGTAATGAACATCAGATAATTGCTCATAATTTTAATATCGAAAATAGCTGAACTAGGTATTGTCCAACTCGCCAGTTTAGTTCCATTCTGATGGTAAATTAAAATTGTATCTGTTTCGAATGTAAACCAAAATCGATTGCATTCGTCAATTGTCAGACGTGCACTATTACCAAACACAGCGGACATTTTCAAAACAAATGTTTCATCCCATTCTTTGTGCGAACCATTCCTTCGAAATAAGTGAAGTGAATTGTTCGTGTTGGATGTGACATAAAAAACCGAATCATTCACTCGCCATATCCCATGTGGACATTTGAAGGCGGCGTTTTTTGAAAAAGAAATATTGTAAGAGATTGGAGAAATACTTGTCCGATTCAAAAATACAACTTTGTTACTTTCACAAGCTGTTACAACCATTGTTTCACCATCGTTTAAAAATATCATTCCACGAATGCCAGATACACCTGTGGAAATATTTGATAGTATTGATAATGTTTGACTATCAATGGCCATGATTATTCCAGCGATATTTGCAGTATAATAAACATTGTTGAATAACACCACAGTCGTCTGTACTGGATTCAAGAATGATCTGTATGTAATTCGGGTTAGATTTTTTGAATTAAAACGTATGAAATAGTTCGTCGATTCTTCGACTGTAACTAAATAACTGTTATTATCAATAATAGCATCACGAGGATTTGATACATTCGCTAATACAGCTTGGGATGCATTGAGTTTACTCAACAAAGAATAAATGTCAGGCATACAACATTGAGAAGCATTAGGAAATCTTTGTTGGGGAAAATAAAGACGCGCATTTTGCACATATTCAATCCGGTAAGTTGATGGAAAAGTGTAAAATAATTGACAAGCATTACTGGGAAAGCAATTTAATGCTGGATAAGATAATGATGAAATGCACAGACATTGTGCACAAGTCATATTTGAGAGAAAAGTGCTGTTCGAAGAATAAGTTGGGCTTAGAATGACATTGTCGATATGAGGGAGTTCCATTGGTATCGTGAGATCGATTATAAGAAAGAAAGTAATGAGTAAAATAAATGTTTTAGAGAGCATTTTCATAATTTTATTGGTATGAAACATTGCAGACTGCGCAATAGTTTTATATATACAAGAATATCAAAACTTGCCGTGAGTGTCATTTTGTTTGCTGTTTAAAAAAGAGAGGAAATGAGATTTCTCGATTATTTCAACAAGTCATGACAAATCACTCTTATACAGTCTGAAAGGTTGAAGTAAAATTATTTATCGGCCAATATCATTCAGACAAGATTCCAGCTCACTCCAACGTTCGATAAATTTCCAGATGAAGTGATATGATCAAGATAAATCCAAAAACTGACATTATAATAATCGTAAAAAGTAGAAGTATATAATGATTGGGAGATCCAAGTTATATTAGTTCTACAAGCGTCATAATAAGATCTATTGGAGGAATGGTATTGAGTGCTACTTAATCCAGATTGATCGTAACAGGAACTGGGATGTCCTGTTGACCATCTGTAAAGTGGTGGTGAACCTTCAAAATTTCCATTAGTTATGAGTTCTGTTGATGTTGAAGTTCGTAGAGATACATCATCCAAATACCAGATATAGTTCATGTCTGTTAGAAGTCTAATTGTGAGTGTTATATTGTACAGAGAGAACCTGTGATAATATGATGTACAGAATGTCCAAATATTTGCATAGAACCGAGCACTGGAACAAGAACTTTCTAGAGGACTTTGTGTCGTTATCGCTGAAGTATAATGAAAGTATTTTTTGAAAGTTTCTATGTGTTATAGAGTTAGGCTTACCAGTCTGTGTTGTAACTTGTTTGAATGGAAATTGTTGGAAGGAGAAAGTTGTATTAATCGCGTCCTTTAATCCAATATCATTTGAAGAATAATTCGAAATTAATTGACATGTTTTGTTCATAATCATACAATTCCATCCGGCAGCTGATAACATCAAAGCAGTGCACGTGCATTCGTTGCATGTCAAGATCGGATAGATTTTAGTGAAATTCCATGCGTGAAATGTTGCATTAGCAATAGAGCCAATCCGGATGGCATGAAGTGTTTTACTTGTAATGAATAATACGAATAAAGATCGGTGATTGAGAGATTTCATTGTCAAGCAACAAGGCTGTATTGACAATATGAGTGAAAAAGTAGAAGAAAAATAGACCAATGTAAACATGAAAGAAAATAAATTGAATCTCAAAGAAGTAGAATAATTACCATTTCACTATTAACATTTCCTTTGATAAGACGAAGTAAATAAATTTATAAAAGTTTTACTAAACAACACATAAATACACTCTTTAGATGTCTTGTAATTCAATACACATAGGACAATCATGTTCTCAATAGAAGATATTGAACATTTCTTTGATCTTTAGTTAACTTTTATATGCTCGAATATGTTAATTCTTTTTCCTAAAATGTCGTTAACTTTTGAGCAATTCAAGCAAGAAGAAAACGCCAGGAAAGCTTGTATTTTACTTAATAATTTAAAATGCGACAATTGGGAGTGGATCGATTTGATTGGCTCGTTGCCAAAACAATAACTTTGCTTTCATTGTGCGACGAAAACGATTTGATGAAATGAAGAATATGTAGAAACTTCCCTAGAAAACAAATATCGATTAAATACACATCATTTGCTTAATAAATGAAAGAACATACACAATAATAAAAATAGCACAATATACTAACAAAAGATAACACAAAATTTTCATTTCTTAATTGATATGCATCCTTTTTCATTGATGATGTTATTAATATATAACTTGTAGTAATGCCGTATGGGGTTATAGTAATAAAAACGAGTAAAACTTGATATAAAGTCATTTTAACTAATTGCCGATCAACAGAGGCTCTGATAAAGTGAATATTTCGATAAGTTAAATATCCGCATATAATCATAATTATTGTTGGACCAATACTAGTTAAACTAAGAGAATAGACAGTAATATATACAGAGTATACTGTATTTGTAACTACACATGTATTGGAATTTGAAGAAATCGCGAAAAATACAAGACGAGGTATGCCATGAAGACAGCAAATAATAATCAAAATGAAAACGATTCGGTGAGTCCATTTAATATTACTTAAACGACGTAGAGAAGCTTTTCGTGATGTAACGAGAAACTGATCGATTGAAGTTAAACATGCACATGTAAATGAAAAAAGACCAAACACAGCAATGAAATATTGTCGTGCTCGGCACCAATGCACTGACGTTTGAGTCAAATCAAAATTAAAACCAATACTTACCACACGAGATATAAGATTAATACCAATGAATAGAATATTGTCGACTGAATTAGCAAGAAAATAAAACGCACACGGAGTTCGACGGTATGCTGAAGTACTTGAAAATATCAAAATATTTAAACCATTGCCGATTACACCGATGATTAACAGAAATATTCCAAGATAAATTGTCAGTTGTTGATTAATATACGATAAGGACATCATATTTGGATGAAGTGATGAATATTCTTCTAAAGAAATAGACTTTTATTCATCCGGAAATCGCCATTTAAAATTCAATTATTATTTAAGAGATAAAAGACTTACTTGTCACAAACGCATGGATAGATTTTTATCAAAGAGATAAAAAGAAACGTTCGGATTTAGCATGCAAATGCAAAGTAACCATAGCGTTTCTAATTCGATATATTTATGGGGAAAAAACGCGCTACAATTGATTTGTCAAACGAAATCTGTATCAGAATCACTTTTAGTCATTGGAAAAAAAAGTATCACGCTTGTTAATGTCTCATATCATCAAGCAAGATGCTTTTATTATTCTAAAGAGCATTTCCATCACTTGCGAAAAAGTCAGGGATATTGCTTTGTATTGATCGATTCAAATTTTTCGAGCTGTAATCATTTATAGTCACTGTAAATTTTCAAGGTCGTAATTATTGATTTCGGTTCCAGTTATTCTTAAAATCTATGAAAAGTAAATAGTTGCTCTTTTTTTCTCTATAGAGAAATAAAACGACAATATAAATCCTTTTCCATTATTCTGATGTAAGATTTGCGGTGAACCACGTATATAATATAGGCGAAGCAACAGTTCTATCAGTGACTGATCCTGTTTTGATATAATGGATGGAAGAAGTTCGAGTAAATTTCGTGTAGCAATTGTTTTCAAGTCTAGTCAAGCAGATGCAACTGACACGGTAGGTTAATTTGTGCAAGAGAAAATAATTTAATTCAGCACTTAATAGATATAAATTTCGCACGCTAGCAGTAGATTTAGGAGTCGATTGTCGATTGGAACAAGAGTTACATGATGTTATAAACGTCGTCATCACATCATAAGATATCTACGAGTATTTATTTCTCATTTTCTGTAGCGGGCATTGGTACGGAAGTTTCTATCGCTTTTCCTATATCTGATGACCGAAGTGTCGTACCAAATCATGTGTTTCATTTCCATAGTTCTGGAAAACATCATTTTTCAAAAATAGAATTATTCCTGTTAGCCTGCTGTATATTATATGATGATTAGAACCAGCTTTTTACAGAAAATATAATTCGGACAAATTTCGTGGGAATCCTCTTTTACCTGTTTGCACTACAAACGACTCTAACATCCTATTTTGTAGGATTTCTTTTTATTGCGAAGCATTACACAGACAAAAGGAGTTCGGTACACTTTGCCAAAAAATTTCAAAACATAAGTTTCCTTTTATAACCAAATTCTGGGAGTACCCGGTGCAACAGCGACTTTTGACCCGATTCTGACGTCGAATGTTATTGCCGTATCGTCAAACATAGCAAAGTTGAACGACATTCGCGATGATACAAAAACAATTATTGAAAATTTAAAGTTACTTTTTTCTCAGAATCCTCACGATGAAATCGTTTATTGCAATACTAATTCAAACGAAATATCATGATTTCTTGAGTGTACGAATTTGCAAAAATAAACTGTGCCATCTCACCTTAAAATTGTACTCCGCACATGTTAAACTTATTAGCTACGGATCTGGTTATAAACTGCAAATAACACTCATTTTGTGGAGCAAAGTGAAAAAATTTTATTTTTGAGAACTAATCACGACTTCTTACAAGACACAAGGATGTGGGTCGTATAGTACCTTCACTCTTCTCTTTAACATTCATATTTTCCATGCTTTGATCGTTCCATCATAAGATGCACTTAACAATTTCCCATCGTTGGTTAGCTCTAAAGCTTGTACGAAATTGTCATGCTGAAATTCTTGAACGCAAATTCCACTTTGAATATTCCAAATTTTCACTTTGTTGTCTTCTCCTCCACTTGCGAGAAGCGTTTCGTTCACTTTCAAAATTGTTCGCACGATTCCATTATGTCCGTCAAGTTTTCTTGTTCGTATCTCATTGAAATCGCTTGATAATTCCCGAAGCATAATTTCACCTTGAAAATTGCCACTTACAAGTGTATTTGTCACTTGATCGTACATCAAACAAATTACCGAACAGTGATCGTAGAATGTTCTTATACATTTGTCATTTTTATAATCCCAGATCTTAATTGTTTGATCTTCGGAACACGAAGCAAGACAATCATCGTGAAGTTTGACAACTTGCCAAACCCAATTCGTATGCTCAATTAATTCGTGTTGGATTTGCCCGTTCAGATTAACTATTTTAATCGAATTATCAGCTGCACTGGACGCAAAGAAATCTTTTGTAACTTTACAGATCGATAAGACAGTTGCTGAATGAACACTAAATGAATTTATCAATTCAAACATCTGATTGTCATTTCGTTTCCAAATCTTCATTTGTTTATCTCTTGAACCTGATATAAAAGTTCTTTCATTCATTTTCTCCATACATAATATCGAATTCTGATGCCCTCTTAGCGTTTGACGACTATCTCCATTCATATTCCAAACATGAATTGTTTTATCTCGACCAGCACTTAACAAAGTATCATTATCAAACACCAATATTTTCCAAATATAACCCAAATGTCCACTGAATGGCTCTTTCGAGCTTTCCTCCAATTCTTTTGTATATAAAATATCACTTCGCAAGACAAATTTCTCTCCATTCGTAACTTCTTCTCCTTCATGCCATAAATTATGATCAAATATCATCACATCACCTTGTTGAGGAACATAACTTGCCCATATTTCAGTTGAATCCTTTGTTTTATAGAACAATGTCCGACCGCCTTCGAATTCCTCGGCATTGTTCAGATAAATCATAAACGTTAGTTTTGATTGTTTCGTCGTTGAAACATAATGAATTCCATCCAGATGTCGATGAAAGTATTGATTTGCATTGTATTTACAGAATCTGAGACGAGTATTTAATTCCGCTAAAGTCCAGTTTTCGATGTGATCGGGTAGATGAGATTTGATTTTGTCAAACAAATATGCAGATAAATGTGAATCATCGATGACTAATCGATCGTTGTTGCGATAATATGTTGGATAGTTGGATATCGCTTTTTGGAAAGAAGCTTTTCTTTCAGCATTCAATAAATTGTCGCATTCTTCTTTTGTGAATAATGAACATACCAAAAAGCAGATTAAATCTGTATCTGGTAGTAGATTTCGAATTGTAATATTCGAAGACATTGCAGTCCAGTAAAACAATTTAATCTAAAATAACGACAATCGCGCATTTATTAAAATGAAATATATATCACGAATATAGTGCACAAAGTAGACTCAACCGTTTTTAATGTGATGATTGAAAAGCACTCGTATCTATACATTTTTATTTGAGTGAGAAGAAAAAAAATATTCGTATATGTACTATTACTGTTAGTAATTATAAACCACGTATACACATGAGTCAGTAGAGAGGACCGATCTAAATTTTCACCATCGTTTTGCTATTCTACGTCATTATTTACTTGACAAAAACGTTTGCCTAGTGATGAATTTAACAAGACTAGCGACCACTTTATGATTTTTCTTGTTAAAATGTATTGCTGCATGTTGTGAAATAACAACCATCGCACAACGAGAAAGAAAAAACACAGGTGCCTATATAGAAAGACGGTATTTCACTCGAATGGTTGCTTCGGATAGGGCTAGACTTCATGGGTAATTATACATCAGGATGATGTGTTCAGGTCGGATTGTATATTGTTAGTCGACACTGGATCGGTCCTAGACGATATGGGATTTTACCGCATTAGCAAAGATTAAACGAACTCATGATCAAATTTGATGAAGATGAATAATCAAAAGTATGTCTCTAATCAAGACACATTGATAATAGGATAAAAGTAGCTATTCTTTTCCTGAAAAGGGACACTATTTCGAACCTATATATGACTGTTCGCTGAATATGATTTACGCAATTCATACTTCAAGCCTGATTGAGTATCTGTCGACGAATGACATAACTACCATGTCATTCATTCTCAAGTTAAGAGTGGTGTGACTCAAATTCGTTTACCAACATATCTTACATTTGTTTGACATTGGGATTTTATTCGAAGTATGGTTCAAGGAAATGGAATCAGGTCGTCTATCCAATCAAATTGATATTTTCAAACGTTGTGAAAGGAAGAATTGACTTCACTATGGACTAAACCAAGTGTATATGAAACTGAAAAGAGTTATTCTTGTGGAACTAATTCTATGTGTAGTTCACCAGTTATGATTGAAAATACAGTAATACCTGAATTTCGAGTTAGTTGTTATATAATTTATCCTTTTTCTACAATCAACTTTCGAGTGTCTTTATCTTATTGCCTATATTGAAACCGTAGCATTGAAAATTGGACCATTTTTATTTCGACGTCTACGACATAGGATCAATCCTCTTCAATTGGCATCCCAATAAATGTATAACGACTTCAAATTGGTTTTAACACTTGATGTTGTGTTTGCGCTATACTATATAAAATAAATATTTGCCTGATAGAAATGCAATCTCGAAGATGCGATCTGAAATTGATAACCACCTATCTATATTCTCATGGGTACTTGATTATATTTCTGTGGATAGAGGAAGAGCATTGTTTCGATTAGATTCGAGATCTTTATGTTTCTGAATGTTACTTGCAATTTCACAGAATGCGAAGAAAGACAATTACATTCATTTGTGGGCGAAAGAATGTATCCAGATTAAAAATCAAGAATGGCGGATTAGAGTGAAGAAAAAATGAGTGAATATGGTATTGATTTTTACATTTACACTGCCGTTTTGTTGGATCAACTTGCCGAGCAGGTGTAATATAATGATTGCTTTCAATGTGTGGAAGATAAGTCAAAATCAAATGTCGTTTATCAGGCATGCGAGAAACCAGATCTGGTGTTTTTCATAGTATTAAATGCCATTGCATATAAATATCAAGTGAATACTGAATTTTCTACTCATTTCTACCAAAAACAGATTTTGGATTCAAATATAACAAACATGCTGACAAAGCATACTAGTTCGGCCATCTTTTTCGTCTTTTTGTCATTGTTCGTACGTTTCAGTCAGCAAAATCTCAGCAAGAAGGCATTACTAGATGGTCTCGGTGATAACCTCAATTTCTGTCAGCTTACTTCTCCACCCTACACATCTGTTCCTGGCGGTGATGCTGGACTCTGCCATTGTAGTGGTGCTGCACCTGCATCTGTCCATACTATTACTTACCATGAGATTAGTGTTCATCAACTCGTTCTATGCATGTGTCCTAATGCAGTTATGAGTGCTCCATATATGATCGAAATGATGGGTCGCGTACCCTATGCCATTCGCCGATACAATAAAGCAATGATATCAGCCACATCACGAACCTGTGGTGGTGCTGGTTCCAGTGGCGATGTTTCTTTCTATTGTGAACCGAATATGCACGTTTCCGTGTTTATCCATGAATCCGCACACTCCTTAGATCGTGGCACATCAGGAACATCCGAATGGCGTAATGCCGTCCGACAAGACTCGTGTGTACCTGATCCGTATGCGAACTCGAACTTTGCTGATAATTTTGCCCAGGTCGTTGTTCTCTGGACCCATTTGGTTGCAGAAAGATTGCACCCAACTCTAGGAGGAAGTCAATTCAGTTGTATGAAAAATCAAATACAGCAGATAAGCAAAGCATTGCCAGCATACCGCATTCAAGGTGTGTCTGGAGACTCTCTCTTGACATTACGCATAATCAAAGAATTTAATTTTCTCTTCTTCAGCTCCACGAAGTAGTCTGCCAGCTGGCCAACAGCTGCAACAATGGGAAGCTTTAACGTCTTCAAATGGTGCCTACCGTCTAGTCATGCAAGATGATGGAAATCTCGTACTGTATGTTTCAGACAAGTGTATACCCGCCAATGCCATCTGGTACACGGGTTCATTCAGCAATGGTCCCCATCGTTTTCAAATACAGACTAATGGTAACCTAGTGGCCTACAATGGTAAAAACCAAGCTATATGGAATTCAAACTCACCTCGACAGGTAAAAATAAGTAAAAGTTTTTTGTCTACCATCCTGATGTTTCCTTCTTTCATTAAGAATGTTGAACGTGGCCATTTAGTAATGCAAAATGACGGCAACTTAGTTCTCCATGACAATAATCATCGAGCCGTTTGGGCTTCGAATACTTGCTGTTTCATTGCTCCCCGCGCATAAGTCTTCATTTTATTAGCATCAACCATGAAATAAATCGGTTGGGGATGCGAATACTGTCGTTTTAAGGAGTAATTAGTCTTTATGGATCTAGTCGAGGAGATGAGTATACTGAATCATACGAAGGTTTTATTTTCAGTTACACAAAAGGAAGAGCTGACGTTTTACTTGATCAACTTTTAGCTTGTTTGGATTAATCAAAATATTTAAAGTTTACGATTTAGATTGTGATATTGCTTCTCATTATATACAAAAATAAGCTCTTTTTTGTGTGACGTAAACACGTATGCAACCGAGAAAAATCATAAAGAAGTGATTTTTTTCCATAGTAAAGCAAAGATTTGCGTTTAATTGAAAGTGTTCGACACAGGCCTGCCATAAATACCCCATTTGGTCTATTTTCCTTTGTATAAGATTGAAAGTCATATTTTCTTCGAAATCTACAAATTTATTGGTTTTGTCGACATCTTCACTTATGTGAAGACATGAAGAGCCAATTACATTGACCTATTTAACGTCAACATACGATATCGTTATTCACAGCAATTAAGTTTCTTTTCCTTGATTATCTGCCAAAATTGTGCACCTTATCGGTGCACCTCATTCTATACCTGAGCAGATACCAGTCCTGAATAGAACTAACTTTAAAGAGTATCGAATAGGAAACAATCTAAAATTACAATCGTGCGTAATGTATTTACACCTCGCATCGTCACCCTCAGCGGCAGTTGATAAGTCGTAGCAAAGATTCTATAGAATTGTGATGGGACAACATACACGATAAATATTGTTACCGATGGGATAAATGAAACGAAATAGCCTGTCACGTATAAACTTGAATTATGAGATGTTTTCACACATTCGGACATGAATGAAATAATCAAGCGAGGTATGGACAAAATAACCAGAGTTATTGAACTAATGATAAGATGTTTATGTTCTTCGAGTTGTTGCTCGTTGACGAGCACTACGAAAGATAATAAATACAGCAGGGAACAGGTTCGCACAGAATGGACCAAGAAAATGAAAGAGCGAAATAAATACATTATATCTGTGAAATGCAGGAGGATAATGAGGCATACACCATACGCGTTGTTCATGTTTATCGTCGTATAATACGCGATACAACGGTTCGTGAATCATAGATATCGTAATAATTAATGGCAAAAAGATTATCAGGATTCGTGCAGTACGTTTGCTTCTTGAAATAAACGCCTTTATACACAATAACCAATCTTTCAAGCGCTACACAAGCATTAAACCAATTATCCGTATATAAGAACACTTTCAAAATGAATTCCAATAATCGACTAATTGTTGGATTCACTTGAGTTAAAATAAGAAACCAGAACTTGGCTGTAAACATGGCTATTGTCAGAAGAGATGTAATATATGATGCCAGGAGATACATTCCACATCCAACTTCTCTTGATTCACGAACACGGAATGTCAAAATACACAAAATACTTGTTGCATTTGGCCGTATATCATAACGTAAAATATCATCAAGTGTCAGTTCAATACCATTTGCATAAAACTGGCAACGATCACCAAAGAAACAATCCGTACAATTGCAAAACGTTGCCAATGGACACATCGAACCATCACTTAAACATTGTGCTCCATTCAAACAATACGTCGTATGTTGACACACTGGGAGAACGTGCTGAAATTTGAAACAATTAGCATGTGTCGTTCAAGAGTGCATAGACACATGTACGAATCATCAACGAAACACGTTAAATGAAGATGAACTTGACATATACGATGATAATATTTGACTCGCTGAATTGGAGGTAAATGCCTCAATCGAGAATTCAGAAATTCGTTCACTTGGGAGCACGAACAATTGAACTACTAATAGAAACATTAATAGCATGGGACGTATTAAGAGAAGGAAAGTAATAATTATCATCAATTCTCACGAAAACCAATTGAAAAGTATTGTGAGTATATATGGTTACAGTATGTTGAAATATCTTAAGCTTTTGTGAGATCATATAGAGTTTGGTTTGATCAAAACTGTTTGGAGAATGTAAAGCTTGAATACAACTTTCCTCATCCTCAGTCACACCCTACCTCGAAAAACATATGCAAGTAACATAATGAACACTTTATTTTACTAATGCAAAGTATAATATCTACATGAAACCTATCACAAATATACTTTTATTCACTTTAAATTTATCACGTCTCCGGTGGAAGAACAAGAAAAGTTCATTTGTCTCAGAAATAATAATCCAGATGGTATTCTTCGGTAAAACTGACGCTCAAACGATAAAATCTTATCGTGATATTTGTTTGAATTTTACGTCTCATTCATTGATCAATACTTAATTGAGAAGTAAAAAGTAGCAGCATGGAGATTCTTTCACATTCTCCGTATGAATCATTGTAATTGCGTAAGAACGACAGCAAATTATGCATTTTCTTCTATTTGCTCTATATAAAAGATGTTATTGCACAAAGTGTAAGTCAATCGTATTGTGCGAAGAATATGGATTGGCTGGCTCATTACGAGGCCAATACAGAATTATATGTCGATGCACAGCGTCGATGGCCAAGTCGACGAAGTCGACCGGGCGGAAAATGGATCTTAGCATCTTTTGATGATGAATCAGTTATAGTTTACCAAGCTTATAATGATGATATTGCAAAATATGCATGTGAAAATGGTCGCTTCGCTGGATGCCTAACTTATAACGAAAAACGGATGACTTGTGAGATTGAAGTACTTTTTTTGCTATGATTTCAATGATGTCAAGATTTGTTTTAGGGATTAAAACGAGTTTTCTATGGATGATGTATCGATCAAATTGGGCATCACGTCCAAATCAACAACATATTTTAGCTATTTGGCTGCGTCGTTCAGCATTTGATAGTTATCTTGCTCGATCTAATAATTCAGATACTGATGAGTTACCTTCGGATTCAGCTGTACGTCTAAAAGGCCGGGTTCGTTTACAATGGGATCCTGATCATGATCCACAAGGTGAACCAACCATTGGTCGTCGAGCAATTCAATTAGGTTTAAGACAAGTGGAGAGCTTTCTCGATGGTCGTGATATTGTTCGTATTGTTGATATTAGTTCATTCGTTCGAAATCAATATACGAACGCTGTTTTACCAAAACGACGCCGCGGTCATGATCATATTGATCAACTTCGTATTCCTGTTGTCAATATTTATGAACCTGAAGACGAACGAATTCGGCGACATATTCAATTAGATTCGATTGAAATGACAAACAACGATAATATTTTTGAATAAAAATATGACGTGATACTTCACTTCGTTTATCAGTAGATTTATACATTTGATAAACGATCCCAGAATATCAATTGCCTTGATTCGAAGATGATAGTTCTTGTGACGCTTACAGCTACATTCCTGTTCCAAAGAATCGAAATACCATATATGAGAATTCGTACCATGAGTATAAATGTGTTTTAATATCAACTAGTTCGATTTTAAACTGAACTGAATTCAGATAAAGTGTTGATAGTATAGCCTGTAAAAAGTTCATTGCTGGCTGTGATATGATCATTGTTCTACACTTTCTATTTTGAAGCTGCATCACCTATTTTATTGTGCCAACAAACAGTACGCTACAAAAAAATCAAATTTAAGAACTTTTAGAATGGTCGTAAAAAGAGTGCTGTGCGAATAATCTCGTTTGATACTAATGAGAGAGTGGTTTCACTTGTGAATCCTAGAGAAATGACAAGTTAGCAAGGCTGCAGGAAGATAAGGTATCCCTCACATTGTTTTTGAATTATTATCGAATAGTATGACGGATTAAATCTAAAACATGTTCAAGTACGTGTGTTTTGAAATGGCAAAAGATGCTTTCCTCCAAATTACTTCGTGTAACACTGATCAATCTGTGAATTTTCAGTTTTGTTCTCGCCAACCGATATTTGCCAGATACAGATGTCGTGCATCATCAATATAACCGGCTATTTAGTCATTCTATCAGTTTTTTATCCAATATAGGATTGATTATTTTCTTTACCGGCATACGAACACATATAAGTATTGACTCATTTCGTACGATGTGCGTCAACACAATCGGACGAAAAAGTATGACTTTTCTATTCACTTTTCATTTGTATTTCCTATCAAATCTCAGTAGGATATGACGTTAACAGCTGGTAAAGCATACTGCGTTATATGTGACAAAGAATTCTAAAAACAGCACAAGAAGCCAGACATATGTTGTTTAAAAATTCTACCCGATATATTGTCGAACTTATAGAAACCGAACTGGTCAAGTTAACAGTACAACATACATGTAAAAGTCGAAGAGAGTAGTCGAGTATTAAAATTTCAATTCGAGTTTTAAATTGTTATCTAATTGGCTATCAAATATTGACTAACAAAATGCTATTTATTAGCCAATTGATTATTCAGTATGAACCGTGAGCAAAGTCACCCTCAACCTCTAGATAATACATAATAATCAACTAGTTAATAATTCATAATCACGCAGTTATTAAATGATTAAGTAGTACTTAATAATTAGTTATCGATTACCTCGTAGTCAGTTGGATGATAGTTAATAATCAATTAATTGCGAGGTTAAAAGTTGAAAACTCCGAAGATGTTTAATACTCGAATCGAGTTAATGATTTGTACACTACTCATACCATTATTGTAATAGAGCAAAACGAAACGATCCTCTTGCATAATTTTATCGAAAAACAGCACATATGAATTACTAGTACAATAATCGATGAATCAGTGTGTTTACGAAGGTAATAGAAAAACAATTACAATCCCGTTGAGTCAGATACAGATATTTGAAGAGATGGTCAGTGCTGTGTTGGAAGGTAACTGTATTTGATTCTACCGAGAAACCTGCGTATTCACTGCTGTCGTTATGTTCCGATTGTAGTTGAGCCGATCTTTTTGACACAAAACAGCGGTCTCTGACATACCAAAGAACGGTAGGTGAATAGAGATGAAAATATAATAAAACTAACCAGTATCAACTGAAGAGTCAGTGTTAGGCTCGTCCATAAGTTTAACAGCTGCTTCTACAACCTTAACTAATGACAGTTTTTCGGATTCTGTTTCTGGATTTAACAGATCGATACACATTCTACCTGGAAAAAGGAGCAAAAGATATAACAATAGACTTAAATATTTTCGATACCATTTTCTTCAATATTCGGATGGCGAAGTTGAATTCCCATGTATACTGTAGGTGGCAAAAAAGGGTATGCTTTCGCCAGTCGTATTTGTATCGGAAGCTTTTTTCCATTGAAAGGCTCACTAGATGGATATATCCAACCATATATAACAACGAAAGCAGCTGGGTCACTGGATGCGTTATTGTTCTCACGTTCGTCCGTTGGAATGTTGTCACCTGCATCTTCTAAAGAACTACTTTGATGTTCGTATACTCTCCTGGACGTTTTATCAGATAACCCAGACCAATCTTTGAGTTCTTTGTAATCTTTGCGGATTTGATCAGAAACAGAGTCTGCCATTGAACACAAAACTAAACGTAGTCAAATATCTGAAAAAAACTCCAAGACAAGCATATTCGAAATTATTGATATAGGTAAGAATAAATCAGTTTAAGAATTTTGAACTGGGAGTCCTCCAGCACGTATAGCGTTTTCTGCTTGTGCAATCAATCCATGTTCGCCTTCGAGGTGTTTGAGACGCGTGAGAAAAGCAGTTGGACGAAGGCGTGTTGTTGTTCCTGGTAAATTCCATTCCGTTTCTCCGCGTCTATTTGCTTCTATTTCCAGCTTATGAGCCTGTTGGAAATATTTTAACGCAGAAATCGGATCATCGAGTTGTGAATACAATTTCCCTTGTTCAATGTACCATTTAGAAATGTCACGTGTGAGTCGAATTAACAGACTGGTATGAAAATCAAACATCTTGATCATTTGTACATACTTCATCGCCCAATCTGCATGCAATGCAAGATCATGTGCATAAATGTAAATATCTTGCACAGTAGGATAATTTTCAGCAATAATTGGTACGAGAGCGCGGCCCATTGTACCTGAGCAAATAATAAAGACTTTGTCATTGATATGCTCGTTAATTTTCTTTTTAGCATCGTCAATCGTTCTAACAACCACAAGTGGAACATTGTTTGAATGAAACTCTCTCATCTCATCGTTCAAAATAGACACGTCCATAGCGTCTGGATCTTGCGTGGGTGTACCGGTAGTTGTTTCATTGAATTCATCTTTCATTGATTGATAACTATTGTCGTTTTCGAAACTGCCATCACACCAAATAATTACCGGTGAAGGAACGCTCATTGTAAAAAATAAATAACTGGTTGTTGTCGGTTTTCATGACGACTTATATATTTACAGAGAAAGACGGTCGTCGTTGCTGGGAAAAAAACCATCCGAGCACAGAACGCAAGTAAAAGGATAGGAAAAAACCAAAATTATTGGACTGGTATTTTGCTCCCTATAATCTGGGTTGTATCCATATCCGAAAGCCGAAATGATTCGTACGTGATTCAAAAGACAATAGATAATGTTATCTTGCTATTCACCAAAAATATGTATTAAGACGCTTATGCTCCCTATTATGCTCTGAAAAAAGTTCTTTTCTACTCAACATGTCGTTGAGTTACTGATGGCTATGGTATGATTCATATATGCATGCACAATACATAGCACGTTCTTTCGTTCTGTCTCTTCAAGCAATACGATTACATTTCGTGTCGCAATAGAATTCTTGATATTTTCCAACATACACTCTGGGCTTATTCATACGACAATATTAGTAATCACTTTCCATGCCTGCCTTTTCACACCAACACCCTCTCGAATTAACAAGTCGGTACATATTTGACTTGCATCAAGGTGAAATCCAACCGAGTCAGTTCTTCTTTTACGAACGATATACGATATAATTCAGATGTTGATTCAGGTATTCACTATTGACGTCACGAAACAAATGAAAACTGATAACGAACAAATTATAAAAAAATCTTTGTTTTTTGGCATTTTAATGCCCGGCAGACGAATACTAAATCACTAACTATTCCCGAGCTTTTCCCTACAGTAATTCAATGATAACAGAGAAGAATTTGGGATGAGACCATGATTCATGACAGTTCATATTATTTATTCAATTTTGAAAACTTACACAGAGGGCCCGTCGGAGGATGAAAGATAAGTACATCAGACTGTGAACTATTTTTAATTTAAAGTCAGAAAATACACATATAGAAGAACGAAAAGATTTATTAGCGTGTTTTGAGCTCTATTACTCATAATCTCTTATGAAAAGATAAAATCAGTGATATACATATTTTCAAGACGGATTGTATATATTAGCAACAAAACGTTGAATAGCTATCTGATTACACATACATGCTTTGTATTCTGCTGTATTTACACCATTCAAATACTACGAACTGACACGCAAATAAATTTGCTCGACTTCTACATTGAATACTTATCTCACATATTCGATCAGTTCGGTACCCTAGGTCCGTTGAACTTTTATCAGTTCTTCTTTTACGATCTTCGAAATACTAAAAACACTCCAGACATCTATCGCTGTCGAAATCTCGCACCATATTGTAAACAAATATTTCTTTCAGCATTCAGTAGTTGTTTGGTTCGATCTATCATCTCAGACATTAATAATTCCCATTCATGAGAGCTTCTGATGATGACTCACAGGCTGAAATGGAATGTCGAACAGTTTTCAGATGATTACGAAATAAGACACAACTTAAATATTGTAAAGTTTGTAAATGTTTTATGCGATGATTCGAACATTTCTATAGCAGTTCAATTCACCATATGTCTGACGATTTATGAAGCTGCGCGAATTTATGTAGAACAGTAGATATGGATTCGTAGATTCATCCGGGATGCTGTAGTCACTATTCGATAAACTTAAAGACATTAGCAATACTGAAGAAGGTAGAATTGAGTTCCTAGAAACTGTTCTGTGTGGCATACAAGCCAAACTGGAGGAAAATGAAGGTAGTGGAGCATAAGAAGGTCGATCAGATGCAATAATTTACTTTGTTGATGATAAAAACAATGGATGAGTTGCTGTTTGTAAGACATTTTCCATAGGTGAAGACTCTATTCGAGAGCTTTCTTCTATATCTCGACTTTGTACGTCCAACTCCATTGGATGTAGCCAAAATTACGATTCAGTCAGGTAATACCGGTGTTTTAATATCAGAAGTAGGCTTGCTTAAAATGACTGCGCAATCGGATGAATTAATACAGTTTAAGAACTTATTTTATCAAGAAATGCAGAGCTGTATGTGCTTTTAAAGAGCAGCTTTTCCAAAGCATTACACCACATATTTTTGTCATCATTATTAATTTTTTGCGACATAAATTCATTGATCATGCACTATACAAAGAATTCGTTGAAATCAAGCAAACAGTTGCTGACGAGATCGTAGGATAGAATAAAGTGTTTCATGCGTACTTTCAGTCGATTTAATTCTACGTAATTCGGAAGTGTGTTCATTTTTATTTTCTAAATTATATGTGAGATAAAGACTGAAACGACAATTGAATTGTTCGTCATCAGATCATAAACATGAGGTTAATTGAGAACAATGTAAGGGAGGATGAAAGAGTCAAGCTTCATTGTTATCGAATGAGATAAGTAGATTTGCGAAGTCTAATTACGGTACAATGGTACTGTGCCCAATCCGTGCGCGATCGAAATACTTCCATATCCACTTCCTAAATTCCGGCAACAGACTCATACACGCCCACGGTAAGAGAAGACAAGCCAAGTAGATCAACTCCATCACATAGTTCAGTTGAATATCCACAAACAAACTTGTAGAAGTTGCTTGCTGAATTAGCCCAATAACAATACTCGGAGACCATGCGATTACAAACAGACTTGAGATATTGAACAACTGTATGGTCATGTACCTTTGCTGACGCCAAGAGACAACTTGATTTCGGCGACGTTTTCCAACAACAACTCTCACAATGATTGTAACATTGGCAATGATGATGAATACAATCGGTACAATATTATTTACCACCCAATCAAATAGACCAAGTATTTTGTTGTCATAATAACAGTTCATATAACCGCAAACAGTTGATGTATAGTCCCATTGGCTCTGACAGGGGTACAGAATGATAGCATAGAGGTAGAATGTAGTCGGATATGCGACATTAAACACCAGAGGAGCATAAAAGAAGAGAAAGGATTTGAAAGGTGTTCGAAATAGATTTGGATGAAAGATAAATGCATGTCTTTGGATAGAAATACTAGCCATGAGATATTCGCCTATTACAGCTAGCGAATATTCACCGAATGTCCACAGTGTACAGTAAATAGATGTTGATGGAGAAACATACCCACGACGGTAAAAGTCAATAGGCATCGACATTGTGGTTAAGAGTCTGATGAAGTTTGCAATAAGTAAAATTAGAGTAGATTGATTTTGAAGTTTCTCTAATGTAGCGCGATGTATAATAAAGAATATGAAGATAACGACAGTGAGTAGAATAGCTGGTATTTGTAGGAAAATCAGAATAATGAATTTAGCTCGGAACAGACTAAATTTAGGATCTTCAGCTGTTGATGACGATGTGATACTTTCATTCATTGCAAAAACAATATTCTGTTATATTCAATTTCAAAACAAAAAGAAATGAGCACTAACGTTTCTAATCATCGCAGAATATATAATTAGTTATTCCAGCAGTCTAAGCGGATTAGAGACCGCGTCTCTCACTACCTATCCCCATGAGAAAAAACATATTCTCTCCTGCTTCGTCTTTTTTTTCTATGTACGCACATAGCGTACAGATTATAGGCTGCTATTTTGTAACCATTATTTGTCAGGAACAGATGTATTATCAAAACTTAATGCGCATTATGCTTCTTTCGACTATAGTCGCAAAAATCATTTTTCAAGTAATGTGTCAAAGTAATGTTTGAAAACGAGCTAAGAACAGCACGGAAAAAAGAATTGCATTGTAGAGATTACAAAAAGATCTTAATTGGATTCACAAAGACATTATGACAATGATTGAGTATATATATAAATAGATTTATTTTTATAAACGTCTTAGATTGATACGTAAAAATAAGTAGAAAATGTTAAACATCATGAGAGATAATATCTTGATTACTGAATTAATTGCGACTACATATGAAAACGAACAAAATGAGTATTAACAATACATCACGTTGAAGGGTCACCGTCAAAAGCAACAGAATCATCGTCCAAACTTCTGAAACGTTGATATACCACTGATTGTTCTTTTGAGCGAAATAAACTCAGACGCTGGCATGATAAAATAATCTCATGCACTCGGAGTTTGCAGAGCAAAAACCAAGTAAATCCAATTGAAATGAAAGCAATAACGACCATCGTAGTTAAAACTAATGCCATTTTCTTGAAAGAATCATAACTTTTCTGATTAGTCTTTGAATAATCAGCATCTAATGTTCCATTGTTGGGATAAGTTAAATTTAGTTGTATAAATTGATGTAACATAGCTTGCGATCGTCGTGCTTGATTCGAGGGAACCATATGACCAGCATTGTAAAACAGAATATATGTTAGATTCCGCGCGTATCGAATGCGACCTGCTGATTCATTTTCGACAATCCATGGGTTGCTGGGCGAGATCAAGCCGCTTCCTAAATCAAAGCCCACTCTCCCATTCCATTGCATAATATTCAGCATATTTTCTGTACCGAAATGATTACAAATGAAATCGTATTCACCGATATAAATCAGAATCGGCATTTGTCGAAGTAAATCGGGTAAGATTTCAATCGATGGTCTCGAATTAGCTGCTTGAAATGCGAGATAAACTGGATCAGTCACGTCTTTCCAATAACGTATCTTCTTATTCACATGTAAAGAAGACATCACATCCATTCGACTTAAATAAGCAGAAACATATTTGATTTCCGATGGTCCTTTCATTCCACATTCGGGTTTCGATGCATTCTGTCGTATATGATAAACATTAATACATGAACTATATTCGTTCTTTATACCATTGTTCATTATCTGATCGAGAACAGAGTTACATTCATTCGTAAAAACATGTACACCGTTCACTACTGCTTGTTCGCATTTCTTGACTATCTGAGTAACATTTGTGTAAAGCTCTGAATCGTTCTTTAGTAGGTTATTGGCAATTGCATATGGGAGATATGAATCATAAAGTGAAACAGGATCAATCCATCCACTTCCGATGATGAGACCATGTAGTTTCAACGGCGATCGTTTTTCGAGAATAGCCTTGGCAATATATGGAATATATTGACCTGCAAACGATTCACCAGCTAAGTAGATATCGTCTTCAAGTAATTTCGGGAAAATTTCGATATATCGCTCGAGAAAACCGACAAAATGTTCTGCCATGACGTCGAGTTCTTTAACAAATCGATTGTTTTCGGCATAAGAAAATCCAGTACCGATCGGCTGATCGATGAATAAGAGATTAGCATAGAAGTGCCAGGAGCCATTATTCACCACCATGGTGTCCTTATTGATAAAGCGAAAAGGGCCAATTTCAGTCCAAGCACCGATAAGGCTACTCTGACCGGGACCACCATTTAACCAGATAACGGTTCTTGATTTGTCACTAATGAATTTCTTCGGGAAATGCCAAAAGAACAAGGAACCATCGTTTTGCGAATTAACTGGAAGGTATCCAGCATGCATATTCATCGACGATTCACTTTGCGGGAGAAGAGGCAAGTTTTCGACATAGAAATCATTCGCTTGTAAACCAATAGCATCGCAATTGAGAATATAGGAGAAAAGAAATACTTGTAAACGCAACCGACTAATAATCGAATTCGTCATCTGCGTCTATAAGAAAACGAAGTCAGATAATTAAACGAAAGAAACTGCGCAATTCAAAAGCATCTATACCTAATCGCTTTGTTCTGAAAATGCTACTCCGATATCGTGTAAAAATGGGAATAAACAATTGTCACATCGGTGTAAAACAAGCAGGATACTTGTTTGTCAGTGTACTGTCAGGTAAGAACGAAAAGAAAAAGCTTGTACACCACGTGATTATGCACATTCATCATATTTGTTTTTTAACTCGAATGAAAGACGAGAGAAGAAAAAAAGATGTGTCATGCTACAGGGTCACGCCAAAGTCAATTTACTCGAAAGGAAATTGAATATCGCTATTACGGTTCGAGCAAATGAACTGTTTTTTCTTTCATCAACGATAGAGACATTCCTAGAGAAAATATGTATGAAAATAAAACACATGTTTTACATAAGTTTATATAATTTATTACATTTGTTCTCAATGAATTGTCTTTGCTTATGGAATAGAACTTTAGTTTTATTTATAACAAACGCAAGTTTTTCTTCCGTGAGATTTTTATTGATATTTAACCAAAGCGTTTCTCTAGGAATGCGTTTATCCACATAATCTGAAATAAACAAGCGAATGTTATTTCGAGATCAGCAAGTAATCGGGAAATTCTTCCAGTACGTGACAAACTTTGGCGTTACTTCCGATGCCTTCATCTTCTTGACTTGAAATTAAAAGAATTCTCATTTATTCTTTAGACGCTTTCAACTAAATTTCCGATAGATCTTAGCTGAAAACGATGACATATACGCTCTCATTTCGAGGGACATCTAAACAGTAGCAGAAATATTTGTCTTGCACGATCCAATCAATTTCTTTGCAGTGATCCATCAGGATTGTATTCAACTCGTTTACCATTCCATTCCTTCCAAACCCATTTTTGGAATTCTGGCAACCAGAAACAAGCTAGAAGAATGAAGTCTGCTAAGTATGTTATAGTTAGTCGTTGAAGGAGTGCAGTGACGATAACGGGTGTCAACGCAATTACAAACAGACTTGAGATATTCAACAATTGTAAAGTCACGTGTTTTTGTTGTTGCCAAGTAACAGCTTGATTTCAACGACATTTTTCAACAATAACTCTCATAGCGGGTGCAATATTAACGACAATAATGATGACGATCGGCCTAGTATTGTCTGTTGTACAATCGAAGACAGAGTGTCTTGTCAAAAAGGTAACAGTTCGTGTATACACAGGCAACCACTGTGTGTCTAGTCCTACAGATTGGTCTTACACAGATATAAAAAAGTAACATACGACGCTAAATGCTATAGGAACGTAACAGAACAGGAAAGTTTTCAAAGGAGATCGAAATAGATATGTAGTGCAATGTTTAGCAGAACCTATAGAGATGAATAGAGTAGTTGCGTTTGAAGGGAAGTCAAAATCATGAGTTTAACTTGGAAGAAGAGATCTTCGATCTTCAGTCGGTGATGATGATGAGCTAATATCATTCATTGTCACAAATGAAGAAATTTCGGATTTTATCTTAGAGTTATTGACACTGTGAAAGAGTCATGAGAAACTATGAAAATACAATAAAGCAAAGTCACTATCTCCATAATAGTTCGGAAATAGACCCTAGAATTCAATCAGCTTTTGTAATGTTAAACAAAAGAAAGAAGCCCTGCGTAAAATTCCATCCAGCTTGCACACACCCTCAACTAGAATAACATCAGCGTTGATATTTTCGGGAATTAAAATTCTGAAAAATCATATATTTTTAAAAAAGTAAAAAATCACGTTTTAGCTTTTATCATTGTTTTTTCACCATAGACTGAATACACAGCATCGATGATAATCGTATACTCGAAATGAAAAACTGAAGTGATCGTTTCAATAAGTTTCTTGAATAGAATTCATGGATTGAACAATAGTTAATTTTTCAATGACAAAACTAACAGTAATCCCATGGTTGTAAATACACTGATAGTGACTGAATGCGTTGCAAAATTGTAAGGTGAAGTTATGGCAGGATTCCCATCGATTACACTAGGTTTATTCGTAGTCTTACTACCAATACCATAACAACAAAAATTGCAACAACGGGTTTCAATAGCGTGTATACTATTATCATCATCAGGATGAGGAGGATGAACATCATCACAACGAGTAGGAAAATAAAAAATAGGAGGACAATGACCATAACCAGGATAAGGATAGTCACTATACATAATAATGTAACCAGGTTCATGAAGAGCAATATTGAGAGCACCAGCACCAGGATAATCAGTAGCAAGGTTATTATAACAAGTACAATTCGATTCCCCACTTGTACCCTTCATTATTAAAATTAGTGCTAGAATCATGTTTATTTGAGCACTCTTCATGTTAGGCTGTTTAGCAGAATACAGGAGCTTCAAGAAATAGCGATGTGATATAATTTTGCCTTATGTGCTACTTTCTTAAATAGTATTCAATAGGGGCGAATAGGAACAAAAAGAAAAAACCAAATTTGTCTCATGCATCATGTTTTTATCTTTGCAACTACCATGTTATCTCCATCTTACTTTCATATGTTATCTATTCTACGTTTTTCGTCAAGTGATACTTTTCTGAAAAAATCTTTCATCGATGTAATTTCGTCGAAGTGTGCTTGAATCATAAGCAAGATTTTTCATAGAATTCAACGAAGTTGGGTATGAGCTGTGTATTATATGCATGAATTTCTACTGATGAATGTTAGACAATGTCGCTGAATAGAATCGATAGCCATCACGAATTCGCCTAAACATCTAATGAGTAGTCACCAAACGTGTACAGTGTTGATGGGAAAGTATACCTACGGCGGTAGGAGTCAACAGTCTGATCAAATCGACAAGTATAGTAAGAATAATGTAGCTTAATTTTGAAGTTTCTTTAAAGTAGTAGAATGAAGAACGAGAAAGGAGATGGAATAGCTGGTATTCATAAAACAATCAAAATAATGAATTTAATATGATAGACAGAAAGCGTTGAATTTTCAGTTAATGATATGCTACTATTATTCATTGTAAATGTAAAGCAAATGCAAGAGAAGACATCCTTTCCAGAAAGCTACAATGCTACTGAATATGATAGATTTATGCGTTATACTTTTAGAACATCAAGTATCGTTTCTTAATTACTTAGTGTCGGCATATTACAAGTGTCTCTTGGAAGATCCAACCAATCAATACAGCGTATGATAAAACGCATCAAAATAAAATGACCAATCTGAATATAAACTACGTATTAAATGTTCAATACCGAACTTTTCATGCACCTCGAATTCATTTAAGTAAATGTGTTTCGAATAACGAGACCTTAGGAATGTACTAAATGTAAGAATCAATACGTTTATCAGTACACACTAATCTTTCAAGTGAGTGTATGCTCCATCGAACGATTTTAGTTGCTACTGTATTGATGATCATGTCGTAGGTGTATCAACTACTGACTGACAAGCCGATGAGGATAGCGTGTTGTAGCATGCCTACATTTTCGTGTTTCAACCATCTGGAAGTCTAAATTTAAACTTTATAGTCGCGTAGGCAATCGTGATTCATAGTTAAAAAGTACAGCGATGTTATCTGTTCGATTTATTAATGCGGTATAACATCCGTAGGTGGAATGATATGCATGCAAAAAAGAAAATTGGTTCAGACGACAGTTGTGCAGGTGATCTCGATAAGAAAATAATTTGAATTATGTATAGGGCGAAGAAAAGTGCATTAATTGTGTTCAGGAAAATGATTGCCGAAAAGATTAATCACCATCAAGTATATGTGTATATATACGACAAAAGATGGATGCAGGCAAACTTAGTTTTATTCGACTATATTTATAAATAACATTTTTTCGAATGACTCACAAAAATAGGTATCGTAGGATTTATTTTTGATCGAAACGATGTATTCAAAGGATTCATTGTGTGTAGAAGAATGGCTGACAAACAAGAACCAGTTAAAGAACATCGTGGTAACTATCCTGTCGGACGTCTTCGTGGTGGTGGAGATTGCTCAACATGGTGAGTACGGGCATCAGAATAAGACACAAATAATGATGAATTTATAAATGTGTTTTTAGCCTGAAATTAATTGCATATTTTCTGACGTGTTGCATGTGCTGTGGTGAATGTGGGGATATGAAAATTTCCTAACGGGTTTTCCATTCTACTAATGTTATCATAATTCATTGAAATAAAATAAATTTCACCTGATGCTATAATTGTCGTACGAAAACATCATGATGAATGCTTTCCAAGTATGAATTGTAAACGAACTGTCTAGATGGAATATTTCCTAACTTCAGGGTTGTATGAGTGTTATACAAATTAATTCCAAAGAAGTTGTACTTTTAAGTTAAAAATCCAAGAAATGATTTCCTGCTGACAAGCAGAACAGAAAAAGAAAAAAACACATTCATGACTCATGCGCACATAAACAACCCTACTCGAAGAAGAGGAAAAAAGCACATGGCACGATGAAATAAGACCATTTCACCGACAACGACATAAGAAACTCAGTAGAATGTTTACTGCCGTATATAAATACATCTTAATTATCGCACCAAACTATCGTTCGTTCATAGTCAACTTCGAATAGACTATTATATTTTTGTTTAGAATGGCGCACCCAACAGCAAGCACAAAGAATTCTGATGGTGATGAATTGATTACACTGTCAGAGAAAGGAGCTTATGGTTTTACTAACTCATTCAATCCGGAATTTAAAATGCCGGACTACTTCAGAGTCTTCCGTTGGTTATTCGCAAAAAATAATACCGGTTTACCAGCGAACATTGAAGAATTAGATGAAACATTACCAGTGATAAAACATAAACCAGAAGACATACGAAAACAATCGCCCGGTCTACGATTTCTCTGGATTGGTCATGCATCATGTCTTGTGCAAATAGATGACTTCATGTTTCTCACCGATCCTGTCTTCAGTGACCGATGTGGTATCACACAATACATGGGACCAAAACGTTATCGTCCACCAGCACTCGCAGTTAAAGATTTGCCTGATGAACTTGAAGCAATCGTTATTTCACATAATCATTTTGATCATCTTGATTATGAAAGTGTTCGACAGTTAAATGAACGTTATGGAGAAAAATTAACATGGTTTTGTGGTCTTGGCGGACGACAATGGTTTCTTGATTGTTCTATAAAGAACGTTGTTGAACTCGATTGGTGGCAAGAATGGACACATCCGGTATGAGAACTAACACATCATTTTTCTTACCACTTCTTTGGATTCTGTTCGTATTTAGACTAAAGAGAAAGTTCAAATCGCCTTTTGTCCCGCACAACATTGGTAAGAGAGTGTCTTTCAAAATAAATATATTCTCATGTCGATATTACTGTGATCTTCTAGGTCACGTCGTGCTTTGACTGACTTAAATCAATCTCTATGGGGTGGTTACGCCATATGGAATGAAAAGTATCGCTTTTATTTTGCTGGCGACACTGGCTATACTCATAACATTCCAATATTCAGACAGATTGGAAAAAAGTATGGTCCATTTGACTTGAGTGCAATACCAATCGGTGCATACGAACCTCGCTGGATGATGGAAGCACAACATGTCTCACCCCATGAAGCGGTACAAATCCACATTGATACTCAATCGAAGAAGTCGATTGGTATACATTGGGGAACATGGGCATTAGCAAATGAGTTTTATTTAGAACCGAGAGAGCAACTTAAAGAAGCTGTTAAATCCTGTGGATTAGATCCCGAATCGTTTACTGTTGTTAAACATGGAGAAATTTTCGATTTACCTAAAAATGAATAACACATTGAACTTGTACCTGTACTCATTATGTTTTTAAACACGATTAAAGAGAGCGTGAACTTCAAACTTTGGAATTTCATTCTTCGCTCTAGACAGATCATTGTTTGATTGTATCTACATACAGTACTTTCCACATAACAAAAAAAAGTCACAGCAAAGATTGTAGGAACATCGTCGGAACGTAAACATCAACTCACGGCATCGAAAGAATCTCCAACAGCTATTTGTACATTGGAAACGCCTGTTAGCTTTTCTATCGATGGAAGGAGGTCAACAAATCTCGTCAAACACCCTCAAAGCATGTACACGGAGAATTTTATTATTTTTTTGTCGAGATTAATACAGAAAAAGTACACTTTTGTTCGATTCGATATATGTCATACTAAAGCATCATCTTCGAGTGTAACAAATTCGTCCTTGACATCCTCGAAAGGTGAATAGATCGCTGATTGTCGTTTCGATTGAATTGTATTAGAACAACGAGCTGATATTATTCTCATACATTGTTTTTCTTTCGATATAAACAACCAAATAGTACCGATCAAAAGCACGATGATAACGGTCATCGCAGTGATAATCAAAATCGCACACTGAAATTTCTGATTGGTGTTTGATTGATCACTGGAATAAGTTAAATTTAGTTGTATAAACTGGTGTAACATCACACGTGATCGGTATGACTGATCATAAGGCACCATATGACCAGCATTGTAAAAAAGAACATATGTTAAGTTCCGTGCATATCGCATATAACCGACAGATTCATCATCGATTATCCATGCATAGATCGGAGTCTTTGAACCATTTGCTAAATTGAAGCCAATTGCGTCGTTCCATGTCATCTTGTCTAACATGTTTTCTGTTGCCACATGATTGCAAATAATATCATATTCACCATGAAAGAATAAGATTGGAGTTTGGCGCAGTAAGTCGGGCAGTAAAACTATCGATGGTTTGGAAGTAAATGCATGAAATGCGTTATGAACATATTCTGTGAAATCTTTCCATTGAGATTTCTTTCCATTGATATGTAGACAAGATATAACATCCGGTCGATTCAAATAGGCAGAAACATATTCAAGTTCCGAGGGTCCATTCATCCCACATATCGGCTTTTTCGCAGTTAATCGTATATCATAGGCATTGATACATGAATCTTCTGTGTTATTTCCATCCATTCTCCCATGATTTATTATTTGATCAAGAATTGGAAAACACGAGTCAACAAAAACATGCACTTGTTGCGATAATAAGTCGCGACACCAAGCAACTAGTCGAGTAATGTTCGTGTAAATCGCTGAATCATTCTTGAGCAAATCATTTAAAAGTGCATATGGGAGATATGAATCATAAAGTGTAACAGGATCAATCCATCCACTTCCGATGATGAGACCACGTAGTTTCAACGGCGATCGTTTTTCGAGAATAGCCTTGGCAATATATGGAATATATTGACCTGCAAACGATTCACCAGCTAAGTAGATATCGTCTTCAAGTAATTTCGGGAAAATTTCGATATATCGCTCGAGAAAACCGACGAAATGTTCTGCCATGACGTCGAGTTCTTTAACAAATCGATTGTTTTCGGCATAAGAAAAGCCAGTACCGATCGGCTGATCGATGAATAAGAGATTAGCATAGAAGTGCCAGGAGTCATTATTCACCACCATGGTGTCCTTATTGATAAAGCGAAAAGGGCCAATTTCAGTCCAAGCACCGATAAGGCTACTCTGACCGGGACCACCATTTAACCAGATGACGGTTCTTGATTTGTCACTAATGAATTTCTTCGGAAAATGCCAAAAGAATAAGGAACCATCGTTTTGCGAATTAACTGGAAGGTATCCAGCATGCATATTCATCGACGATTCACTTTGCGGGAGAAGAGGCAAGTTTTCGACATAGAAATCATTCGCTTGTAAACCAGTGACACCATAATAACATATTGAAAAGCAGATAAATGTTTTTAGAAGTATAATGTACATCGTTGGTAATATACAAAAGTAATGGAATACCAAACTGTTATCGAACTCGTCTTTTTCAATAGAAATATAAAATCTTTCTACATCTATTATTCATGATAAAATGACGTCATTCCATGTATAGTGTAGACTAGAAACAGAACGGATGAAAAGGTACGCGTATTCTGTATATTCAGGGAAGATTGCAACAAAATTATTTCATAAGATTGGTGATTTCAGTGACTAATAACCTATACACTGCTCCATTAGTTTCTCATTATGAGGGGTTGAGTAACTATGGAGCCATTATGATCAGATTGGTGCAGTAAACTTATTCATACAGGTGAATCATATCGCTATTTGTATCGTTTTCATTAAATCAATAGGTAAAATACGGGAAAAGTAGTCGCTTGTAAATTTACTTTTTCTTTTATTCTGAACAAGATTGTGCGTGGGTGAGCGTAAACATTATTCACAACAATACGCGCTCATAACTTGTAATACATTCGATAATGTTCGAAGTAGTGTTGTTCAGACGATAATTTTCATCGTATTCTATTATAAAACTAGACATACACTTTCAAACTGATGTTTCCATTCGCGAAAATCGGGAATCAAGTTGATCAGCTTTCGAATAATGTAGTGCAAATAGTACTTTAGCAGCTGCATCTTCTATTCAACAGAAAATGCACTGTCTATATTTCGTCTCAATTCAATCATTTTCCTTTTGTCTTTCTGTTATTTTAATAACAAAAAATCTAATCAGCGAAATATTTCTACCGAGAAACCATAATTTTCATGAGGTGTTGCTTTTTTTCTCTTCTCAATCTGAATTCTATTAATTTCTATACACAATTGTCGTTCTTCACAGCAAACGAAGTACATAATCTATCAAGTATTCATGGCTCGATCGTTGCCATATGATGACGATTCTATCAAAGCTCATCTCCAATCTGCATCACAAGCATTAGACTGTTCTCTTGACAATCATCGCTTACCCACACATCAGTCTCAACGAATTTCATCAAATGGAAGATCTCGAATCATCGTTCATACAAGAATTCGATCGCCCAAACATGGACGTATTTCGAAAGAGAATCGGATTAGAAGCACTGATTCTGATCCACACTCAGTTAAATACTTTACTAATAGTTATATTCATCTATCTATTGTATGTTTGTATAGACCTCCGGTATACTCGCAACTCAATACAGCTCGAAAAGAACGAGTTTTTCAAATTCAGTTGAAGGTAGACAAAGTATAGCACCCGATCTTCATCGTACCGCGGAATCTCCATGGTATCGATCACCGTTACCGGTAAGACTTCTTATGTTAAAACCATCTTATGTATGCACAGAACTATTTCGAGCGTTTCCAATGTGCATCGATTTGTAATATTTAGAGCTAAGAAGACAACAGTTTCATTTGTATCCTTCTCAGTATATAGTTACGTATTGAAGTCAACGCAGAAATCGAAATTAGATGACTAATAGCGCTGATATGTATATGTATAATCTTCTTGGATTTATTAAATAGGTAGATACAAAAGATTTGTTTTCAAACACGAAAGACTTTCATCAAAACTCCAAAGACGATACAACGACGCGAAAAAAGTAACTTATTTATGAATTTTCTTTTTTCAAAATAACATTCATTTGATTAATACAGACGTAAAGCTGCTTTGTTCTCTTCATNGACTATTATACATATATGTTTAGTACATATGTATATAGGTTGTTCTCTGCCGTCGGATGACATTCACTTTCTCTTCGTGTCTTCGACACTTCTTCTTGTTTTTCTCTCTCGTGTGTTGTGATCATTCTCGATTCAATAAAGATATTGAATCTACATTCTTCTTGCATCACCAACACTAACACACAGCATCGATGATAATCGTATACTCGAAATGAAAAATTGAAGTGATCGTTTCAATAAGTTCCTTGAATAGAATTCATAGATTGAACAGTAGTTAATTTTTCAATGATAAAACTAACAGTAATCCCATGGTTGTAAATACACTGATATTGACCGAATGTGTTGCAAAATTGTAAGGTGAAGTTATGCCAGGATTCCCATCGATTACACCAGGTTTATTCGTAGTCTTGCTACCAATACTATAACAACAAAAATCGCAACAACGATTTTCAATAGCGTGTATACTGTTATCATCATCAGGATGAGGAGGATGAGTATCATCACAACGAGTAGGAAAATAAAAAATAGGAGGACAATGACCATAACCAGGATAAGGATAGTCGCTATACATAATAATGTAACCAGGTTGATGGAGAGCAATATTAAGAGCACCAGCACCAGGATAATCAGTAGCAAGATTATTATAACAAGTACAATTCGATTCCCCACTTGTACCCTTCATTATTAAAAATAATGCTAGAATCATGTTTATCTGAGCACTTTTCATGTTAGGCTGTTTAGGAGAATACAGGAGCTTCAAGAAATAACGACGTGATATAATTTTGCACTATGTGCTACTTTCTTAAATAGTATTCGATAGGGCCGAACACAAACAAAAAGAAAAAACCAACCATTTCTCACTCGTCATGTTTTTATCTTTCCAACTACCATGCTATCTATCCTACGTTTTTCGTCAAGCGATACTTTTCTGGAAAAAAACTTTCATCGATGTAATTTCGTCGAAGTGTGCTTGAATCATAAGCAAGATTTTTCTTAGAATTCAAGGAAGTTGGGCATGAACTGTGTATTATATGCAAGAATTTCTACTGATAAATTTTGGTTCAATGGGCGAACTTCATCTTTCTTTTTTATTTATTTATCTGACTATGTAGCCAAGAAAACATACATGTATATACAGCGAAAGAATATGGTGAATGTTAGACAATGTCACTGAATAGAATCGATAGCCATCACGACTTCGCCTACACATCTAATGAGTAGTCACCAAACGTGTGCAGTGTAGACAAGTGTTGATAGGAAAGTATACCCACGGCGGTAGGAGTCAACAGTCTGATCAAATCGACAAGTATAGTAAGAATGATGTAGCTTAATTTTGAAGTTTCTCTAAAGTAGTAGAATGAAGAACGAGAAAGGAGATGGAATAGCTGGTATTCATAAAACAATCAAAATAATGAATTTAATGTGATAGACAAAAAGCGTTGAATTTTCAGTTAATGATATACTACTATCATTCATTGTAAATGTAAAGCAAATGCAAGAGAAGACTGAGGAAGATATCCTTTCCAGAAAACACACAATGCCACTGAATATGATAAATTTATGCGCTATACTTTTAGGACATCAAGTATCGTTTCTTAATTACAAGTGTCTCTTGGAAGATCCAACCAATACAGCGTATGATAAAACGCATCAAAATAAAATGACCAATCTGAATATAAACTACGTATTAAATGTTCAATACCAAACTTTTCATGCACCTCGAATTCATTTAAGCAAATACATATCGAATAACGAGACCGTAGCAATGTACTAAATGCAAGAATGAATACGTTTATCAGTATACACTAATCTTTCAAGTGAGTGTATGCTTCATCAAATGATTTTAATTGCTACTATATTGACGATCCTGTCGTAGGTGTATCAACTACTGATTGACACGCTGGTGAGGATAGCGTGTTGTAGCATGCCTACATTTTTGTGTTTCAACCGTCTGGAAGTCTAAATTTATACTTTATAGTCGTAGGCAATTGTGATTCATAGTTAAAAAGCACAGTGATGTTATCTGTTCGATTTATGAATGCTGTATAACATCCGTAGGCGGAATGATATGCATGCAAAAAGAAAATTGATTCAGGTGACAGTTATGCAGGCGATCTCGATAAGAAAATAATTTGAATTATGCATAGAGCGTAGAAAGCTGCATTAATTGTGTGCAGGAAAATAGTTGTCGAAGAGATTATTCACCATCATGTATATATACACAACAAAAGATGGATGTGAGCAAACTTAGTTTTATTTGATTATATTCATATATAACATTTTTTCGAATGGCTCGCAAAAATAGGTATCGTAGGATTTATTTTTGATCGAAACGATGTACTCAAAGGACTAATTGTGTGTAGAAGAATTGTTGACAAACAAGAACCAGTTAAAGAACATCGTGGTAATTATCCTGTCGGACGTCTACGTGGTGGTGGAGATTGCTCAACATGGTGAGTACGGGCATCAGAATAAGACAGAAATAATGATTGAATTTAAAAATCTGGTTTTAGTTTGAAATTAATTGCATATTTTCTGACGTGTTGCTTGTGCTGTGGTGAATGTGGGGACATGAAAATTTCCTAAAGGTTTTCCATTCTACTAATTTTATCATAATTCATTGAAATAAAATAAATTTCACCTGATGCTATAATTGTCGTACGAGAACATCATCATAGATGCTTTCCAAGTATGAATTGTGAACGAACTGTCTAGATGAAAGATTTCACAACTTCAGAGTTGTATGAGTGTTATACAAATTAATTCCAAAGAAGTTGCATTTTTAAGTAAAGCGTCCAAGACATGATTTCCTACTGACAAGCAAAACAGAAAGAGAAAAACAACACATTCATGACTCATGCGCACATAAACAACCCTACTCGAAGAAGAGGGAAAAAAGCACATGGCACGATGAAATAAGACCATTTCACCGACAACAACAACATAAGAAACCCAGTAGAATGTTTACTGCCGTATATAAATACATGTTAATTATCCCACCAAACTATCGTTCGTTTATATTCAACTTCGAATAGACTATAATATTTTTGTTTAGAATGGCGCACTCAACAGTAAATACAAAGAATTCTGATGGTGATGAATTGATTAAACCTTCGGAAAAAGGAGCTTACGGTTTTACTAACTCATTTAATTCAGAATTCAAAATGCCGGACTATTTCAAAATCTTCCGTTGGTTATTTGCCAAAAATGATACCGGTTTACCAACGAACATTGAAGAATTAGATGAAACACTACCAGTGATAAAACACAAACCAGAAGACATACGAAAACAATCGCCCGGTCTACGATTTCTCTGGATTGGACATGCATCATGTTTTGTGCAAATAGATGACTTCATGTTTCTTACCGATCCTGTCTTCAGTGACCGATGTAGTATCACACAATACATGGGGCCAAAACGTTTTCGTCCACCAGCATTGACAGTTAAAGATTTGCCTGATGAACTCGAAGCAATCGTTATTTCACATAATCATTTTGATCATCTTGATTATGAAAGTGTTCGACAGTTAAATGAACGTTATGGAGAGAAATTAACATGGTTTTGTGGTCTTGGCGGACGGCAATGGTTTCTTGATTGTTCTATAAAGAACGTTGTCGAACTCGATTGGTGGCAAGAATGGACACATCCGGTATGAGAACGAACACATCATTTTTCTTACCACTTCTTTGAATTCTGTTCGTATTTAGACTAAAAAGAATGTTCAAATTGCCTTTTGTCCTGCACAACATTGGTAAGAGAATGTCTCTCAAAATAAATATATTCTCATTTCGATATTACTCTGATCTTCTAGGTCACGTCGTGCTTTGACTGACTTAAACCAATCTCTATGGGGTGGTTACGCCATATGGAATGAAAAGTATCGCTTTTATTTTGCTGGCGACGCAGGCTATACTCATAACATTCCAATATTCAGACAGATTGGAAAAAAGTATGGTCCATTTGACTTGAGCGCAATACCAATCGGTGCATACGAACCTCGCTGGATGATGGAAGCACAACATGTCTCACCCCATGAAGCGGTACAAATCCATATTGATACTCAATCGAAGAAGTCGATTGGTATACATTGGGGAACATGGGCATTAGCAAATGAGTTTTATTTAGCACCGAGAGAACAACTTCAAAAAGCTGTTGAATCCCGTAGATTAGATCCCGAATCGTTTACTGTTGTTAAACATGGAGAAACTTTTGATTTGCCTAGAAATGAATAACACATTGAACTTGTATCTGTACCCATATGTTTTTACACACGATTAAAGAGAGCGTGAACTTCAAACTTTGTAAGTTCATTCTTCGCTCTAGACACATTATTGTTTGATTGTATCTACATACAATACTTTCCATATAATAAAGAAAGTCACAGCATAAATTGTAGGAACATCGTCGAAACGTAAACATCAACTCACGCCATCGAAAGAATCTCCAACAGATTTGTACATTGGAAAGAGGTCAACGAATCTCGTCAAACACCCTCAAAGCATTTACACGGAAAATTTTATTATTTTTCTTTGTCGAGATTAATACAGAAAAAGTACACTTTCGTTCGATTCGATATATGTCATACTAAAGCATCATCTTCGAGTGTAACAAATTCGTCCTTGACATTTTCGAAAGGTGAGTAGATCGCTGATTGTCGTTTCGATTGACATGTATTAGAACGACGAGCTGGTATTACTCTCATACATTGTTTTTCTTTCGATATAAACAACCAGATAATACCAATCAAAAGCACGATGATAACGGTCATCGCAGTGATAATCAAAATCACACACTGAAATTTCTTATTGGTGTTTGATTGATCACTGGAATAAGTTAAATTCAGTTGTATAAATTGATGTAACATTATACGTGATCGGTATGACTGATCATAAGGCACCATATGACCAGCATTGTAAAAAAGAATATATGTTAAGTTCCGTGCATATCGCATATAACCGACAGATTCATCATCGACCATCCATGCATAGATCGGAGTCTTTGAACCGTTTGCTAGATTGAAACCAACTGCATCGTTCCATGTCATCTTGTCTAACATGTTTTCTGTTGCCACATGATTGCAAATAATATCATACTCACCATGAAAGAATAAAATTGGAATTTGGCGCAGTAAATCGGGCAGTAATGCTATCGATGGTTTGGAAGTAAATACATGAAATGCGTTATGAACAGGTTCTATGAAATCTTTCCATTGAGATTTCTTTCCATTGATATGCAGACGAGACATAACATCCGGTCGATTCAAATACGCAGAAACATATTCAAGTTCCAAGGGCCCATTCATCCCACATATCGGCTTTTTTGCAGTTAATCGTATATCATAGGCATTGATGCATGAACCTTCTGTGTTATCTCCACTCATTCTCCCATGATTTATTATTTGATCAAGAATTGGAAAACATGAGTCAACAAAAACATGCACTTGCTTTGATAATATGTCGTGACACCAAGCAACTAGTCGAGTAATGTTCGTGTAAATCGCTGAGTTATTCTTCAGTAAATCGTTTAAAAGTGCATATGGAAGATATGAATCATAAAGTGAAACAGGATCAATCCATCCACTTCCGATTATGAGACCACGTAGTTTCAACACCGATCGTTTTTCGAGAATAGCTTTGGCAATATATGGAATATATTGACCTGCAAACGATTCACCAGCTAAGTAGATATCGTCTTCAAGTAGTTTCGGAAAAACTTCGATATATCGGTCGAGAAAACCGACAAAATGTTCTGCCATGACGTCGAGTTCTTTAATAAATCGATTGTTTTCGGCATAAGAAAAGCCAGTACCGATCGGTTGATCGATGAATAAAAGATTAGCATAGAAGTGCCAGGAGCCATTATTCACCACCATAGTATCGTTATTTATAAAGCGAAAAGGGCCAATTTCAGTCCAAGCACCGATAAGGCTACTTTGACCGGGACCACCATTTAACCAGATGATTGTTCTTGATTTGTCGCTAATGAATTTGTTAGGAAAATGCCAAAAGAACAGTGAACCATGATTTTGTGAATTGACAGGTAGGTATCCAGCATGCATATTTATCGACGATTCACTCTGTGGAAGAAGAGGCAAGTTTTCGACATAGAAATCATTCGCTTGTAAACCAATAGCATCGCAATTCAGAATATGAAATAAAAGAACTACTTGTAAAGACAACCGACTAATAATCGGACTCGTCATCTGTGTCTATAAGAAAACGAAGTCAGAGAATTAAACGAAAGAAACGGCGCAATTCAAAAGCATCTATACCCAATCGTTTTGCCCTGAAAATGCTACTCCAATATGCTCTAGAAATGTGAATAATCAATTGTCACATCGACGTAAAACATGCAAATAAACAAAACAAGCAGGATACTTGCTTGTTAGTGTATTGGCAGGTAAGAACGAAAAGAAAGTGTTTGCACCACGTGATTATGCACATTCATCATGTTAACTTTTTAACTCGAATGAAAGAACAGAGAAGAAAAAAGATGTGTCGTGCTACAGGGAGACGCCAAAGTCAGTTTACTCAAAAGAAAATTGAATATCGCTATTACAGTTCAAGCAAATGAGCTGTTTTGTTTATCAACGACAGAGACATGATCAAGCTTTATATTGATAAAGACATTCCTAGAGAAACTCTTTGTTACGAATAACAGAAAGAGCGTGTAATAAAGAAAAGTACTATATGATATAAGATCTGAATGTGAATTATAGTAAAGCAGAAGGAGACAAATAGGAAGAGAAAATATGTATGAAAACAAAACACATGTGTTGCATAAATTTATATAATTTTTTACATTTGTTCTCAATGAATTGTCTTTGCTTGTGGAGCAGTACTTTGGTTTTATTTGTAAAAAAACGCAAATTTTCCTTCGGTGAGGTTTTATTGATACTTAAGAAAGCGTTTCTCTAGGAATGTCTTTATCCACATAAAGCTTGGGTATGTAAGAACGAAGAATATGGATTTTGAAATCCTTGACTATGCAACATCACTATTCACAACAGAATGCTTCACCTTTTTTTCCAAACGTTCATTCATATTCACATAATCTGAAATAAACAAGCGACTGTTATTTCGAGATCAACAAGTAATCGGGAAATTCTTTCAACACGTGACAAACTTTTGTGCTACTTACCGATGCCTTCATCTTCCTGACTTAAAATTAAAAGAATTCTCTTTTATTTTTTTAGATACTTTCAACTAAATTTTCGATAGATCTTAGCTGGAAACGATGACATATACGCTCTGATTTCGAGGGACATCTAAACAGTCACTCAGGACTTAATTACATGAATTATACCGTTTAGATCCCATGGTCGGAGAAAACAAGAACGCGTAGAATATCTGTCTTGAAAGTTTCTCATCTCATCGGAGTCGATCGCAAAACAGTCGCAGAAATATTTGTCTTACACGATACAATCAATTTCTTTGCTGTGAACTAACAGAATTGTATCCAACTTGTTTACCATTCCATTCCTTCCAAAACCCATTTTTTGAATTCTGGCAACAGGAAACAAGCTAGAAGAATGAAGTCTGCTCTAACAGTTGTTTGAATCTCTACTATAAGTCTGTCATAATTAGTCGTTGAAGGAGTGCAGTGACGATAGCGGGTGTCAACGAAATTACAAACAGTCTCGAGATACTCAACAATTGCAAAGTCACAACTTGATTTCAACGGCATTTTCCAACAATAACTCTCATAACGAGTGCAATATTAACGACAATAATGATGACGATCGGCCTAGTACTGTCTGTTATTCAATCGAAGACAGAGTGTCTTGTCAAAAAGGTAACAGTTCATGTATACACAGCCAACCAGTTTGTCTAGTCCCACAGATTGCTCTTGCACAGATATAGAAAAGTAACATACAACACTAAATGCTATAGAAACATAACAGAACAGGAAAGTTTTCAAGAGAGTTCGAAATAGATTTAAATGAAAAACAAATAGATTTTGGTGGATAGAAGCGGTGGCCATACGGAATTCTTCTATTACAGCGAATGAGTAGTCACCAAATGTCCATAATGTACAGTATAGACAGGTGTTGATGGGAAAATATACCCACAGTGGTAGAAGTCAACAGTCTGATAAAATTGACAAGCAGTAAGAGTAATATAGGTTGATTTTGAAGTTTCTCCAATGTAGTGCAATTTTTAGCAGAAAATATAGAGATGAATAGAGTAGTTACGTTTGAATAGAAGTCAAAATCATGAGTTTAACTCGGAAGAAGAGATCTTGAATCTTCAGTTGTGGTGATGATGATGATGAGCTAATGTCATTCATTGTAACAAATGAAGAAATTTCGGATTTTATCTGAGAGTTATTTCTACCGCGAAAAAGTCATGAGAAACTAGGAAAATACCATAAAGCAAAGTCACTATCACCATAATAGTTCGAAAATAGCTCCTCAAATTCAATCAACTTTCGAGCCTCACAAGAGATATCAATGAAACTAAACTGGGGCAGAAAGTTTCCTACGCTTTTCAACAACTAGCCGACTTAGAATGACTTTCGTAATGTTAAACAAAAGAAAGAGGCCCTGCGTTAAATTTCACCCAGCTTGCACACACCCTCAACTAGAATAACATTGCGCGCTCATCATCAGCATTGATCTTTTCGGAAATTAAAACTCTGAAAAGTCATATATTTTAAAAAAAGTAAAAAATCGTTTTTTATAAAATCACGTTTTAGCTTTTATCATCGGTTTTTCACCATAGACTGAATACACAGTGTTGATGACTGTTTTCCTCTTTCTTTCTTTTGTCTTTCTATTCCTGTCTATGCACGTGATTCGATGTACTGGCGACTATTATACATATATGTTTAGTACATATGTATATAGGTTGTTCT